GGACAATTGGGTTTCTTTTGTTGCATTGGTCACTTAACTTATGTTAAGTGACTTTAAGCGGGTATTGGTTCGTCTATCTATTCAACTCCATTAATTACCAAACTTTACCCAAAAGTCTGGAATATTATTCTAGGAATATTACTATTTTATTTTTATATTTTGGGTACTTTCGCCTGTACCCATTTATACCCCTTAATTTTCACTGAGTACACTTTTTAACTCCAAGTGACTCAGATTCATTTAATTAAGCCTTATACTTAATTTTACTCACTAAAATATGCTTAATTATTTAATTAAAATTAATCAATTAAATGCTTAAGTTCGGGGTATTATACATAGGATGGTGTTTCCCTATGTTGGTATGTTGCATGACGATGCGTAAATCATACTTGGTAGTTAGCTGGCCAGTAGGACTATTTGCATCTGAGTTTCCTTAGGACAGCTTGAGAGCTCGAGGGATTTCTCCTGGAGATGTATTGCACTTTGCATAGATATGTATTTACTGCATTATTATTGTTATTGCTATTACACTGATATGGAACTGTGGGGTGGAGAGATGCTCCAAGGACCCCTGGTTTACTGGATATATTCGTATATCTCACCCCGTGTTGTGGGGACCCCCCTTTCAGGTAAGGATGCTGCGGGAGCCTCTGGTGGCAAGTGGCCATATCTGGATTAGCATATGCATGAAGTGTTGCATTTTTTTGAGATTATACATGTTGTTTTGTTAGCTCACATGTATAGAATTGTAATTAATAGACAATGATAGATTTATGATTTGTATATTGGAATGGACTTAGCCTATGCTCATGCCTTTGGTCATCCCTTTTGTTGATGGGAGCCAAGGGAATGATCATAGTGTTTTGTAAACTAAGTTCCATGATTTGTAATGAATATGTACTGTAAATGATGCCTACTTGACATTCAATATATGCATGCTTGTTATGTATTGAGTTATGGAATTGGTTGGGCTGGGAATCAATTAGGTACCTTTGTTTAAATTGGGGAAACGTTGAGAAAACAAAGGTTATGCTGCCAAATTCTAGCTAAATCTCATGAGGAGAGGTTGGATGAGTGCTAGGATTAAGTTTTGAGGCATGAACCATTGGGGTTTGGAATGGGGATGCATCTTCCCCTAGACTTGGACTTGAAAAATGAGGGTAATGGAATTCCCTGAAAGCGCGCTTTAGCGCCCAAAGTGCGCGCTTTAGCGCCCTGCTGCCCCTGTGACAGCCATTTCTTTCGGGCTCAGCGCGCTTTAGCGCCCTGCTGCCCCTGTGACAGTCATTTCTTTCGGGCTCAGCGCGCTTTAGCGCCCAAAGTGCGCGCTTTAGCGCCCTGAGAGCCCTTTTTCCTTCGGGTGGTGCGCGCTTTACCGCCCTGCGCGCCTGGGAAGTTAGTTCTTCCCTGCCAGCGCGCGCTTTAGCGCCCGATAGCGCGCTTTAGCGCGTGCGGCCTGTTTTCAATAGAAGCAAGTGTTGCTTTGAATTGGCACATCTTGGGCTACGGTACTCCGATTTGAGCGCGGTTTGAACCCACGCGTAGCTAACGTAGAGATCTACAATATAGTAGAAGTTGGGAAATAAATAAGAAGTAGATTAATGGTTTAAAAATGGAATAAGTACATGATATTAAGCTTGATTTATCTGATTCCGCAAAGTAATATGGTTATAATAAACAATGGGATATTTTAAATTCTGCGTCGTTTTAAAAAGAAAAATTTATCCGGATTTTAATCGAGCCAATGTGATTGTAACTGTGCTTAATATCATAATGCGATGTTAACAAACCGGTTCTAGAACGGGGTGTTAGATTAAAGGGAAAGTAACTACATGTTATGATAATTGTCTTAAGATGGTGGAGCATGTTTTAATGTCATAAGCACTGCCATTTCACCTTCTCAAGACAATAAAAGGAGAGGAAAGAACTACAGTGCAGGAAAAGGAATCGGCTTCACAGAAAATTTAATACGCCGGAATGCTGTTCTTACTCTTTCCTTAAGGCCTTCATTTTCACTCTCAACCTCCCCACTTTCTTTGTCGAGCTCTGCCACATTCCCATCAATGTTAATTATCAACTTCCCATTTTCTCCTACCTTCACATCTCCAAAGAGTGCAACGAGGAGGGCAACCATAACCTTCTCTGTCTTCTTCTCATTCTCTTCCTCAATTTTTATGGCATCCGATTCATCCATTATTTTTGGGGCCTCACGGCTCATATTTAAAACTAGAGAAACAATTGAATCTGACACCATGTCACTAATGGGGTCTGATGTCCAATGCAAGGAGATACGCTTCTCAGACTCATGCTTCACTGTCACGCACCTATGGACATGCAATGTTGGAACTCCAGATTCTTCATCCACTAAGGGCTCAACACTCTCATATAGGTGTTTGAGTCTATGCTGTATGACACAAAAGGCACCTGAATAAGGGATGGTAATTCTCTGACTAATGTTTGCTGTTGATAGCTGTGAGAAGATATGAAGATCTTCAGGTGCCATTATCTGATATGTGAAGCCTTTTTTTACTAGCAAACCACTGACAGTTTCACCAACTTCCGGTGTTTTTTCGGCCAGCTTCCCAATGGTTTTTGCCATTTTCTGCGAGTTGAAATACATCTCAACAGACTGACAGTTTTTTGGAGTGAGGATTTTGGTGTTACGATCAGCAAATTGACCCATGAGCTTCTGTTTGAGCCTCCCCATCTCATTAGCTTCCCCATGAACGAGAATTATGTTGGGAGGATTGAGCTCTTCTAAGAAAGCACTTGTTTGAGCAGAGTCAGCATGAGCAGAAAAGGAAATGTAGTGCACCTGCATGTTGAGAGGTGCAGTGAGTCCATTCATGAGAGTAACTTCCTTTGGTTCATTGATGATGGTTTTTGCCAGTGTCCCTTCAACAACATACCCTGGTATAATGCAAGCATTTTTTTTGTCAGAGCACCACATATCAAAAAATTGCCGTGACAACCCACTCTGAAGTCCATTAGGGCTTGCCATCATGACAGATGGTCCAACATCCTTGAAAACTTCAATGCTACTTAAGGCCGATATGTACTTGAATGAAAAAGGATTGGACTTTGCATTTTGGATCCGGTCATTCATGGAAAGGGTGTAGGTCTCATACACAGTCAAACATTTTTTAGCAAGAGGAGAAGCATAATGGATTGGTATATTCTGGAGCTCAGGATGATTTGCCCAGTATTCATCAAGAATGAGGAGGAGCTCCTGTGCACGACCAAGCGCGAATGCCGGAATCAACACACGACCCCCTTGAGAAATGGTTGAGTGGATAACATCAGTGAAGCGTTTTTCACGCGTGTGGCGAGGCTGGTGGTGCTGTACACCATAGGTGGATTCTATAATGCAAACATCAGGGGAAAACTGTGGTGTTTCAGCAGCACGGAGATGTCTGTCTTCCTCGCGTGAATAGTCTCCTGTGTATAGGACTCGAACACCTGCAATGTCAACCATAAACATAGCAGCACCAAGGACATGGCCTGCAGTATAACACCAGAATCGAATACCGTTCACTTCAACCGTTTGATGGAAATCAATAACCTGCAGTCAAGTCAGTAATTACAGTTAGTGTTAGGAAATCAAGTCAACAACATGCATATTACATATATTAATAACAATACATAAAATATTGAGGTTATTGAATACTTGCATCAAACAGTTGGAGTGCACAAGTTAATTTTAACAACAACATCAATAAATAAAACCATGAAAACATACCTCAATTTTATCCATGGAGCGGTTGATGTCGTGTTCATCGAAGAGCATATCTTCAATAGAGACCTTGCTGACTTTGACAAAATCAGACAAGAGGAGTTTGTAAATGGCCTTAGTGGCGTAGGTCATGAAGACGCGACCTCTGAAGGTGGTTTTTTCAAGAAAATAAGGTAAAGAAGCAGCGTGATCCAAGTGAAAGTGAGTGATGAGAAGGACATCGACGGTAGAAGGGTCAATCTCGTCGAAGTATGGCAAAGCAGCCATGCCGGAATAAGCAGGGTGTATTCCACAATCGAACAATACTGTTTTGCCTTTGTATGTCATGTAAACACATGATCGACCAACTTCGTTTCCAGCACCTAATGGCGTCACTATCAGTTTTTCTTCATCTCTATCTCTGTTGCTGTTGCTGTTTCCACTTTCACGTCTCTTCACTGAACCCATTTCCTAATTCGATGAATCTCTGATTCTCTCTCTCTCTCTCTCCCCCACTTCTACTCACAGCGTTAGAAAAAAGCCCTACTACCACTGTTCTCACCCTTTAAAACGACGTCGTTTTGTCCCAAATTTCCCGAGAATAACATGCAAAAAGTCGACCACAGTGGGAGAACCACGACCTTCTGATCCGAAGTCAGACGCGCTAATCCACTGCGCTATGCGGTCGTATTTGTCATGTCACTTCATAAAATTTGATTTATCAATCTTTTAAATCACTAAATATCTTCCGGTGTGTCCTCACAAATTGTACCAAAATGTTTTTTTTCTTTTTCTTTTAACTATTATAACACCGCAGTTATTTTTTTTTATTTTTTTTTTAAATATTGACTCAATTACTGGAAAGCCTCATCAAACCATGCTTCCCGATGAATTTCAGTGATGACCTTAACGAAACTGATACTTTTTTGTTTCGTTGCCCAATTGTAATTTTCTTAAGTCAAAATCCAACGATGGAAAAAAGAGGAAAATTGCAAATGGTCACTGCATCCATTCAGTTTCTGTAGGAAATCAGTATTTGTCAGCCTTAAGTCTCAACTATATATTTAGATATTTCTTCGCTCAATTTTATCAAATAAAGAAATTTACGTACAAAAGGTAATTATTTAGCTGCTTCAGGACCATTCCATAATGTTACACATAATATTTATAAAGATGATATAAACTGGCTTTACCATCATGAATATGACTACTTATTTCAGCTGCAATTCTTGATCTTGGTAGCTAGCTATTTCGTGGTAATTACCAATCCTAGAATAGTTCTGGTTAATCAGGTGGTTAGTGCATCCGGAAGAGAATTGGATGATCCAAGAATTTTACCACCAACATCAGGAAAGGTCTCATAGTCTGGAAGTGCATGGACTTCTCCATCCCAGCTGACATGAACTGGATACTGCATCAAATGTCCCCTCATCTCCTTACCTTCCTCAGACACGTATGCATCCCAGTTTTGTCTGGCTATATTGTTGACATATCTAACACATTCTAGGCTGTGTGGTTCAGCAAAAGTTTCATCAAGACTCTCAAGGTGTTCAGCCCAGAGTGAGTTTCTGTAACCATACACCTACAACAATATAAGTTTTGTTAGAATTGCCAACTACTAAGAAAAAGAAAAGATGAAAATATATAACATGAACCTATTTGCTATTTTAATATTCACGTAATCTGGTTTTTCGCTGCTGAGTCTTCTATGATAGGATGTCACAGGACAGTTATGCTTGAAATGATTTATTTTTGTAAAATGGTGTGCAATCAGGTTTTAGATCCCAAGTTGGGTTGTCTCGGTATTTCTGTCAATCAAATAACTAATTTTGGGTCTGTCATGTGGGCCAGACACATAAATCCATGCTATTTCAACTCAAGTCTCATACACATACACAGATAACGTGAGTCTGATTTTCCTTGCCATGGATTCTCACCAGCAAGGAACCTTGACCTGATCTCTTTTTTACTTGACATCCAAGCATAATAACTAGAGTTTTACATGGAAATATAACTAAACTTATCATTTGGAGTATTAGAAGTTCCACATTTGGATGAATATACATGTACTTTTTTAATTTAAATATTGAAAAAGTCTTCTAGTTCAGCAGAAAAAAAAAACGAACCTATTTTTCCTTAAAATAAATAAGGGGAAATAATAATGAAAACAATTCCATAAATTTTTAGATTCGCTCTGTCTATAAGATGACGTACTTATGCTTATAAGTTCAAACTTCTTTTGTAGCATCTAGAACAACAATATTTGATGCTTCAGACACCGGTGGAAATGGTAAACAGTTCTCAAGTGAACTTGTCAACCTTTTACTTTGATTGATTGCTCCTAAGAGGTTTCTCAGCTGCTTGATGCATTTTCTTCAAGCAGCATCAGAACCATTCGATACAAATGATTTCCAATTTCCCTTATAATAACATCACTCCTTTGATAACAAAAGCATTCATCCAAACCAAAGGTAAGTAAGTCAAGTTGAAGTACACATAGCCGCTACCAGTAAGGCACAAAGATGTGAAGCAAAACTGGGGATGAAAATGTAAGAGGGTGTTTGGCTTGTTAAGTTTTTCTTAATAATTACAAAATTGTAACACTCTTTACATTTCGTTCCTGTTTTCAAAATTTTGTGAATTTCTTCGTAATGGTCCCAAAATTTTGTTCATTAGCAAAAATTTGATAACAAAAAACAGAGTCAATATAATGTAGTATTTTTATAATTATTAATAAAATCATAGTAACCGGAAAAGAAAAGTAAAATCAGATCAAACAACCCTAATCTTGTGATATATCTAAATGTAGAAAAGTAAATTCTTTCAAGCTGTTTCTGATAATCCATAGCGAAGAAGGAATGAGGATTATATATTCACTTTTATACCAGACTAATGTGCTCTTATACCAATAATGACGTTCTAGCCCCTCAACCAACCCAACGGGAGTTTCTAACCTGGCCATGAGGATGAGAATTCTTTTCTTTCCATGTATACTTTGGCTGATAAGCACCAATAGCTATTTCTGTGTCTCTTGAACCATCCAAGGATCTCTGGTTAATATTTGCAGATCCCATGATTACGTATTCATCATCAACTATCATTCCTTTTGCATGAACATAAATCATAAAACGTCTGAATTTTTGAACTGATACCTGGTGAAAGAAAGGAGGAAAATAATAATAAGAATCATAAATTTGATGCAATGGAAATTTGAGCCCTACTATTCTAGTGAATTACAATCTAAACAAACTTCTTAATATTAGCACACAAACTAACTGATTACTTCACAAAATTAGGGGTGTTTGCATATTAATTTGAATTGGTTTTGAGGGATCGATCCAATCAATTTTATTATGATATCATACCATCGATTTGGTTCAAAATGTAAATAATTCCATTTTATTAGAATTCTTTTAATATAAAAATTCATTAAAATATAAAAATATAAAATAATTAAAATACATGAAATATAACCGAATCAATTGGCTCAATTAGGATTTCTATAAAATAAAAATGAGTTAAGAGAACACTAGTAGAACATTACATTTTTCGTTTCTTCCTTCCTGTTGCTTTGTTCTTTAGTTATTAAAGGTTAAAGAATTTGATCAAGACAGATCATCAAACAATGTTTTATCAATTTAACTTACTCTATAAGCTTGAAATCTTGGTTATCTCTATTCTTGTACAAGGTATCTTTATTTAACTTTTACCCGTAGGCCAGACTGACATACGACATGGAATACAAGACTTTGATCCATTCTTTCTTACAAGATGGGAAGGAGCAATTGCCCTCTACCTATCATATATGAATGTAACTGGATTTGGCTACGAAGGAGGGTGGGAAGGAAGGGAAGATAAAAGGGAGGGAAAGGTATGGGAGAAGGCATCCAGAAATTGAGTGAATTGAAGATTTTGGGGTCCTTTGGGCATGGAGGTTAGCAGACCCCAGACCCTCAGGGGTCTGCGGGAGTTTCCATCTTCTTCTTCACAGGCTAGACTCTGTGTGTTTCTTTCTCGGTAATACAACTTCCTATCTAATATATTTCATAATTGCAGCTTCTTTGTCAATTTAGTACTATTTGCCTTTAAATTATCATTTCCAACACGAGGTCATACATCTTTTGCAAAATTGAAGGCAAAATAAAGATTAAACCTGAAATTCCATCGTAAATCACTAGCAAGGTTTCTTTTGCTTTTTGAGCCCAGACCTCAGTATTCGGGGTACACAAAGTAAAACCAGCTCAAAATTGATAATGCAAGCTGCTTTATTTTAAAGTCCAGATTGCTAGTATTGCAATTACCAGCCAAAATTCAAGTGAATTTGTAGAATGCAAATGCAGTATCAACTATTTTGGTGAAAGCAAACTCAGACACAAATTAAGTGTTTTTGCTTCATACATTATTCTAAATCCATCACGAAATTCAATGTTCATAATTGCATGCAACGCAAACATTTTGCTAATAATACAGAAGAGTAGTTTAGCATACCAAAGCACGGTTTTCCGCTGGATGAGTTGGTGTTAATGGACATTCTGAGGATTGAGGTTCGCGCTTTCCAAGACAGTAAAAATTGAGATAATCTTGCGGATGATCGGAAAGACCACTCTTTTTAAGCGCATCGGCAACAATTCTGTACATCATAGACATTGTCTGTCCCTGTAGTCATTCAAATTTCAGATAATAATAGTTACCTTAAATCGTATCCAATTGTTGGAAATATCACATCCCAAATCCACCTTTGCACTTATGATTTATGAATTGTGAGTTCATTATATCCAGCCACTTGAAGAGGAAAGGAAATGAACAGCATACTTATTCCTTGGGGGAGGGATTCCTTAGTCACAAAAAAACAAGATGAAAAAATTGCACATATCTTCTACTATTTTTTATACAATGATTGAGTTCCAGGTTAATGTCAAACTGTAAATTTCATTATCCTTGCTAGAAAGTGGAACCTATAAATCCACTCCAAATTCAAGATCAAGAATCATACAGAGTGACAACCATTCCTGTGGAGAAAGATCCATTGATGGGTGATAACAAGTATCTTAATAAACATGCACAACATTTTCATAACTATCCAACCTAGAAACACATTAAAAATACTGCAATTGCTAACCTGCAAAATTTAGCAAGGGAAAAAGACTGGAAATTGGTCTTACCTGCCAGAACAAAATTTCTTGAACAGAAGCACTAGTGGGAACCCCCTCTGGCCACATTGGAATAACTATATACACAGAAAAACGTTCATTTGCACTGATTTTGCTGGCGATTTTTAAAGCCAATTCCATGGGAACCAAGTGATTTGCACCTGTTGAAGATAAGAAATCATTAAAAATAAAATAAAAATGGCCATGTATATATGTTTGTAAACAAAAACAGCACTGATAAAATTAATTAAATGACAAATGCAATTGAAAACATTGGATCAAGAGACAAAGCGAAGAAATGATAATTTAGAATTGCTATGACACTATAAATCAGATAGGAAAATTTGGACTATGGATTCTTCTAATGTGTCTTACGTAATTTATATCTTCAGGATCGAGAAGAATAATTCCGGTGAAATTTCATGAGATCAGAGAAAGAAACCAAAGGTAGATAGAACAACATCAATAAAGCCTTTTTGATAAGTTATAAAGATCACATATATACCTGCACCTTTGTGTGAAGGCCAATGATACGAGGATCCCAAAAAATACTGATTCTCAATATATATGAAGCGTTGAGCTGATCTTATTGCTTTTACATAAGCCGCATGAATACTTTTATCTACTTTCAAATTTTTTCCACAGAAAAGATTCTACAAAAAATCAGCACTGTAAGTTGACTGCTAAGACTACTTTATTTCAATATCACTTGAAAGCACGCTGAAAAGCAAAGGTAATAAAAAATTGGTTGTGGAAACTTATAATATAATTAGGTCTTCAAAGCACAAGTGGACATCATATACAACCATGTTCTCACCTGAGCCTTAGCTTCCCGAACATCCTTTGGAAAACCTTTCACAGATCCTGAATCTATTGACCGAAATACCTGTATTTAATGCTTGTTCATAATTTTCATTGGATTAATATATTGCCGATTTTTATCAACTTATTTTTTCCATACCTGCACATGCCAACTCTCAGGATCATCCTCATTAGTTACACGAACAGCTCTATCACCTTCAGGATCAGAAGATGGAGTGAGAATCCATGAAATTCGTTCTAGGCTTAGCAAAGGATCATCATGCCAACTTGTCACCTTTTTGAGCCTGAAATCACGCCATTTTTTGGCTTTCTTCCATCTCTGCTCAAAATTGGTCAATATGTCATATGCAGCTGGACCCTCGACTTTGCAATGCAAGTCATGCCATGGCTCCCTTGGCCCATGCGAATTTGACTGTATCATAAAGAACACAATTTCAATAGACCACCAACTAAGTTTCTGAAATCTAAAAGATAAACAATCTTAAGACGGAACCTCGTCCTCCTCAAGTCCTTAAGCTCATCAGACATGATAATTCAATTATATTTTTCTTTTTATTTTATGAAGAAACTTCTCATCTAGAATGGGGTTCTTGGAATAAAAAATTAAGACTGTTTTAGCAAACCTCCCAACTTGTGCAAAGGAATGCATTTCTTTTTGCTTATGCACACATGACACTGAAATATAGAAAAATAAAAAAATGATTCATGCTAAATAAGTTATAATTCCCACTTTTAATGTTGCTTCCATTTCAGCCCACCACAAATAAGACTTCTACGGTAATTAATTGCACAACAATTACTTACTGGGAATGTAGGATTATGAAAATCATTTTTAAAGACAGTATCTAGATCATCAAAAAGCCGATGGTCAGGAGTATCATATCTGCCATCACAGAGATCCAAGCCACCAATAAAAGCAGTTATTTTCCGATTATTCCCAGATGCTTGAGTGTCTACGAGCACACACTTCTGATGATGCGTAAAAAGGGTCCCCACAACCTGGACCAAAAGTTTCGATCAAATTCGAACTGTTTTCAGTTTTTAATCAAAAAGAAAAGCACACTAGTAGAATTTATTTATGACAATGAATGTGAAGACTTCCAATAATGAAATAATCATGTTTGGGTAATGCAGCAATAAAATTGTTAAAAAACAATACTGAGAATATAACATCTGTGCTTTTATTAAAATTACTCCTCTTCAATGAGGATATATATATACAAGTGGGTATAACAATATAACCCAATAATAGGAAACTAACAATTTTATCCTAAGAATATCAACTACCAGATTTCATTCTAGAAGATTATACAACAATATTTTAAATTCAAACTATCCTTTTAACACTCCCCCTCAAGTTGGTGCATGGATATCTATCATGCCCAACTTGTCAATCATTTCTTCAAAGACTCTTCCTGATACAGCTTTGGTCAACACATCTGCCAGTTGATCTTCAGACTTCACAAAAGGAGTTTGTACAATTTTTTCATCCAGCTTTTCTTTAATGAAGTGTCTATCTACTTCAACATGTTTGGTCCTGTCATGCTGAACTGGATTATGAGCAATTTCTATTGCAGCTTTGTTATCACAGTACAGGTTCATAGGTTGACCATATCTAATTCCCAGATCATTTAAGATGCTTTTAATCCACAATAGTTCACAAATTCCATATGCCATACCTCTGAATTCTGCCTCAGCACTTGATCTTGCTACTACCTTTTGTTTCTTGCTTCTCCATGTGACCAGATTCCCTTCGACAAAGGTAAAGTAACCTGAAGTTGATTGCCTTGTAGTTTTATCTCCTGCCCAGTCTGAGTCACTATATCCATCTACACCAGCTTCATTATTCTTAGAGTACAGAAGACCTTTTCCTGGTGAACCTTTGAGATATCTAAGGATGCGATACACTGCATTCATATGTTGTTCACTAGGAGAGTGCATGAACCTACTTACAATGCTAACAGAATACGCAATGTCAGGTCTAGTATGAGATAAATAGATTAATTTTCCAACTAACCTTTGATATCTGTTTTTATCGGTTTCAACTTGACTTGGATAGATTGCTAGAGAGTGATTCATTTCAATTGGAGTATCTGCAGGCTTGCAAGCTAACATCCCTGTTTCGGCTAAGAGGTCTAGAATATACTTCCTTTGTGACAAAAATATGCCTTGTCTGGATCTTGTAACTTCTATTCCGAGGAAGTATTTCAATTGGCCTAGGTCCTTCATTTCGAATTCAGCAGCTAGCTTATTTTCAAGTAATTTTATTTCTTCTACATCATCACCTGTTAGCACCATATCATCTACATAAACAATGAGAATGGCTACCTTTCCATTATTATGTTTTATGAACAGTGTATGATCTGAGTTGCTTTGCTTGTACCCAAACTTTTTCATTGCTACTGTGAATCTACCAAACCATGCCCTTGGAGATTGCTTAAGGCCATACAAGGCTTTGTTTAGTTTGCAAACTTTATTCTCTGGTGCTATCGTGATTCCTGGTGGAGCTTCCATGTAGACTTCTTCTTCTAAATCTCCATTCAAGAAGGCATTCTTGACATCAAGTTGTTTTAGAGGCCAATCTCTGTTTACTGCTATGGAGATAAGGATTCGGATTGTGTTGAGCTTGGCTACCGGAGCAAATGTGTCTTGATAGTCCACACCATATTTCTGTGTGTATCCTTTGGCCACAAGTCTCGCTTTATATCTGTCAATCTTTCCTTCTGCCGTAAGCTTTACAGTGTATACCCATTTGCATCCAATCGTTTTCTTGCCTTTAGGTAAGGGAGTAAAATGCCAAGTCTTATTTTTGTGGAGAGCTTCCATCTCGGCCTCCATTGCTTTTTTCCATCTAGGATCTTCTAATGCTTCCTGCACACTACTAGGAATGGATACATTGGATAATTGATCAACTGTTAGAGCATATGATTCGGATAATCTGTGGGAAGATACATAGTTACCAATGGGGTATTTCATTTTTGAATTCAGGTTTGGTTCATATACTGCCTTTGGTATACCTTTATTTTGTCTTTGGGATTTTCTGATTATTGGAGCAGGTGTAGAAATAGGTTCAGAACATACCTCATTTATGGGTTCAAGATTCATTTCAGGTCTGTCCACAGCAAGTGATTCGGCTATGTCTTGAGTTTCATCTGGTTGTAGAGGACTTTCATTTTCGGGAGTCACTTCAGAGTTTTCATGAGAAGGAGGTGGATTTATGGTGCTGTTTGGAGAAGGCAGTGTAGTAGGGATACTATTGTGAGACAACCAGAATTCTTCTACATTAAGTGGAGTCTCCCCCTTAGAAGAAGGAGGGGTGTTGTCTCCCCCTGAATAATAAGCTTCGGATTCTCTAAAGGAGACTTCAAGGGTGACATACATTTTTTGAGTGGTGGGATCAAAGCAACGATATCCTTTTTGAAGGTCAGAGTAGCCGACAAAAATGCATTTTCTAGCACAAGGATCAAGTTTAGTTCGAAGAGGCTTAGGAATATGGACATATGTAGTACAACCAAAGATTCTAGGTTCGAGATTCACTTTATGAGGGATAGAAAAAAAGGTTTCAAGTTTCTGTTGAGGTGTCAGGAAATTTAGTGCACTAGAGGGAGTGTGATTAATTAAAAATGCAGCGGATAACAGGGCTTCTCCCCAATAGGAGGATGGGACTTTCATGTCAAATAAAGAGGCTCTGACAATTTGTAAGAGGTGTCTATTTTTTCGCTCAGCCAGTCCATTTTGTTGAGGTGTGTAGGTACAAGAAGTCTGGTGTTTTATGCCAATAGAGTTTAGAAAGTCAGAAAATGGTCCATTTTTATACTCAAGGCCATTGTCTGATTGGAGAATTTGAATAGAACTATTAAATTGCGTTTTTATCATGCTGTGAAAACGTTTAAAAGCAGGAAAAACTTCATTTTTATGTTTAAGCAATGATATCCACACCATTCGGGTACATTCATCAATGAAGGAAACATAATAGTAAGAGTGAGAAAAAGAGGGGACCTTGGCAGGGCCCCAAACATCTGAATGGACAACTTGAAAGGGGATGCTACTTTTATTCAAACTAGGATAAAAGGGGATGCGATGGCTTTTTGCCATTTCACAAGTAGAACATTGAAATTCAGAGGGATTACAACTGGAAAATAAATGGGGAAGCAATTTATTTAAATAACCGAAAGAAAGATGGCCGAGTCTTCTATGCCAAAGCCACACAGCTGATGAATCTCGAGTGGTGTTGGTAGTAGAAGCTCGTCCAGGGGCAGCATCCGAGAGGTCCAGAAAATAGAGGTTGCCTTGCCTAACTCCATAACCAAGAATCACATTGCTCTGGACGTCCTGAAAGATACAGAAAGTTGGGCAAAAAATTACATTGCAATTCAGGTCAGATGTCAAGCGACTGACTGAAATTAAATTGAAGTCAAGAGTGGGGACAACAAGAACAGAATTAAGGGTCAGAGTAGGAGAAAGAATAAGAGTGCCTTGACCAGTAACAGGGGCAGAGCTACCATTAGCAGTAGTAATATTTGTCTTGGTACAAGGAAAGCAATGGGTTAGGGAAGATGCATCACAAATCATATGGTCAGATGCGCCAGTATCAATAATCCATGAAGAATTCCGAGAGTGAGCAGAGAAAACAAGAGATTTACCTAAAATGCCTTCATAAACAATATTAGCACGAGGAGAAGGAGAAATGTCACCGGTAGATGATGACTGCTGCGCTGTGAGGGGTGCTTTCCGGCGAGGGCGCTTGGTAAAATCCCACCATTCGGGGTATCCAACGAGTTCATAACATCGGGATTTAGAGTGCCCAGATTCACCACAGTGGGTACAAATGAACGGTTTGCCAGACGGAGCCTCTTTTGGTGGGGGACCATCCTTGCGAGGTTTCTGTGGAAAGGAAACAGAGGAAGAACGAGAAGCACGGGAGAGCATGGCAGAAGATTCGGTTGAATGTGGACGGCCCATGGTGACACGCTGCTGGTGTTCGCGTCTGACATACGCGTAGGTACTCTCAAGATCCATCTTTGGGTCTTTGCGAAGGATTTCACCCCGTACCTGATCATAATCAGAATCCAAACCAGAGAGGAAAATATGAACTCTTAACCGAGCCATGGAGGTGTGAGTTTGGAGCACATCAGCCACGGTGGTTGAAGGAGATGACATTCGGTGGTCTATCTCCTGGAAAATCGAAAGAAGCTCGTTGTAATAGACCGGAAGAGGGCGTCCATGCTGTTTTGTTGAGAAGGAGCGTTGATTGAGATCAAAGAGACATGTTTCGTCTGACCCATCGTAGAACGTCCGTTTGGCTGCTTCCCAGATATCGTGTGCACTCTCAAGGCGGATGAACCGCTGCATTAATGGAGGAGTCATGGCATCAATGAGCCAGCTCTTCACTCGCTTGTTCTCAGTCACCCAGACGTCGTGTGAGGCATCACCGGGCAGAGGCTTCGTCGTCGTTCCATCAAGATAACCGGATTTATTTCTTGCCCCAATTCTCATATCCATCAACTGAGACCAAAGGGGATAATTTGTGTCATCAAGGACCACCGTGATAGGGAAGGAAGCACTGTCTTGATGGATTACAATATTGGAGGAAGATAATGGATTTGTGTTTGGTTGGGGTTCAGCATCGTGCTCTGCATCAATCTCAGAGTTAGGGTTCTCCATTGGGAAAAAAGAAGAAATTGGGTAAGGCGGATGCGGGTTCGGGTCAGAAAAGAAAAAAGGTGATATGATACGGGTAAGGCTTATACGGGGAAGGGAGGGACAGATACGGAAGAAAAAAAAATTGGGTCTGGTATGGGGTAAAAAAAATGAGAGTTTTAAGAACAATTCCCAGGATCAGAACGAACCTGATACCATGTTAAAAAACAATACTGAGAATATAACATCTGTGCTTTTATTAAAATTACTCCTCTTCAATGAGGATATATATATACAAGTGGGTATAACAATATAACCCAATAATAGGAAACTAACAATTTTATCCTAAGAATATCAACTACCAGATTTCATTCTAGAAGATTATACAACAATATTTTAAATTCAAACTATCCTTTTAACAAAAATAAAAAAAAATTATCTAACAAAATTTTATATTCAAGCACAGGAATTACATGCCTGTTGCTTGAAAATACTGAGCTTATTGCTTGCATAACGTGGGGCAAGCACACAGTGAACAGTGGAGTGTTTAAAATACTTTTTAGTTTCTTCATCGTGAGTCTGCATGACACCTTCCTGCAATCAAGCAAATCAATTATTATAATCCACACTAATTATAAACCTCGGTTGAGCAGAAGTACAAAATTGGCATGCACCTATATATATCTAAAATAATCCACAATGATTACATCCATTAAAACTAACATTTTATGAACCTTAAAAGCCTAGCAAGTAGCATCTCATTACTGAAGGTTACAGCAATAGTCCTGAAGAAAGTTCATGCAAATCCATTCATGAAGAATATATATATCACAACTTCCTTTTATTCCAACACCGTCCCAATTTTCTCCTTAAATCAGACTTTTCCCTTTCAACAATTCACGGAATGAAAGCAATATAAATAAAAAATCAATAAAAATCATGTTTAATTTACTACTCATCAGGATGATAAGAATTACTGTTTTCAAAAGAAATTTGTCATGCGACGTTTTGTCATCCCAAATCAGCATAACCACGCGGACCCCTTCTTGTGACTTGTATTTCAACAACTCTCCAAGCGAAAGCTCTCCACCAGAGGGCAAGGGTTTTGTTGGCTCTCTAATAAGCTTTATTGGGTGGTAAAGTGACCACCCTATAATATATATAAGGTGGTGAGCCTCCAAAATCGCATGGCATATCTCCTCCCAACATTTACCATGCTGAAATACCTTTCCACCATCAAGTAGAATCTCAGGTAGCTTATCATCATCCGGTACATGTGCATCTTGATACAGAGTCACAGCCCCACCTTTTCGGAGAGGAAAATATGTATTAGGAACTCCCAGATAATCGTTGTCATCTGACTCAGAATCTGATGAAGGGTTGATGATTCCAACTGGCCTAAAGTGAACAGAGATATGCAACTCAGGATAAGGTTTTAAGCAGCTTGCATACTGGGCAATGATTGGAAACCAATCATTGATAATGTTTCCGGAGAGAATCTTGTGAACAGGTATCTCAACCACTCCGATGAGTTGAGCTCCAAGAACATCATTGTCCTTGACATGGAACTCCACTTTGTGAACAGGGTGAGCAACTGGGACAACAAAATGCTCATCCCACAAAGGGTTCTCGCAATTGGAAATGACTCTAGTTTGAGCTACGGTAGCCCCAGCGAGACAAACAGAGACATAAGGATCACTGGTTATCATTTTGTGTTTCCCAGAGTGTGTCTTGAGCCCTTTCATAAATGGCGGGGAGCAACGGTTCCCCATAGTGAAACATTTTCGCACCGCTTCGGTTGAAAAATCCAAATTGGGAAGAGACTTTGCTTCTAATATCCACAGATCCAAGTCGCCGTGTAAGAAAACCGGTTCTTTAGTAGTGCCATCAGATTCAGAGACCTTGGATGGAGACCGAGACCGAGATCGAGATCGACGCTTCGGGTGAAGAACGTGACCTTCACTATCACTATCCATGGATGAGAATGAGATCAGATCTATCTCTGTTTAATGGTCTATTGCTCATTCTTCTTATCAATAATATTCTCCATAAACCGATCCAATCCAAAGCAACAAACATCCTCCACTCAAATCTAAACCTGATTTTTTGAATTAATTAATTAATCAGATTCTATTAAATTAGTAGCGTAGGAATCGAATTGAATTGGAGCTCTGAGAAAGAAAGAGAGAGAGAGAGAGAGAGAGAGAAAGCATTTTGAAGGAAATGAGAATTACGTACCGTGATGTGATCAGAAATGGAGAATGGTGAGCCAGCAGCCGAAAATGGCGGGAAACCATTAGTTTTTGCATGCGTTGCACGCAACGTCCTCTAACTCTCTGGCGCCAAACCCATATTTCAATTTCTAGTTATACTTTTTTTGGTATCTCATCGCATTCCAGTATGTCCGCAAGCAATATTCTTCGTTTCTGAATGGCCAAGTTTATAATATCATCATACAAATCATAGATAAACTTGGCAAATTATCGCACAATAAATAAATAAATTGTGTGTAAAAATAAATAAATAAATAAATTTATTAACTTGTTCGGAGTTCTCTATTATGCAACTTCCATATTTTTTACAATAAATTCCATTTCTTTTTTAAGGAAAATCTCAAATAATTAAATTGACGCATATGAACTGAACAAATGAGGTAAAAGTATGTGTTCAATTTTTTTCAATACCATCTTTAAAAAAAATTTAAAACTTTTATCTTGGATCCATTCCAAATTCCGAATTAATTCATAAAGAACCTATGAGATTATCATGAAAAGAAATCCAAAATAATAATAATAGCAAGAAGGAACGGAAAACGCTTAGAAGGACACTCCCCACCCAGCAATTTCTTAGAAAGAATTTTAGTATGATTGCTTATTACTGTTACAATTCTTTTGTTTATCAACAATATATGACTCATGCGATAACAAATGCACGAAATTCACGCATAATGTTGAAAATGAACGATACCATGTATAAACTTTTTCCATTGCTAAGTTATCAACGGAAGTTTAATTAGTAGATACCTTCTATAATGATAATTAAGGGCCCGTTTGGATGGGCTTTTAAAAAAAGGTACTTTTTATGAGTTGCTTTTTTTAAAAGAATTTTTTTTAAAAGTCAATGTTATTTTGTGTTTGGATGCAATATTAGAAAAGTACTTTTAAGTAAAAATATTATTTGGATGTTAAAATAAAAAAGCACTTCTTAAATTAAAATTACTATTGTGCCCTTTTTTCTCCATTCCTCTTGTGCATTCTGATGTGGGAAGCTTCCCAAGCTAAAATCTCATATTCTCAAATCTTCTTTCTTTTCATCTCAGATTCTCAAATGTTTTTAAAATACTTCTATTTAATTTATTTATTTTCAGAAGATGATGTGATTTTGTTGAGAGTTTTTCATCGGTGTTCAAATGGAGGAGCAACAATTGGGGGTTTCAAGGTCGTCTCGCTCATGAAGAACAAGGACGACGAGGTCGCAATGTTTCTGTGAGGAACCGCGAGAAGGAGCGTAACGATCTTCTGCTGCACGCTTTCAAGGAAGAGTTCAATGTTAGATATGAACAAGCAAAAGTACCTTGTTTCGTTTTCAAGGTTGCGGGATGTGGTTTGATTAATTTAGCATGATTCTGTGTTGTAGTTTTAGGTTGATGAAGTAAAAAACTGTAAAAGTGGTTGTGTTGTTTGTACAGTGTGCCATTGCTGTTGGGTTTATGTTTGTCACCATGGGAAACAAAGGAGAAGCGAACGAAGACGTCAAAGGAACAGGGAAGAGAAAATTGCTTTTGGCTTCTCCTTCTTTAAGAAGTTAGAAATTGTAGCTTTTCAAAAAAGTAAAATTTTAACTTTTTGACTAGCTTTTGCTTTTTTTAAAAGCTGCTATCCAAACATTAAAAAAAAAGTTAAAAAGCACTTTTTTCTTAAAAAAAAGCAGCTTTTAGGGATAGAAAAGCCAATCCAAACATGCACTAAGTTGGCTTGCTTCCCGTATATGCATACTTCTCAAACTTATAAACAACTTCAATTCTCAAAATGTGAAATAAGGATTTAAGCAACGATAAATAACATATAGTGGGCAGTAGGAAAGCAAACAAAAAAATAAGACATGGGTGCAGCACTAGGCACTAGGCGGCTTAGGGTCCATAGAAACGATTACCTTGCCAAATGACTTTGAATGCAAATTCACAACCATACATTATTCCGTCCGTCACAACGAGAAAAAAAAAGGAAGGAGGAAAAGAGAGAGAGAGAGAGAGAGAGAGAGAGAGAGAGAGAGAGAGAGAGCCACATGAAATTCATAGTACAACCATGTTTAATAAAACCAGGCGGCAGCCAGTACAAGCTTTTCATACTACATCCAACTGAAAAATGATTTGATATACAAAGGATTCAATTTTTCAACACAATGGCAAGGAAAAGCAATCATCTTGGAATGCCATTAGAAACTTCAATACAAGCCGCCTGCATGTCTCAGACCACTATTAGTATCTTCCCTGCAGAAAACAACAAAAACAAGTCATATCTTGCATTGATTTGACAGTTTTATGGATAACATAGGTATCGACTCATCAATAACAGTTTCACCGAAGTTTAAAATATTGAGCTAGATATTATAAAACAAGACAAGCATTAGTTTTTGTAAAAACTGTTCTCAGTTCTGACGGGTATGAACCAGAAACAGAAACTTGAACATTTCTCCCTCTTGGGTCTACCATACCTCTCCAGTAAAATTTCCCTGGCCAGGAGGCGGATATCCTTGTTGGGACTCCGTCTTTTCTTTGGCAGGAAAATTCCGCTGCTCAGCCTGTTCAAATTCCTCCATATATGATGGTTTGAAGTCCTTCATATACGATGGGGTAAAAGTATCACCACCCAACGCCCCAGAAGCACCTTGCCCAGACACAGGATCCCTTCTTTCTCCTTGTCCTGGTCGTCCAAAGTTCTGTTGTGGCACATAATTTCTTCTTTCTCCTTGCCCTGGTGGTCCAAAGCTCTGCTGCTGAGCATATTGTGGTGAAGGAGGCCTATAATTTTGCTGTGAAGCAGAACCATGAGTTTGCTGTTGTGGATGATAATTTTGTGGTGCTGGACCAAAGTTCTGCTGAGGTGGATAGTTTTGTGATGGTTGGCCAAAGTTCTGTTGGGGTGGATAATTCTGCGATCCTTGACCATAGTTCCGTGGGGGTGGATAATTTGGCGATGCTTGACCATAGTTCTGATGGGGTGGATAATTCTGCGATGCTTGATCATAGTTCTGTTTGGGTGGATAATTTTGTGAAGGCCCATAGTTCCTTCCATCCCCTGGCATGGAACCCTGATTATTGTAAGAGGGATTCCCTTGAGGGCTTGACATCGGGTTTTCTTGCCTATTATATTGGCCAGGACTCCTATTCCTGTCTCGTCTTCCTTGATTTCTCCCATACTGTACGGGAGGAGGGCGAGGGATAATTGTTCCATTAATATACTGATCTCCTATTTATCACACATCAAAAATTGTTTTCAGATATCTCCTCACAATCAAAAGGTAGCTCGATATTAAAGTACTCATATAATAGCTTACATTGAAATCGAACTAGTAATGAATTGGTCCAATCAGCGTCTTGTAGCACTGAGTAAATTAAAATAAAAAGCAAAAAAATTACCTCCATATTGCTTATTCACTGGATCGAGATAGGAATCAGGTAGCACAAAAACGACTCCAGGAACCTCTGTTAAGAAGCAAGTAATCAAATATCATTTTCAATTCTCTCCAATCGGGCAATTAATTCGAGAGTAAGAACAAAATACCTTCAAATTTGTTAGACTCCTCTTCGGTCATGACAGCCTGAAAGCCTGTGTAAAGTGTTGTGCTACAGGCATATATCTTCTTCTTTGCCTCTTCCACACTAAAACCACACATTCAAACACCACTAGTAAGCAAAACATCTTAATAATTTTCCACAAGCTTATTTGTTAGTTAGCGTATGTGTTTGTATTCAAAACAGCTTATAATCAAGATGAAAATGAAAAATCCTCAGAACCTGATTTTGAGACCCTTGGCACAAGTCTCCTCGTACACGCGAACCATCTCTTCGGGGGAGGGCTTGTTATCCTTGGGGAAGTCCATCACGAACAACCAGTGGTTGTAGTCGCAGCCCTCGAAGAGGATCGTATCGTTACCAATCTCCTCCGGGATGTTGCTCTGTGAGAATCGAGTAGATAGAAGCGAAATCGAGGATGACCTGAATGAACGAGATTGAACGACAACATTCCGGGATGGCCGAGATGGCGAAACGGTTCCGTTCTTGGGGACAGAAAAAGCCGCCGGGGAAGACGTCGCAGAGAAGGAGCGGTGGACGCCGGAGAGGGCTCTGAGGGTGCGGCGGTGGCGAATTAACGACGACGCCATGGCAGTGATCAGAAGGTGTAGGGTTTTGGAATATTAGGGTTTTAGAGCCTCTTTTATATTAGCCTGAAATTTAAGGACGGTGAAAATGGATAACAATAGCTACATATATAGAATTGTTCGCTCCCGATTGTACCCCTGGGTAATATGCAATAAGGTTTTTTTTTTTTTTTTTTTTCCCCTCAATCTTTCTCTTTTTATATAATTTTTTTAAGACAATTTTTTTCTTACAACTTTTCGTCGTTAGAGTTGATATTTTTTCATTATTAATTTAATTTTGATGTAACAAAATATAAGAAGATATAAAAATAAAAAAATATTATTTTTTTCACTTTAAATATATATTTAATATTATGATTAATGTGATATATATATATATATGATATAAAAAAATTCCCTAATTTCACGAAAAAAAATATTTCAGAGGAACTTAAGATTTACTAAATTTTTTTTGCATAAAATACATATTCTCAATATAGTTATAGTAGTTCAATTATATGTTATTAATTATAATAAAAGTTATTAACTAATTATGAAAATATTTCACATATTTTTTTTTCAAAATGTCATTTATCTTCCATTACTTCTCTTATTTACTTTTGTTACGGGAGAGGATCAATTTATATTGATATAAATTTAATTAACTTTGCATTCATTTTAAGTTGTTGATTTTAATCAACTTACGTGACTAAAAAATTATAACCAGTAGATGCAACTATAATTAATAACCAATTGAGTCATTGACCATCCTTTTTTATATATTTTTTATTTAATTGGGGCCACATCAATTATGATAATATTTTTGAAAAATATTTAGTATCAAATAATATTGTTTATGCATCTAAATTCTATTACTTTAATTTATTTAATTTGTATATACAGATTTATAAAATAATTTATCCTGATTTAAAGAATTTGTTAATGATTTTTTTTTTTCGAATCGATTTCAGCAATTATTCAATTAATCTAATATTTTATTAATTCATTTCACCTAATTTGTATTTACCAAATTCATAAAATAGTTTATTTTTGTTTAGGGTGCTTTTTAATGAATTTTTTTATTAATAAATCTATTAGTTGATCAATCCAATTCAAGTCAAGCTATAAAAAACTAGGGGTGTTCATCAACCGATCCAAATCGATTCAAACCGCGGTGACCGAACCGAAAAACCGATAACCGAAAAAAAATCGTAAATTTTAATTGGATTGGATCGTTTTTTGGATGGGTTGATGAAAATCGATCCAATCCAAACCGATCCAATATATTAATTCTCCTCTACCTATTTGGGTCTTTTTCCCAATTATAGTCCAAAAATTTCTAAACCCAAGACCCATTGGGTATCAACTAAACCAAAGAAAAAATCTAGTCACATCTCATCAATAAAATTTTATCTTTGTAGAGCTTCATATCTCATTGCTAAAAAAAAAATTATATTATAGTTTACTTATGCTTTTGTATTTAAAAAATAATAATTTACAAAGCCAATATATACAAAAGATGTTATTTGCATAATAATTATGAAATAAATTTTAGGATTTTCAAAAAACCGAAAACCGATCCAATCCAAACCGAAAAAAATTGGATTGGATCAGATCAGATTTGAAAAAAATCCAAACCGAATGGATGATTATATGATCAAACCGAAGGAATTGGATCGGATGATTTTTGCTTTCAAAACTGATCCAATCCAGACCGCGAACACCCCTACAAAAAACCACTCTCCCAAACTTTTTAATAAATTTTAAGGTAAGAGATAATAATACCATTAATACAATGCGTTTTTTTTTTTTTCATTCTTCTTTTTTATATTAGGTGTTTTGAAAAAATATTTATTATTTAAATAACACAATTTTGTATTATTTTAAATAAAAAGATCGTGTTTTTGTGTATATTTTTTGACATTTTACATATTTTTTCTTTCGTAAAATTAAAATGAGAGATTTGTGAAAGAGAAAAAAATGTAAAAATCCAACAAATATATATTAAAATATGACCATTTCACTTAAAATAATACATTTTAAATGACAAACACTTTTTTCAAGTTTAATATACCTTTATAAATTATATTCTGCTGGAATCTGTCCCTAAATTTTTAACTAATATTGTTAAGAATGTACCAAGCTCGCCCTCAAAGTAATATTTTCATGTAAATATTGACACATATGAGACAATTGATTCATGATTTTTCAAATAACAGATTTCAATATTTTTAACTAATGGCTTGTTTGTTTTATTGTTCTCTCAACGCAAACGTGCATCGAGTCAACAAAGAGTTGATTTCCCTCTTACAAACGCTATTCGGAACTATGAAAAAGAATGTTTGCATTGATTAAATACGAAACAACGGGTCATAAATCCCGAATAACAATGTCTGCTATTTTATATAATTTACAACATAAAATTAGTCTTAATGCAAAAAAATAAGTCTCATAAATTGATATCTTGTTTTGATTTTTGAGCAAGGTAATACCGAAACTTTTGTCTTTCTATGCATTCTCCCTCAATTATGGAGGTGAGATGCAAAGATGAAGCTAAGAAAGAGATTGATATGATAATTTTATGGGAAATAATTATCTCATGTTACATGAGATAAGCATGAGATAATTATCTCATGCAACAGATATAAGATTGTGGGGTTCATTACTTTTTCAAAAAAATAAAAATAAAATATCTCATGCAACAGAGACAAAATAGTGAGGTTCATTATTTTATTTTCTTTTTCTTTTTTTTGAAAAAGTAGTGGACCCCACAATCTTATATCTGTTGCATGAGATAATTATCTCATGCAACATGAGATTAATAGATCCTTAATTTTATTGGCTGTGCGTCTATGAAAATTGTTGAAGTCTTTCATTTTAAGTTTTTAGATTGAAATAATTTTTTATATGATATATGTGACTAGTTTTAAGTTCTATCCTATTAAATATGGGAAAGATTTGTTTACAAATTTTTTTTTTACAAATTACACTAAGTATGACCGATCATACACTCTTGGTTAAAATATAACCGATCGTACTTAATGTAATTTGTAAGAGTTTGTAAACAAAAAATTTATATATATAATTTTTACTATTAAATATTGTGAAATTTTTTAATATAAGAAGAAGGCTATAATAGCCCAACTTAATTAATTAGTAAATCTAATGTAATTAATTAATTAAACATGTTTTAGTGAGTGAAATTAAGTATAAGGCTTAATTAAATGAATCTGAGTCACTTTGGAGTTAAAAAGTGTACTCAGTGAAAATTAAGGGGTATAAATGGGTACTGGTGAAAGTGCCCAAAATATAAAAATAAAAATAGTAATATTCCTAGAATAATATTCCAGACTTTTGGGTAAAGTTTGGTAATTAATGGAGTTGAGTAGATAGACGAACCAATACCCACATGTTACCACTTAACCTATGTTAAGTGATAAAGTAACCAAAGAGAACCCAAATCCCCCCATTTCCCCCGTCGACGCCAGAAACAGAAAAGAAGAAAGGAAGAAGAAGGAGAAGGGGGGAAAGGGAGGAAGAGAGAACCTAGGGGGAGCAAGTCTCAACCATTTTGAGTGATTCCAAAGCCTAAACCACTCCAAATCTCCTCCTCTTTCATAATCCTTGCTTTGTTTTGAGTGGGGATCATTGTGGAGAGGGATATTGCCTCTCAAAAATTTGGCCATTGGAGAGATTTTGGAGTTTTGGTGGCTTCTACCTCCATGGGAGCTTGAGGAGCACTCACATCATTGTTGTGCAACCATTGGTGGTAAGATTTAAACCCTTGAACCTTATTTTCATGGAAAATTTCATGAGTAGGGTTTTGTGAATAGTAAAGTGGGAATTTTAGAAATTGTGAGTAAATTGACTATGTTCTAGGAAGATTTAAGCTTAGAGCATGTTGTGAAAAATGCTAGGAACGACATTTAATCGGTGGAAATGAGCCTAGATAGTCATTTGATAATTGTTCATAATATTGGAAAATTCATGCTTGGATTGGTTAGTATTCTAGCATGTTGAACAATTAGTGAGTTGAATGATTGATTGTGTCCTTGTGATGTCTAGGATTGAGACATTTGGACCAACCGTGAGTGATCAACCATTGGAGCAAGCTATGGAGCTTGAATAGCTCATTGGAATTGGTAAGCTCATCCTTGTGTTGTGGTATGAATAGGATAGCTTGGATTGATGATGATGAGTTATCCTTGAATGCAATATGTTAATTGCATTACCCTTGTATAGGTGTATATTTGTAAAAGTGGATTGCTGAAACTGTTGGTGAAGAACAAAGGTCGACTGAAGCATTGAGGTAAGCCTTCGGACCTTGGGTGTAATTCCCTTGACTGTTCTACCAAGCCCTGAAAGGGTGGAGGTTGTGATTGTGTATATAAATGCAATAAAATAGTGTAATGCTTTGTTATACGTATGTGTATGCATTTGGTGTGGCATAGGATGGTGTTTCCCTATGTTGGTATGTGGCATGACGATGCGTAAATCATACTTGGTAGTTAGCTGGCCAGTAGGACTATTTGCATCTGAGTTTCCTTAGGACAGCTTGAGAGCTCGAGGGATTTCTCCTGGAGATGTATTGCACTTTGCATAGATATGTATTTACTGCATTATTATTGTTATTGCTATTACACTGATATGGAACTGTGGGGTGGAGAGATGTTCCAAGGACCCCTGGTTTACTGGATATATTCGTATATCTCACCCCGTGTTGTGGGGACTCCCTTTCAGGTAAGGATGCTGCAGGAGCCTCTGGTGGCAAGTGGCCATATCTGGATTATGCATGAAATATGACATTTCTTTGAGTTTATGCATGCCTTTTGTAGTTGACATGTATAGGATTTTATTTTGAAAGTCCATGGTCATTTGTATATCTTGATTCATTGGATGAACTTAGCCTATGCTCATGCCCAGGGGTGTAAATGGGCCAGGCTAGCCCAGCCCAGCCTACGGCCCGGCCTACATTGAGCCCAGCTCAGGCCCGGCCTTTCAGAAAAGTAGAGTAGGCTTAGGCTTATAAAAAAGTTTTTTTAATAAATAGGCCATAGGCCAATTTTGTCAAGCCCGGCCTACAGCCTTGTAGGCTGGCCTATTTAATTTATTAAAATAAAATAATAAAATAATATTTATTTTATGTGGCAAAGACACAAAGTACCAAATATCAATATCTCTTACTTTTTGTGCTATTTTATTTTATGAAAGGAAAACTTGTCTAATGTCTCCAAATTTTACATGTTGTTGCAGCTTAATACCATGGAGCAATGTGTACCTTGCTGGATTATGATGTTACTGATGAAGATCTTTCAATAATACTCTTCTTTCCCTTGTCTTGATGGTGGTTTAAAGATTTTTAGATAAATGACATTCTCTTGTAGACTTTATTTCAGCATCCAGTAATTGTATTTTTCTTATTTTCCCATTTCTTTGACTCTATTCCTATATGATATACATTCTAGAGCTGAGGTATTATGTTGACTCTTTCTTGTTTGTCATTTTTTTCTTATGAGAAGTACTAGTGCATGCATGAATGGAACTTTTTTTGCTCTATACAATTATTTTTTTTGCTTAGTATATATAGTGGGAGGCCTACAAGGCCTGTAGGCCATGTCAGGCTTTCTTATTTTTGAAAATGGGCCAGGCTTGGCCTACAAATAAAGCCTTTAATAGGCCAGTAGGCCAGATAGGCTAAATTTTTTTGACGTAGGCTTGGGCCAGGATGGCCAAAGCCCAGCCCAGCCCATTTACACCCCTACTCATGCCTTTGGTTACACCTTTTGTTGATGGGAGCCAAGGGAATGATCATAGTGTTTTGTAAGCTAAGTTCTATGATTTGTAAAGGATATGTAATGTAAATGATGCCTACCTGAAATTCAATATATGCATGCTTGTTATGTATTGAGTTGTTGAATGAGTTGGGCTGAAAATCAATTAGGTACCCTTTGTTTAAATTGGTAAACGATGAGAAAACAAAGGTCATGCTGCCCAAATTCTAGCTAAATCTCATGAGGAGAGGTTGGATGAGTGCTAGGATTTAGTTTTGGGGCATGGACAATTGGGGTTTGTAATGGGGATGCACCTTCCCCTAGGCTTGGACTTGAAAAATGTGGGAATTGGAATTCCCTGGCAGCGCGCTTAAGCGCCCAGGAGCGCGCTCAAGCGCCCTGCTGCCCCTGCGAGTGCCAATGCATTCTGCCTCCTCGCGCTGGAGCGCCCTAGTGGGGGCTGAAGCGCCCAGGATTGCGCGCTGGAGCGCCCTGGCTCGCGCTTAAGCGCCCTCTGCTGCAGAAAGATGGGATGCTTACTGTCCCCTCGCGTTTTAGCGCCCAGGGTTGCGCGCTTGAGCGCCCTGATGCGCGCTTAAGCGCCCATTCACACTGAAATACCTGATGCTTCCTGCCTCCGTGCGCTGAAGCGCCCAGGTGGAGGCTTTAGCGCCCGATAGCGCGCGCTTGAGCGCCCGGTAGCGCGCTGAAGCGCGCGGGGCCTGTGACCAACACTCTCTTGTGTTGCTTCAAATTGTCCTAACTTGGGCTACAGTGCTCCGATTTGAGCACGGTTTGAAGCCACAGGTAGCTAATGAAGAAACCTACCATATAGTAGAAGTTGTGAATTAAATAAGAAGTAAATTAATGGTTTAAAAATGGAAAATGAACATGATGTTAAGCTTAATTTATCTGTTTCCGCAAGGTAATATGGTTATGATCACGAAATTGGGTATTATAAGTTCGGTACGTTTTAAAATGAAAAATTTATCCGGATTTTAGGTGAACCCATGTGATTGTAACTGCGCTTAATATCATAATGCGATGTTAACAAACCGGTTCTAGAACGGGGTGTTACAAAGGCCATGCGTTATCTATTTTCAAGGCAATCAACTTTTGTATGAAATGAAATGTAAAGAAACATGTGTCAGATTATACTTACAAATTTTTTGTTTACAAATTTAATTATATATTTCAAGGAATACACACGTGGAACACCTAGTTAAGTTTGTAAACAAAAAATTTGTAACTCCTCAATAAATATAACATAAAAATTATCTTAAACTTTCTGGTTGAAATGAAATTTATACATATTATGCTTATTTAATCTTTTGAACAATCAAAGATAGCTCATTAATGCCGAAACTACAAAAGTTATCACGTAAGCGATGAAAGTTTAAATAACACTTGTATTTCCCTTATATAATCTTAGCATCCTATCATGTTTCAAATCGTGCACAAACTCAAGCTGCAGCTATGCAAATAACTTAAAAAGGGCATTCACAAGAAGTAATATAGTATATTACGGAGTATATGTCCATTATTGGCTAGAATTAATATTTTATAAATAAACTTTCTTCTGCATTTCCCTTTTGTTCTTTTTGGCAGAACTTACTTTTGTTCTTTCGGCCAGTATAAATACAATAAAGGGACCGTAGCAACTTACCATTTAAAATTGTTTAACAACCTGGGAGAGTAAGAGAGACCCTCCATGTGCATGGTTTGGATTTGGAGAGAGAGAATCACAAAACACCCCTTCCAATGTAGTTGAGGTTAGACTTGAGACTTGAGACAATAAAAATAACAATAAACAATGAGTTTATGTGGAAAGGTCAGTGAGATCTAGTCACATACACTGTCCACATGCACCTTCACCTAATAAAAACACTGAAGTTGCCTGAGCTTAGATGCTTCTCTTTTGCACTTCCCCATTTCCTGGATCCCATCTTTTATGTGGGAAAGGAATCAAAAGATTGTATTTTTGCCATGAAAGCCTTCAACTTTTTGCATCAGAGCTAACGGGTTGTGTTGTGTTGTGTTGATGTGAGAAATGGTGGAGGTGCTGCAGCATGGTCTCTCTCTGGCTGAGACACCAACATATTCAGTTGCCTCAGTTGTTACTGTAATGGTCTTTGTCAGCTTCTTGGTTGAGCGTTCAATCTACCGCTTTGGAAAGGTAAGAGGGAAATGGATTCTCAAAATGCTCTCACAAATGAGATTTCAGCCTTTTATATTCTTGGAACAAAAGACATATAAGTCATTCAATTGCTCTCATAGTTGTAGGAGTTAGAGACATACACCAAACCACATAAATAAACTACTGAAAGTACAAAATTCTTATTTTTATATTTATTTATTTACTTATTTTATTTTTTTTGCTTTTAGTTTATATCAATGTTGATCACTAATAAACTTTAACTGGCTTGAACAGTAAGTGGAACTTAATTTCTTAAATCTCTTGAGATATGAAACTTATTTTTCTTGGCTGTGCAGTGGTTGAAGAAAACAAGAAGGAAGGCACTTTTTGCTTCACTGGAGAAAATTAAGGAAGGTATAACTTTTTATTCCTAGCTCAAAATCACAAAAGTGAATATAAACTTGAGTTGAATTTGAAGAGTTGGAATTGAGATACCATTAGAAACCCTTCTATCACTTGGGCATATAATAAGAGGAAAGGAATGAATAACAAAGGGATTAGTAGCAATACATGCATAAATTCAATAATACTACTAGCCTGATTCAAGTTTCTTATGAGATACTTTGTCACCTTTATCATTTTTTTTATTTTTATTTTGTATTGAACTTGGATTGATTCTTCCTAATCCTGATAGAGCTGATGCTGCTTGGGCTTATCTCTCTGTTGTTGGCACAAAGCGCAAGGTGGATCTCTGAAATTTGTGTAAATTCATCACTTTTCAGCAGTCACTTTTATATATGTTCTGAGCAAGACGTTGGCGTGAATGAGAATATCATGCTTCAAATCTCGTCCTCTATCCATCATCAGGGAACTACTATTCCAAAGGGACTAAATAGTGGTGCAATCAATCAATGTGGAGAGGTAACAATAACATGGTTCGATTACAAATATAAAGAGACTCAGATTAAATCACTGTTTCTTTGCAACACTACGAATCATCCTTATGAAATACACTAATAAATGAATGCAGGGCCATGAACCATTTGTTTCATATGAGGGTCTTGAGCAGCTGCACCGGTTCTTATTTGTTCTTGGGATCACTCATGTTCTGTACAGCTGTCTGGCAGTTGGTTTAGCAATGAGCAAGGTCAGTCATCAAAACTTCCAGTTTATTATAGGATTATGTATATTTCTCCATAGCACTTTAAAAGTTTATTGACCCTTGAGGTGTTATGGCAACAACAATACAATAATATTCACAATTATTATGCCTAAAATGTGTCAACGTTCTTATAATCTAAGAAGCACCGATACTCCTTAATTTTTTTTTCCAACGTATCGGATACGCGTATCGGAAACGTATTGTTTGGTAATCTACATCCTGTATCATCGAAAACGCGTATCGGTGCTTCATAGCTTATAATCAGTAATGTCAATATTTTACAAATATTGTCTTTGCTAGAGTTGTTAATAGTGTAATAGGAACAACGGAAATGATTTTCCTTGTAAAGGATCCTTGTTCCAATCACTTGGAGTTGTCTTAGTTGCTATTGTTATCTATATTTGTTTGTCTGGTTCATATCCTTCTTATATGATCATTCCAATTCTTCTAAATTATAAAAGGGTTCGTCGCTTCTCCTTTCGCTGCTGATGAAAAAAGTTGCAGCAAATTATTAACACTAGGATACAGGGTCGTATCCTGACCTAAAAAAAAAAATAAACACATCAGAATTCGGACGCGTATCCTGATAAAGATAAAAATAAGTGTTGCTGCACTTTTTCCCATCTGCAGCGACAGAAGAACTATATTTCCCATTATAAAAATATGTTTTCATCTTCATGTGTGGCTGACATTGCCTCTTCAATGCTAAGTAAGCAGTGGTTTTTCTTCTCTTTATTGCGTGTATTTGTAGATCTATAGTTGGCGCAGATGGGAAAATCAGGCTACGATCGCAACCGATGGAAATCTGCAAGGTAAAGAATAACATAGAATGGTGATTCATTGACCAACCATTTTAGTAACTTTGTCAAAGTAGAAACAAATGACTGGATGGAAAATTCTACAAACTTGATAATTTTCTGCATCATAGATTACATGTTAATAATATTGGTTTTATTTTTACTAATTTTTTCTCTATAGGAAAGAAAAACAAGGTGATGAGGCGGCAGACAACCTTTGTTTTCCATCACACTTCTCATCCATGGAGCAGGAATCCAATACTAATATGGATGGTGATTATCATCAATTTTAATTACACATCCTTAATTATTCCTGAGCTTATTTTCTTTTTACCGAATTAACATTTTGATGGATTGTTTGGCTAGCAAATGAAATGCATATTACATCTTTCAGTTTGAAGAGTAAAAATTCTAAAAGTATTACAAGATAGTCAAATATTCCTGGATTGCAAATTATTTTTGAAACATTTCTCTTCTTGTCTCTAATTTTGTTTAGTATCAGCCTTATGAGCGTTTTGGAAGTCTTAATAATGGATATGATAATTTGTGATCTGACCTTGCAGCTCTGTTTTCTACGTCAGTTTAGGAGTTCTATAAAAAAATCAGATTACCTTGCACTCCGTCTGGGTTTCATCACTGTAAGTTTTTTATTTGTTGAGGGTTTTCTTTTTCAAATTTTTTCTGTCCTCTCGAGTCTTGATAGATTTAGCACAATGTACTACATACCTGGACATTCTTTTCCAGTATTGTTGCTTGCTCTTTTAATTCTTATGTTTGAAGGAACTTTCTATTCAATATGTTATACACAGTGGACTCAGATGCAGTCTTGCATTCACAAATCACAAAATTCCATGTCATTCTTCACATAAATGATCATAATACGTGACTGTAACACCCCGTTCTAGAACCGGTTTGTTAACATCACGTATAGCATTAGGCGGAGTTACAATAACAACAATTGAATTAAAGTACGGATAAACTTTTTCTTCTTTTTTTATTTATTTATAAACGTTTATGTTTAAAATCAAATCCGTAATTAAAACAATTCCAATAGCTTTAATCATAACTTAAATTACATTAGGTGTTTCTAGAATAATATCATTAATTTGCTCATCATCTTCCTCACTAGCTTATTATACACCACTGGTCTGCAGGAACACAAATTGCCGTTGTCATATAATTTTCATAACTATATGGTTCGAAGCATGGAAGATGAATTTCATGGCATTCTTGGAATAAGGTATAAAATCTTCTGAAATGGGTTTCTCCTTTTCATAACAAGGAATGCTCATGATTAGCATAGGGAATGGGGTAAGAGAACAGGCCAAAGTTTCCTATGAGAGAAACTCCAGGGTTCTTGTGGCAAATACGTATGATTTTTTTTAATCAAAAGCATGGAGAAAAAAACTTGGAGCTGAATTACGTTTTTCAATTTGCAGCTGGCTGCTTTGGATATATGCCATAGTCTGCATCTTCGTGAACATCCATGGTAACATTCCTTCTTCAGAATGAAGATGTGTAGATCATTAGTGTATTTGATTACTTTCCTCAGATATTTAAGTTTCTAAATTTGCAGGTCTGAATATATACTTCTGGCTCTCATTTATCCCTGCAATTGTATGTATATTATATTCTGGTTTCATATTTCAACTAATCACAATGAAACAGTCCATTGAAAGTTATTTTTGTTAGCGTCTGATTTCTCTACACGTAAAAGCTTGTCATGATAATAGGGACCAAACTTCAACATGTTGTATCCACTTTAGCACTTGAAATCATGGAGCAGACAGGTCCATCTGCTAGGACTCAAGTAAAGCCGCGTGATGGTCTTTTCTGGTTCAATAAACCAGATATACCGTTATGGCTGATACAATTTGTGATATTTCAGGTAAAATATGTAAACACTTTATTTATAGTCGGATCATTGTGTATAGTTGTTATTTTGTACTTATTTTCTCTACTGTTCATGTAGAATGCCTTTGAAATGGCAACCTTTATTTGGACATTGGTAAGTATTTAATTTTCTAAGATTGTATTTTTGGCTATGCCAGCATGTGTGTGCCTATATCTGTTCCATTATTAGAATTAGTCTGCTTAAGAGATTCTTGATTTCTTGTATGTCTAGTGGGGACTCCAACAACAATCGTGCTTCATGAGAAACCATTACATGATCATCACTCGGTTAGCATCAGGGTTAGTTTCATTTCTTTCAAGAATGCTTTGTTCAAATTTCTTGACTAATTTTCCAGATTCTACAATACTTCAATTTGCAGGAACGCTCTCATTTTCTTATTTTTAAACTTGCAGTGCTCTTGTTCAGTTCTGGTGTAGCTATATGACAGTGCCCCTGAATGTGATAGTTTCGCAGGTGGCTTAACCTTTCTCGCTCTTAAGTTCTTGTTTCTAATATGTGATAGTACATATTTTCTTATATTTTGTGATGATGTTCAACAGAAATGTGACAGCAATATATTTATTTTATTCTGATATTGACCCTTGATCACTCCAGATGGGATCTCGATGTAAGAAGGCATTAGTGTCAGAGAGTGTAAGAGAGTCCCTGCATAGTTGGTGTAAAAGAGTAAAACAGAAGTCTAAGCATGAATCTTTGCACTTACATACCGCCAGATCAGTATGTTCCCTTGAATCCACAATTGATGAGAGGGACGAGATAACAGTAGTATCCGGTACTCTAACTCGAAGCACTTCCTTAGAGTCTTTGAATCAGATAACAGTAACTTCAGTAGACCAGCTCAATTTTGAGACTTCCAACAACCCCAAAGATTCAATCAAGGTGGCTGAGTATTTGTCTGAATCTGTACCACACGTACATACTAATTCACCACAACCACCCTACAATGATGGTGAAGACCATATTGGCAACGGAGAGGAAGCAAAAGTTGAGACTCTTCTTGATTTGTTTCAGAAGACATGATCAATTTATGTTTCATATCTCTAAGTTTTACTGCATAACCAATTGGGAATTCAGGAACATAGATGTACTAATCAAGAAGTCATTCTTAAACACTCCGAAGCATAGATATATAATTAGTCGATAATGAAGAAGCTTGTACTGCAGATACAATTAGATATCATCACTCTTTTAAGTGATATGAAGTTATAAACCTCAAAGTAGGGTTAAAATCTGGCCATACAATATATCTCATCCTACCATTCTGGAAATCAAATCCTCAGCATTAGCATCATCAGCTCTTTGCAGGTAAGAATCAAGTAGGCATCATTCATTGACTCACAGAGGGTGGAAGAGGCAGAGAAAAATCCATGCACAAAGCACAAAAAAAAAAAAAATTGTTTATAAATTACTCGGAAAGTCACAATTCTTATTCAACACAGAAAAGAGGGAAGGAGGAAAAAGATTTCCCACAGAATTATGTCAAAAAAAAAAAAAAAAAAAAACAGTTAGGAAAACATCATTAAAGCTACAAGAAGTTCACTTTTTACTATAGATGAAGGAATTTATGCATAAGTTACTCATTCTGATGAAAACATAAACAACCATATCCTGAGAAAAAAAAGGTACAAAATTAAACTTAACAGACATGAGGGGAACAGCAAGATATTTAAAAGCAATGGGAAAGAAGAAGTTTTGAGGTCACATTTAAGCAGTGAGCTCTTCCTCTTTGTGGGTCTCAATAACAACATCTGACTGAGGGTAAGCAACACAGGTGAGAACAAATCCACTTCCTATTTGATCATCATCAAGGAAGCTACCATCTGACTGATCCACTTGGCCATCAACAACTTTGCCAGCACAAGAAGAGCAAGAACCAGCCCTGCATGAGTAAGGAAGCTCAAAGCCTTCCTCCTCAGCCTGGTCAAGAATGTAAACATCATCTGGGCAATCAAATTCTTTTGTTCCCTCTGGTGTAATCAGTTTCACCTTGTAGGCAGTGATACGACCTCCACGTCCACCTTTTACACCAAACAGAGACTGACCCACGTTTGGAAATGCCTTTAGGCTGTTGCTCACTGGCTGCCTCCGGAGGAAGGAGGTGCTCACCATTGTGCCAGAGAAAGCTTGTGTCGTCGCCATTCTTTTGGTGCTGCAAACTGTGGAGTATGCTACCAACTAAAGCAGAGAAGACACTAGTTTGTGGTGTCCATAATAAAGAGGATCTTGTGGAAATAGTGTTGCTTACAACGAGTAGCGACGTGAAGTGGCATGCTACCCTATCTGCCACTTGGCAGTTTTTTGTGCCTCACCCGATCTATCTTAGCACCATAGATAATTGGTGATTGTGGGTGGCACAATCCTCCCCCTACAGGTTTTACTTCATGAAGGATTTATTTAATCTTTTTCTCTGGCTCTATAAGTTTTTTCGTCTTTGGTAATATGAATAATATAAATTTATGATAACCATACGTACGATACAATTGCAAGGAAAGAGATTTGTATATTAAAATTGTGTTCGAAATTTCAACTTGATTACTGGCAGAGAACCTCGAGCATATTAACGCCACAACATCCAGTTTGCGATTCATCATCATGCTTGAACTAAACAATAATAACTTCACGAGTAATGCTAATTGTACAATTACCTTGTGAAAAGACCTCGAAGCACATATGAAAACGCATGAGCAACTGTGATAAAATTTGTTCAATTTCATTTAAACTCTTGCCAAATTCCAATGTAACCCACATCAGCAGTTAAGGGAATTTTTGCTTACAACAAACGTGAACACTTGAATCTCAAAGAAAGCGGAACACGAGCAATATACTTTCGCTTCTACAACCATTGAATGTTTATCCTTGCCGTGCTGCATTTCACACCCCATGGCCTACGAAAATCTCCAAAAATAAGGAACAGAAAATGAGAAAAACAGCTCGGTTAAGAAGCCAAGCATGCCGCAACAAAAAACTTTATCTACTCATTTATTCTTGGCTAAAACCGTGTCTCATGTTACACCCAGAGATGAAGAAACATTGAAAATACATACAGCCTTATAAAAAAAATAAACGACGAGGAAAAATGCACGTCAATGAATTAAAATTTAAACATGAAGGGATGTGGAGGAAGTAGTTAGGAAGGATATTCAGATATTAATACAAAATTCCGAAGCACAAAATTCATTTCCGAGACTTCATCCCCTCTACATACATTGATTCAATAGCTAAACCGTGTTGGGGAATCAGACATCAGTCCGTCAATCGGGCACCTATATATAAATGGATGAAAGAGTGTAACCACAAGAGTCTGATATGTTGCTAGCTATCTAAATTATAAAGATCAATCCCTGCATTCTAAATCAAGGCTTTCAATTACAGCCAATGGAAAAAAGCTCAGGGCTTCCCTAATATTGTGAGAAAGAATACATCCTCATCTTCAAAACCCTGTGATACTACCTGTAAACTTTTGTTTGGTCCCCCCCACACATGACCAGAGGCTTCCTCTAAGAATTTATTGTGTCCAGCAACAGACACATAGAAGTGCTCTGATCTAGACTCACAGAAAAGCCTTAGTCACACTTGATGTTTCTGTAGATCCTCCTCACAAACAAATTCGAACCAAGATAACCCACAGCTCCTGCACATTTGAAGAAAAACTTTAATCTAATTAAGGAGATCTAAAAACACCAGCATTTATAAAAAAAAAAAGGTATTTGGCATGTGATTAAAGTATCTCTGAGTGAACCCACGATTCTAACTGAGATTAAAATAAAACAAGACTAACCGCAGAGAATTCCCAGTCCAAGACAAAACATCAAAGTGTATCCAAAATAGAAGCTGGTTTGGAAGAAGCCTGACATCTTTGTCTTCACATAGTAGTAGTATATTGAGTACAAATACACATAAACAGCTGTTGAGGCAGCTGAAAAGAAAGAAGTCCATTGCCAGTGGTAGTTCTCAGCATTTAACAAAAAGTATGTCCCAACAATTGTCACACAAACGGTGACAATAACAAGAATCACAAAAACCAATAGCATGAAGCCATAGACATAGTACACCTGTTTGTCACAAAGTGGAAGGAAAAAACATGTAAGACAACAGTGCATGTGTTTGCTCAGATTTCACAGGAATTTAAAAGTTACTAGTTAAAAGACCATTATATAGAAATATTTTCCACAGGAAATAATTATTCGCTCTGCTCTGGTAAAGAACAAGTAAACCTTCTACCAAACCAATAAGGAAAAAAAATAACTCGCAAACAAATCCTTGCATTGTAATTCACCTTGTAATTCCAGAAGGAAGTAAATACAAAATACATCTCAATGAATATGCTGCCAAAGGGAAGCAGTCCTCCCATTAGAGAAACTACAGATGGTGTGAGGTACCACTTCTTCTCAGGAATGGGGCGAGGAATGGTCTTTACGCGACAAGGATTATTTGGAGCACCACTCCAGTTTCTTCCAACAACTGTGCCAAGAAGTGCTAGAGGGAAAGATATGAAAGCCCAAATAACAAAGACAACCACCATTGTACCAAAAGGGATTGCTGCTAGAGATCCATAGAATATAGCAACTGTGTTTAAGATAAATCCAATTCCAAAGCACAAGAATGGGAACAGCGATGCTGTAAGGATCATGGATTTAATCCAACTTTTACCTAAAAATGATAAGCATAGTTATAATCATTCAGAGAGAGAGAGAGAGAGTCACCCAAACAAACTCAAAGAGAACATGCCCCAACGCTCAATGCAAATTCTTACCCCCATTACGTGAGTACATCCCCCCACTCACATAACCAGAAATGAATGACGTGAGAGCATAACATACAATGAAGGTTGTGACAATGGCTCCTCGCCTGCATATTAAAACAAATTTACATAATAATGAAAATGAAGGGAGAAGAAATGGACAAACAAAATACAGTCAATAGGAAAACTAGAGCAATGGATCATCTGATGATAGTTGAGATGTATAAGCAGAAAGTACCATGCATATATCGCATTAAGTCCAATTTTCACATTATCATTATTCAGAATGATATTACAGTTAATTTTAAGGGTATGTGCTTACCCAACATACAACATCCCAACGATAGCCAACAAGATGACAAGAAGAACCAGCAATGCAAGCTGAGCACCTGTACCAACAACAGCTGAATGAAGAACCAAACTGCGAGGAGGCCGAAAAACATCACCATGCACAAGTTTCCAGCCAGATTCCTCACTAACATCTCTTTCCTGGAAGTATTTGAGTGTTGACAATCAGAACCACAATAATTTTTCCAGGAAAGAAGAATATATTTTTCATAAATAAAAAATAACAGACAAAAGTTAACAAAGCCTCACCAGAGTTTCCAAATCATCATCTTCCCGAGCATACTTTGCATAGTCGTTTCTCAAAGTTCGCATCAATATCATTGACACCAATCCAGTAAGGAAAATGACCATCATAAAAGAGTTGAAAATGGAGAACCAATGAATCTACAAAAGGCCAAAGGAGAAAAGTTCTCTAAGTGACTTGGCTAAGGTAGGATCAACATGAATGAACACATAGCAAGTAAACCACGATAAACACCACTTCAATCTAAAATACAAAGCTGACAGCATTTATTTTAACCTGATGCTCAAAGAACGGATAGTCCAGGTATACATCAAATCGGCGTCCAAAAGTGATATTAGTAGAAATCCATTTGACAGAATATGTCATGTCCAAAGGTCTTCCTGCTTCCAAAGGCTTAGGGTTGTCATGAGTGAGATTCACATGAATGATCTGCAAGAAAACAAACATAAGTATGACACTTCATGAATCCCAAAATAGCTCATAAGATGGCGAAGATATTTAAATAACTTCTGACCTGATCTTTATTGTATTTAACAATGATATTCTTGTGCGTGTAAAGCACATGCTTGCCATTATCACTGTTCTTGTCAGGATGGAGCTCGCCAACATACCCTTAAACATGAATAAAAGTACCTTCAATAATGATCAACAAATGAAATGCAAAATCACATCAAATAAAAAGAAAGAGGCAGTTGTAGGCATACCCCACAATGGAAGGTCATCTGAACTTGTATTTAGCGCATCGAAGACCAACAAATATAACAACAACGGAAAGAAACAATGCCAAGAGTAAGTTATTAAACAAATTAAAAGAAAAGAACTATTGAAATTAAAAATAAAATAAAATAAAATAAGAAGTAACCCATAGAATGAACCCTCACTCACATCATTATGCCTATCAAAGCAATATAACAAGAATTTCTTCTTCTTCTTTTTATAGATATTCCAATTGGTTCATCGCTTCGCGACTAGTTCGATTGGGGGCGGGTCCTGGGATTAAGGCTTTAAACCCCTCCCAAAGATAGTACAGGGGAGGATCGAACACATGCTCTCACCCCCAACTGCTCAGTTCCCTAGCGCCAACTGAGCTACCATCATTTGGTATATAAGATGAATTTCTAACACCCACTAAGGTATATGCTTGATAAATAACTTTAAACAAATAATTCTTCTTACTTTTGAAGGGGAGCCTCGGCGCAATAGTTAGGGTTGTCACAATGTGACCCAGTGGACACATGTTCTAGTCATGGAATTAGCTTCTAGCAAATGCAAGGTACAGCTGCCAACAGACCTACATAGTGGGGCCAACCCCTCCCTAGAGCCCACACATAGACCTCTATACCACCAGGATGCCCTTACTTTCTTCTTCTTTTTGAGTTCAGGTGATTATAATATCAGTCAAGAATGTTTTCATATAAAGAATTCTTAACTTTATACTTCTTTCAGTTCTGGTAAATTTATATTTCACAAAACACCCAGCCTGATGGGACATCCGGTTATAATGATTACAGGATCAAAATTGAGAAGGGCACAACTCTTCCAGGCTTAAGTGTTTCTAATTCAGTGAGTGCTTCACACTGTACAATGTCTAAAATATAAGTTCCATCCCGTATACATCATTAATTTATATAACGTAACTTACACATGAATATAATCCCACTTGTTGTAAATAGCAAAGTATGAAATAAGAATTTCTATTTTTCTTAAATCCCTATCAGTCTTGGTTGCAAAATAACATATGGAAAGAACGCCCATAAGCTCATCAAAACCTCAACAATTACAAAGAAATCCATAAGTAAGTTCGTTTCTTCAATTTTAAAGGACTCGTATTTATCATTTCCAACTGAGACTATTGCACAAAAAGCATTTAATGCATACATTCAATAACTTAATCTAAATCCCTAGCTGCCAGCTTCTCCTCCCCTATTAGCAATAAACTAGGCTTCCCTGACTCTCAAAAGCAATTGCATGAATACAGGTGCAGGTATCTTCCATTTGATTGTAGGATTAATATATCATTCACAATTAAAAGCTACTGTTGGCCTCTTCCAATGTATCTCCCTGAAGTTGATTCCAAGGTTGGATAATACAGAAGCTGATTGGGAAGCAAAGACAGAGAAAGGGGCAGTATACTGTTGATTGGATATTATTTACCCCGTCCCCTTCAAGTTTGTTAAAAAATATTGCTGCAAGCTTCTAAAATTTCTTGACTATCCAAAAGTACAATTATTCTATCAATTCTCTTGAGTAATAAGCGAAAGAAAGAAACGATGCACAACATACCCATGAAGAATTCAAACCAGTAATTATTCTCTATTGCATCCTTGAACTGTTTAACCTTTGCTTCATCAAGATCCAGACGGCAAAAGGTGGTCCTATCCACATTTCCTAAAAAATAAATAAATAAATAAATGAAAATATGTTAAAGCCAGTTTGTTTACTGATAGATCTTTTATGAAATAAATAGGACAAAAGAGAAGCCTGCATAACCTAAAAACTTTATCTCAATTTGGCTATCAATGAGTTCGTTGCCACCCAGGACCTCACCAAGACCACCCCATTTGTGTGCAGCATTACCAGGCGGACGGCAAAATGGGAGGCTGTAATAATTGTATGTTTCTTGTGGATTGTTATAAGGACCAACTTTGTTCACCCAAAGGAAAACTGGCTCATCTTGTTGGTACTGTAATAAAATGAAATACACGATTTAAACAGATAGCCATTGTTGCCCGGAAGCTACAATTAAAGATACATATTTAATGTTTACCACTAGCTCAAGGCGGGAGAAGAGAAATTCTGTGATATAGGGATTACAATGACAACAGCTTAAAGACATTTAGAAGTACATTCTAGACATTAATTAAGAACATTCATGTAAGTGTACCAGTTATTAACTTCGTGTAACCATGAATTGATTTATGATATGAGATCAACACGAAGCTCATACATGATAGAAAGCACAAGCACTGTCCAGTCAAAGTCTAACCCAACATTGCCAACAGAGAGTAGACAGGGGAATAACAACTACAAAGCATGTATGTTGAGATGAAGTGTGAAAGTTAGGACTAAAACAACCGAACAACAATGAATTTCCTTTTATGTTCAATATCAGCCGATCCATCCCGGTAAACATCAACCCTTGGATTCTTCTTTCACGGGTTGAATGACAATTGATGCATACAACAGCAAAGAATTTGGTATCTGTTAAAGTAAACAAACTAGCTAATCACTCTCGAGACATTTAACATCGCTATAAAACGAAGTAAGTGACAAGTACAATGTCAACCTACAAGCTTTTCATATTTACTTAATGCCGAGTCCAATGAGAATACTTTTGAATTTCAAAATAGCCAATATAATGAATTATTGACAGAAAAGGGAAGACTTGAAATTGAAATCCACATCCAAACATAATGTTAATCATTTAAGCATCTACATCGAACACAGAGACGCCGGAATGAGTAAAAGTGCATAATGCGGACAAGTGTGGAAGCAGTTGAGATCTAGCGCCAAAACGCCCAACCATCTCACTCAGGCATAAATCACAAACGAAAATAAAAACATGCAGCTGAGAAAATCAAAGCAAAATTGAAAGGTAGATCTAATTCCAAAATGAACGAAAAGTAGATCCAGCGGTACAATCAGAAAATCTTACCTTGTGATCTGACTCGGAAGCCAACGCCGGATAAAGGAACAGAGACAGGAGCAACAGGACAGAGAATCTGAAGAACATGATGGATCTCAAACCTTGAAGAGAGAGAAACCAAACAAGGACTTGCCCTTGAACTATTGAGACTTTCTCTCTCTCTCTGTTTGCTAATAATTTTTCCGTTCAACAAAACAAAGCTTGCATTTTTTATTTTTATTTGTTTGTCTACAACTACAAGTCACGACCTATACGATCCAATAAAATCCTAGAAGAAAAATATTACTCTCTCTTGTTTTTTTTCACCTCATTTTTCTTGTTTTTTATTTTTTTTATACAAAGATGGGACTGATTTATTTTTTTCTATAACATAAGATAATTATTTCATGTAAAAAAAAGTAATAAAATCCTAAAAAGAAACAATTAATGGATATATTTATTTGAGAAATATGTTTCTCAATATAGTTTTATTTTTTACATACATAAAAAGTAAGAGATGAGATATTTTTAGTATCAATTTTTTCTACTACCATTTCATTGCCACTTTAATCATCATTGAATTAAAAATAAAAAAAATTCTCTCTCTTCATTTAAAATTTTCTCTGATTCAATAGTGATTAAAATAGTAATTGAGTGATAGTTGAAAAAATTGGTAATAAGAATATTCTACCTCAAAAGTTAAATGGTATCCATGTTTTTTCATTTCTCTTTACTTAATAGATTTCACCCACTTTTTTATATGTTGTATAAGATAATTTTATCTCATGTAACATGATAAATATATTTATTTATTTATTATTGTATTAAAAAAATTAAAACTTTGTGCCGAAAAATGGGCCTCGAATTTGTATTGGGCTTTTTTGGAGAAGGATTGGCTTGTTATCTCATTTACTTAGTGAATAACAAAAGAATCGATCCAATTGGGCCATGTCTAGCCCACTACTTATAAAGCTTAAGGACCCCCAACCCATATGGCGACAATGATATACAACAAAGTTTTCAACACGGGCACAGTTAATTAATTATACATTTATATACTTCAACTTGTATTCTTCTGCAATTTTAACACATTCATAATTATGGGTAGTTTATACAGATGGCTATATTATATGCTATAAATATGACACTTCTTAAAAAACATTATCCGAACTGAACTAAAATTGAACCATAACGTAATGAAAGAATCGTGGAAACTAGTAAAACTACACCATTTTATTTTTTACGATATTGAAGTCGAGAGGGGAAAAACCGAAAAAGAAAAGGGTTGGTGGCCATGCCATGCACCTGTAAATTGAATGATGTGACATGACATGGTAAACAATAAGTCAAAAAAATATAAGGTGATATAAAGATGCACGCATGGGAGTGTCATTCTTTAATCATGACATATAGGAAATTAATTCCCATAAAAAAACGTGTAGGAATTTGGTTCCAGAACCAAATAAAATTATATTAAATTGTACGATGGACCCCGTTTTGGCTTTTGGATTAGCTCGTCACCGCCACAAAAAAGTTTTCATGATTCATGCCGCATCGTTTTGCGGCTCATACAAATCCATTCATTTAGGGGTGTTTGGTTGAGAATTTTTTTTTGAAATAGTAGGAAAATATAATAGATAGAAAAATGATTAGAAAGATAGATAAAGTGAGATAGGTAGAAAAATATAAAAAAAAAGTTGTTTGGTGGGGAAAAACTTTACTGGAAAAATTAAGTAACTTTATGAAATCAACAGTGCATTAAAAATCAGAAAACCAGTTTTCCAAAAAATCTCACCTTCAAACTGGGTTTCTAAACAGTGCGGATATTTATATTTTTCATAAATTCAGACAAATTGGATAGATGAGTTTTTGGTGAAAATACGTTGAAACAAACATGGTGTTTCTAAAACCCATATTTGATAAACATAAATATCCGCTGAAAAGCTCTCAACCAAACATCAACCAAACACCACCTTAAGTTGCCGAGCGTATTATAGTTTACCACTTATATATATATCCTATAAATTCATAGTATATATAATGATGTGATAATACATACTAGATGATAATGCAATTGTTATTATTTTTAAATAACCTCTATCAAATTGAAATTCTATAATTTAATATACAAATAAGATATTGTGATGTCAACTGCATCGTTGTATATTTGTAGTTGTGAAATTAACTCATTTCATCTTTTAAATGATTGCTAAAATTACTATATGAGTCTCGAATATTTTTTATTTCGAGTAAAAAATGTATTATGGACTATAAGAATTTTCATTCGAGTGATGTGATAAAATTTTAAAAAATTTGCTGTTCTCTTCGTTACTGTAACTTGGAATTTACAAGTTTTATTGAAATTAGGTGAATTTTAAATTTTTAAATTTAGTTCAAACTTCAAAATTTAAATTTACAAATTTTTGTTGTTGTTCGCGCTCGCTACATTATATTTTAAATATTTTAAGAAAAAATATAATAAGATATGCATAATTAATTTAGTATATATATGTATAATAATTTCAAATTAACTCAAGATCAACGGAAAGGGTGTATAATATTATCATTATATTATCATTACAGAGTAGTCACATAGAATGGAAAAGATAATAGAAATTTTATCGAGTATGAATAGGGTTCGCCTTGGCCTTTTTTACCTATTTTTACAAAATTGATAACATAGTAGAGGATAGGAATATGATTTTATTGAGAAAGTTTGATCTCTTACATACAAGATGCTATGTACCCAATGGGTGCAGCTCAGTTGGTAATTTGGCGCTGAGTTAGTGGGGTTGGACATGTGTTCGATTCCTCCTGAATGCATTCTTGGGGAGGGGGCTGAACCTTTAGCCCCCGCATTCCGAATTAGTCTCATAGCCGGCTCAAAGAGTCGAAGCTCGTGGGGATACCAGAGGGAGCCAACTCGCCTCAAAGAGGTAATTAGGGTTGGGTAACTTCAAAAAAAAAAAACAAGATGCTATGATTAACTTATCTCGTGCCCTTCATTCCTTCATATAAAAGTTTAAATAGAAAAAGTACATAACCGTAATAAGTAAGAAACTATCATACTAACATAATGAAAACTAGCTACTGACATAATGGAAACTAATTGTTATCCACTACCCCACTTAATCAACAAAATAAATCTTCTTAACATTTTCCCTCCTCTTAAAATTTACTCTTGTCCGGGGCTGTTTGGTACGAGAGTTTTTTTAAAATTTTCGAGTAACTGAAAGTGATAATCTTAATTATTCACGTTTGGTACAAGATTTTTAAAACTTTCTCAAAAATCTGATTTTTTTAAAATTTTATTTTGTGTGTAAATGTTTTTAAAAATATCATCCAGAAAGTGGTATTTTAAAATTTCTATGACAAGGAAAATTTTAATACAACTAAACATAGCATCAAAAAAATTAATCTAATATTTTTTGAAATATGTTAGTCTACCAAACAACTTTTTGATAACATTTTCAGAAAACTCATTTTCTCATCATATTCCTGTAAATCGTGATTTTCAGATAAAAAAAAAATTATCTCGAACCAAACGACTCCTAAGAGTAATTTCAGGAAATTATTACAGTAAAAATTCAAAGTTTCCCCATGTGATTTCAGTTGGGGTTAGTTCTCTGGCAGATAATCCTCCAAGTGAATGCATGCTTTGCCATCACTACTTCCTTCCATAATCGCCTCAATCAAGAAGAGCTTTTTGTAATGATGTCTTGGCGCAAAAGTTTCATTGCATTGGAAACAAAGTATCTTCTTCCTTCGATCTGAAATCTCCTCAAACGTTAGCCTTCGAACATAGGTGGGGTTGGTCTGGCAGTGGTAGCTACTGGTAGCAACTGTGGAGTTTACCTACTTTTACATAAATGATAATACAACAGAGGATAGGAATATGGCTCGAGGAAGCCTAATCTCTTGCACACGAGATCCTATGATTAACTTATTTCATATCTTTCATTGCTTCATATGGCCATTTAAATAGAAAAAATACATACCTATAGGTGGTGTTTGGTGGGGGTATTCTTGAGGATGTCTATGCAAGTGAAAGTGGGAAAGTAAAACAATCATGTTTGGTTCACCGTTTCCTTCAATTTCCTCATTTAAGTGATTTGCATAGATTTCAATATTTTGTGATAGATAGCTAGGAAATTCTACTGTTAGGAAAGCTAATTTGTATGTGGTTTTTCAAAGATAGCTAAAAAAATGAAGCAAAATACCTAGTAAAGTTTTTCTCCACAAATAACTTTTTTTAACATTTTTCTATCTATCTCACTTTATCTAACTTTCTTACCATTTTTCTATCAATTCTATTTCCCTAGTATTCAAAAAATTTCTCCTAAACCAAACGTGCATGCTGATATAATGAAAACTAACTACTAACACAATGGAAACAAACGCCTATCCACTACCCCCACTTAATTAACAAAATTACTGTTCCTAACATTTTATCATAATCTTCAAAGGTGAATGTTGTGATTGTACCCAAAAAAATAAATAAAAGATGAATGTTGTGATATTGATTTTTGATCGGGATAGATTTATTCCCAAAAATTATTATATTATCACATTGTTTTTGTGATTATTTTTTAATCAATTAATATTTTATTAAATCGTTTTTTCAGAATTTTTAATTAGTCAATAACGATTTCATAAATTTACTTAATTTTAAATTGCTAAAGGTTCATTTATTATATTTGTAGTTACAAATTAAATTTCAAATTAGTTTTTAATTAATCAAAATTCATCTTTATTAATGAAAATATTTATTTACCAATTATATTATGCTATTCTTTTTTATTGTTTTACTTATTTTCTCAAACTACCAGAGCTCACATTCATTATTTTTATTCAGAATTTTAAAAGATTTTCATATCAATTATTTAAGTATTTGATTTTTCTAGATTATTTCTATTTTAATTCTTAAATTTATCATTTTAGTTAAAATCTCAAATCAATTAGTGTTACATTGATGTTTTCTTATTTAGACTATAACTTTTATCTTTATATAAACAAAAATAAATTTATAGATTCGTTATACATGTGTGTGTGGATTTCTTAAACATTTTACCATAATATGATTAAATTAACGTGTGTGGATTCCTCAATTACTTTACTATAAATATTCTTAAATATTATTATATTTTAAAATTATATAATTAAAACTAATTATATTTAATAAAACACATCAAACTATCATAAACAAAGTTTTTATTATTTGTTGTACAATTTTTTATGAATAAAAATAAAGAAAAAATATTTATCATTTTAGATGGTGTAACGTAATAGCAAAAAAAGAAGAAAAAGAGGATAACAGTGGCACCTAAAGCGACACTTTGGTATGACGTATAAGGCATGATGTGACGTATAAGACATGATAGTATAAGCTTACGCTATACATTATGACATTTTCAGTTGTTTGGTATGACCATCGTATAGTATAAGCTTATACAACATAATCTCTTAATACATCAAAACGATGTATAACTTAATCCGGCCTAAGGGTCAGGGATAAGGCCTGATAAGAGATTGATGTATTAATATCGTGAAACGATGTAATTCTAAAAAATTAATATATTATTTTAATATTAATCTATTAAAATAAAATTTAATTTTTTAATATATTAATTTTTAAAATATTGAATATTTTTATTTTTATAAAAATTAATTTATATTTTGGACACACTCATCAATAAATTTTTATAAAAGTTAATATCATATGACATTTTTTGAAAAATTATATAAATTCTTTATTAAAGGATATTTTTATCATATATAGCAGTATTATACAGTGCATTACAAAATATTAAATAATATTATCTTATACAATATATTATTTTATATAATACCGAGCAAAACGCTGGATAGTATTAAAATTCAATCAGGTCTTATACAATCAGGCCTTATACTATTAAGTCTTATACTATTAAACTTTATCCTATACTATGCATCAAAGTCTTATACAATCACGCCCTTATAATGTTTTATTAAGTGTTATACTAACGCAGTGATGTATCTGACTGGACGGTGTTTAAAGTGCCGTGTTTTATAAAATTGGCGATCCCAATAATGCCACATATAAAATAAGGATTTAAATTATCTCCTTTTATAGAAGACAATTATCTCATGTTAGTGAGACATAAAAAGTTGTGCCATTCTTTTTTTATTTTTTTTATTTTTAAAAAATGGTGGGACCCACATAACTTGTTTCTATGCATGAGGTAAGTTATCTTCTATTGAAGGAGATTAATAAATCCCATAAAATAAACTACCAGAGCCACGTGGAACTTGAGGATAAAAGTCTTAGATTTTATCAGATTTGTAATAATTATATTTAGATAAGTTTGATTCAGATATTTTAAAAAGTAATCAGCATGTAACTTTTACACATGTATATATAACCTGACGCGAAGAAAGGAAAGGAAATAGAAAAGAAAGAAAGGAAAACAAGTAGGGAGAAAAGAAAAGAAAATAAAAGAGATAGAGAAAACGCGTAAGAGAAAAGAAAGAAAGAAAGCAAAACAATAAGGAACCGAGAGAAAAAAATAGGAAGAGGATGGTAATATTAGAAATAAAATCTCATTCTTTTAATTTTATTCTATATTTAAAGATGATATTTTAAAGTTATTTTTTTAAAACCTGTGAAGATATTATTATTCTGTTCAAATATTTTATTCTGAATTTCTTATATTCTTTTGATTTATCTGTTATCTTTGAGTTTGTAAATTTATTATAGAATCAATAAATTTCTTTGGTATCAAATTAATATTAAAAGAATGTGTAAAAAAATTATTGGTAGACAAGAATGTGTAAATTTTAATTGTATGATTCTGACGTGACTGAGGAATCATAATGGTTATAAGGTAAGAAACGTCTTATCATGGTTTGAGCTCCGCCATATAAAACATTTCACATTCAATGACCCACATAATTTGGGCAGCTTTAATTAAATTTTACACAATTTATTATATGTGATTATTTTTGTAATTATTTTATTCTTATAATTTACTTGAGAGAATGATATTTTTCATAAAGTGATTGTATTGGTTATAGTTCAAAAATTATAATATTAGTGAGATATTTTTCTTATGTATTTTTATGTTTATGCTAATATTACTGTACAGAGATCAGTAGAATGATCGATGAAATATAAACATTTCTTGTCAATTTAGATATAATGTAATATAATTCTTTTCAAATGTAATAGTGAACTCAATTTTTGACTAATGTATAATTAAAATTTTAAGTATATTTCATGTAAGATATAATTTTGGAAGTAATTTTTTGGGTAGAGTTTAAGAAGTAATTTAATTTTATTATTACGCTGTACATAATATTATGCAATGTTAACATGCCGGTACGTAATATGGTGTTACAAATGGCATAATTTTATGTTTTTTTAAGTGAAATGACTATACTTTAATATATATTTATAGGTTCATTTTTTCTGCGGTTACTGCAGATAAGTTATCTGCAATAAGTCTAATACGACGTTATTTTGGGCGGAAATCATTGTATTTTTATAATTTTAATTTATTTCAGAGTTATAATAGTCTTTATATTTATAATTTCTTAAAATTTCAATACAAAAATGACATCATTATGAGTGTAAATGCAGATAACTTATCTACACTAATTGTAAAAATATTTTTCCCTATATTTATTGGACTTTTTATTCCCGTTATTTTACAAAATTAGGAAGAGAGAAAAAACTTATTATGAGTGAGAGAAAATATAAAAAATAAATAAATATGTATCAAAATACGCTAATAGTACAAAGTGTATTATTTAAAATAATACATAATTTTTCAAAAAATAAAACAAAGAATAATTTTATGATTATTAATAAAAATTAAAATATATATATTTTTAACTAAACAACCTTATATGAGTATCGGAGCATGATCCTTATTTTAAACAACACATATACGCAGTAAAAAGGTTGATACTTGATAGTATTGTATTATTATTCATCAATTTTACTAGCTTTAACTTTTTTAATGATTAAATAACTTATTATTAAAAAGAATTCAACAACTGTTACAGAAATATAAAATTATTAATATAATATTCATTTAATTAAATTAATTCTTTATATAATATGAGAACCGTCAACAAATCTAAACCTAATAAACTCTGGTTAGGCATGCTAAGGAAATACAAATATAAAACCACTTAAACTTTAGTTGAAATGTTTATTTAGAATGATATTAATATGATTTCTCTCATATTAATATTTCCCAAGTTGAAGAGTAATCAAAGGGAGGTGTCATAATCAAGTGCAGTACAGTCACCACTCAGATATTCTTTTTCTCATTTTTTTTTTTGGAATGATTCTGAGACTCTGAACGTAGTACGCTACGCACGCTGCGTTTCTTTGTCTATTTATCGGGAGAGTGATCATTTTGTCGCTTTTGGACAAAATTATTACCTGTCACGCTAATAGTAAATTTTGTCAAAATAACACGTGGTATAATTTGCTACACAGTGTAGCGAAATATGCTACGTCAGAACCAAAAATGTCACATGTCAAATTTTGAGAAATTCGCTACCTTATGTAGCGAATTTTGCAAAATTTGACATATGACATTTTTGATTCTGACGTAGCATATTTCGCTACACTGTATAACGAATTACTTGCATACATAATTCACTACACTGTGTAGCGAATTATGTCTGATAATTTTTTTATACACTTGAGTGACTGTTGCCTATTTCTCATTCTCTCTCTCTCCTCCCAACCCAAGGGTTAAAGTTGCAATTTTTCTGTTCCAATCAACACTTTGATTTAAATCCCAACAAAATAATATTAATAATCAACAAATTGCGCACACGATTCTTTACTTTCCTTCTAAACTCTCTCAAATCCCCACTGTCACATTCTCATAAATTCACCACCTTTTTTTGCTTTATTTTGCGGACTGCACCTTATTCTCCCTTTCCCATTTCCCATTTCCCATTTGGGATTCTCTCTCGCTCTGATCCTCTCTCAGTGTTTGTGGGTATTGAATCCGGGGTTGCTGTTTTTTGGAATTGAAAAGTGTAAAATTTCTGTGTGTTGTTGATTCGGTGGCAAGCTAGAAATGGAGAAGTACGAGCTGGTGAAGGATATAGGATCTGGGAATTTCGGTGTGGCTAGGCTCATGCGCCACAAAGAGACCAAGGAACTCGTTGCCATGAAATACATTGAAAGGGGTCACAAGGTTCTACTCTTTTCACCTTCACCATATCATTTTTTATTTCAGATTATTGTGACTTGAAGCTAAATTCTTAGAAAACACATGTTTATTTTATCATGTTATTTATTGTTATTATTATTATTATTTTGTCTCATGTGTTTTTGTGTGTCCATGTCTTTGCATGTGGGCATATCTGTATTTTTGTTTTTTAAATTGATGTTTTCCAGATTGATGAGAATGTTGCAAGGGAAATCATAAACCATAGAAGTCTTCGCCATCCGAATATTATTCGGTTCAAGGAGGTCTGTGTATATCATTTTATTGTGGTTGATAGTAATTACTAATTAGTAATGGCTTGGCTTTTATCATGTTCGGGTTGTTTAATATGGAGTTTCAGTTTTGCAGTTGGTTTTGACTCCTACTCATCTTGGAATAGTTATGGAGTATGCAGCAGGTGGAGAGCTCTTTGAGCGAATTTGCAATGCTGGAAGATTCAGCGAAGATGAGGTATACTCTCTCTCTCTCTCTCTCTCTCTCTTTAAAATTTACAATTTATAATTTTCAAATAAAATCAATTTGGAGCTTCACAGTACAATGTTCATAACCTGTCTCTTCTGCCATTGTTTATGAGTAGATCTAGGACAATAGCATAAGGGTGTTAGGCAAACTTAAAATCCCGGCAAACCTGTGTAGAAAATAAAATAGCATCTTATCCCAAAGAAATACAAGTAACTGAAGTAACAAATTTGAGCTATTAAATTTTTGAGTTTAAGTTACCATTCCTTTATTAACTCCTCCTCCTCTTTCCTACTTGTTAATGATGCTTACTCTCCTCCCCCCTTTTCCTTCTTCATTCTTAATAACGAATCCCGGACGAGTCTATAATTTGTTTCTCATTCTTGTTGCATCCTCTAAATTTCCAGGCTCGATATTTCTTCCAGCAGCTCATCTCAGGAGTTAGCTACTGTCATTCCATGGTAAATGAAATTAATATTCTGGGATTGGATTGTTTGTTTCAGTCTGTTGGTAATCTGTTTCTTATTTCCTCTTCTTTGGGGCCATTTTTCTATGTAATTTTTCCTTCCTTTTGCAGCAAATCTGCCATCGAGACCTGAAGCTAGAGAACACCTTATTGGATGGCAGCCCTGCCCCTCGTCTCAAAATTTGTGATTTTGGTTATTCTAAGGTTCAATTACGGAGTGATATCAATACCAAATGCTTTAAATAGATTATGAAAGTCATATTTGACAAGTTTTGATTCTGATAACCTTTTATTTTTCTAGTCATCTCTGCTTCATTCTAGGCCCAAGTCAACAGTGGGAACTCCAGCCTATATTGCACCAGAAGTTCTTTCCCGCAGGGAATATGATGGAAAGGTAATCTAGTTTCTATCATGGAATAAGATTCAGAATGTGATGGAATGGTTCAACACACACATTGGGTCTTTTCTTACTTAGAAGAAAGTAAGAAATAAATTGGATGATAATAATTCCTGTTGAGACAAGACCATCAAGCAATATAATTGTCCTTAATGATTTGCAGGTAATTATAGATGTACATTATGTTTGATGACTTAATATATCCACATTTAACTGTCAGAATAGTATGGAGAAATAATATTTATGGATTGGTTAGTTTGGAATGCAAATTGCAAATGTTATTTTCTACAGCCCAGGTGCCTAATGTTGAATTCTTATAATTTTTAATGTCCTTAAAAAATTTAGCTATCCGAAGGAAAGAGTATTTATTTTCGTTATTTGTGTTGGTTCTGACTTTTTTACAAATGTCAGATAGGAAACATAGAAGTACTTGGGATTAAATCTTGCATGATGAGTTTTCTGTGTATTATATGTCAATGATGTTCATTTTCTTAGTTCTTCTATTCTGTTTTATGTCGGTTCAGTTGGCAGATGTATGGTCATGTGGAGTGACTCTTTATGTAATGCTGGTGGGAGCATACCCATTTGAGGACCAAGAGGATCCCAAAAATTTCAGGAAAACCATCAATGTAATTCCTCAACACCCCCCCTCCCCCCCCAATCTCAGTTATTAGATTTATGAAATATCTACTCTTTCTGACTTCACATTCTTATCCAGCGAATTATGGCTGTTCAATACAAGATCCCAGACTATGTTCACATATCTCAAGACTGTAGAAATCTGCTATCTCGCATTTTTGTGGCAAATCCAGCTAGGGTATGCACATGCTATGGTGCTTATTAGCATTTCAGAAGTCTTATTTATCTAATTATTTTTTCAGGAGTTGTCAAAAAATTTAAAGCTATGGCATTTTAGGTGCATGATATCACTTGAAGTTAGTTCATATCATAATCATAGTTATGCAGTCTTTTTTGGGTCATTTGCTAAGTTTCAAACATGGATTAATAAATACCAGGCCCTAGTGAAATTATTGACTGTAATGTTGCTAAGCTATCCCCTGTTCTCCTCCCATAATAAAGGGATATTTTGTGGTAAAATAAGTTGTCACTCTATATTGTGATTTACTGCAGAGAATCACCATTAAGGAAATCAAGTCCCACCCATGGTTTTTAAAGAACTTGCCTAGAGAATTGACAGAAGTGGCTCAAGCTGTCTACTACAGAAAAGAAAACCCTACCTTTTCTCTTCAGAGTATAGAAGACATCATGAATATTGTCGAGGAGGCCAAAGCTCAACCTCAAGCATCTAGGTCAATTGGAGGGTTTGGCTGGGGAGGGGTGGAAGAAGAAGATGAAACAAAAGAAGAAGCAGAGGCTGAGGGGGAAGAAGATGAGTATGAAAAGAGAGTCAAGGAGGCACAGGCTAGCGGAGAATTTCATGTCAGTTAAAAACTGCTGTAGATAGAGCAATAGATTCTTGGTTGTTAAGTTCAACTAAGGTGGGAGGGTTTTGCTCGTATGTATAAAATTCAGTTATCTGCATAGGACATATAGTTGAATTATTGGCTGTACATTTTTTTAATATTGTCCATGGTTGTTATCTGTGACCATTTTATAAGTATCAAGTTGCCTTTTTGCTCTCTACCCCCCTTGTGTCCATCTCTCTCCCAGGCAGGGATTTAGGGACATAGTCTTTCCATATATGCTCTTTTTCTTGGTCAAAATGCTAGATGTAGTGTGTCCTTGTATTCGTTTTATTTTCATTCGGTTTAGGTTTCAGTTTCTGTTGTCAAGTCTGATTTTATGAATATGCTTGCAATGATGTCTCTTTGGCTCAGTATGTCTGTTAGCTTAAGGTTTGGGCAAAAATGTCCTAACCTAAGTATTAGGACTGGCCAAAGCTTATTTCTGGCAACTTAAAACTACAGATAGCAAAGTCTAGTTTAGTTCAACATAATCTTCTAGCCTAACAAACTGTTATGTTCACCAAATTTACAGCTAACCTTGAGGCATCTGACAGTCATTTGAACGTAAGTGATAAGCAGCAATAATCAATGGTGTTGGCACCAAATGTTATTTAATAAAACATTTTTTGCACTGAGCAAGAAATCCGGTAGAGCTCACAAAATCCCATTTGGGCTTGAGAGAGAAAGAAAGAACGAATGAGATAGGTGTGTAATGAAGGAATTGTGTGTAATAATTTAACTGTTTAGATATTCAGTTTACTTGTGTTTTTATTTGGTTAATTTTCCCTTATTTCAGTTAACTTTCTAGTACACTATATTGACTAAAATAATATCCATTGGAAAATTGTCCCTGGTTTGATGTTGTCGAAACCTGTCTGACTAATTATTTTTATGTAAGGCTTTCCCACAAATTGTGCAAGCAAAGTTCATTAGCAAAATAAAAAAGGCTTTATTAGTCTCTTTTTACATAAAATAGTTATCTTATGTTATAGAGATAAAATAGGTGCGTCTCACCATTACAAAAAAAAAAAATAAAAAAAAAAAATAGGTGAAGTGTGAAAATCGAAATAAGAGAACACGAGAGAAATTATCTTATGTGAAAGGAGAATAGTATTTCCCAAATAAAAATTACAATGGCTTTCCCCTGCTATCATTCTTGCTATAATTCAAGCTGTAAATTAGCAGGTACGATATCCAACAAAGGCAAACAAATGAACCTCCAAATAGGTTTTGTTCTGCCCCAGTATTGATCATGGCATAAATGCCTTTTCTGGAATTTTGAATCTACAAATTTAGCATGGCGCATAAAGACTCTGCAGTTGTGTGTTTCCATTAAAGTTGAAAGCAACTTTTTAACCAATCGCTTAACTCTAAAGATAGCAAAATTGCTCCTACAATGCCGCATGTTCATTGTATCAACAATGCTGCCTCACTTGTTAGCGCGAGCAAGTTTCTTGTCTCAGTCAAAATGCATTCCCTATCAAATAGAGCAGAAACAACAGCAATCCCTTTCAGATTTGGTACACCAAGTTCCATGACAGCACGTGCATTTGACAAACCAATGCCACCAATTGCAACCACAGGTAGTTTAGAGGCCTGGCATACCTCCCTTAACCCGTCTAAACCTATAGTGCGATTATTAGCCTTTGTATTAGTGGGATATACACCACCACAACCAATGTAATCAGCACCATCAATCCATGCTTGTTGCGCTTGCTCTGGCGTCTTGCATGATACACCGATTATCTTTTCAGGACCAAGGAGACTTCTAGCAAGATTTGCAGACATGTCAGACTGACCAACATGAACACCATCAGCATCACAAGCAAGGGCCACATCTATACGATCATTTATAAGTAGCGGTACTCCATACGAACGGCATATTTTAAGGCATACTTTGGCAGCATCAATAAAGTCCCGTGTCTCTGCATCCTTTTCCCTGAAAAAGCAGACGTAATTCAGGCTAAAATGATTTATGCCCATGCTAGAGTCCCTAACAGGAATACAGGTAAATCAAACATGCATATCAGATTCGTCAACTAAAGTGACACAACAAACATTTCTTAATTCAAGAATATTAGTAAACCACAAACATGAATTCGGATCTAGAAATCCTTGATCTGAGAATTCACTTTATAAATTGGTAAATAAGGCACAGCAGGAGCTGCTGTACAAGCTGAATACTTTCCTTTAGAAGATAGCCTAAGGTCACTTTAATTATGAGACGATATCTTTTTTCATGGAAGAGACAAGATTAGATAGCCAGCCAGAGACAGTTGTTGAGTAATAGGTTAAGATGGGTTGAGAGATAAACCAAAGCAGTGGAAGAAACAGATTTTGGTGCTGATAAAATTAGGTGAATGAGATTACAATATATTTTGATATCCTGGTTGATTTCAAACAGTTGAAGACAGTCCCACATGCATGCAGTAATACAGATAAAATAAAACTTAAACTGGTTTCCTCAGTAACAAACATGTAGGATATAGCATATACCTTATGCAGATTTTTTTTACTCCCTGTATTTAATGGTAAATAAAAGAGATAAAGAACAAAAGTAAGCATCAAATTCAAGAAAATAGAAATCTAGACACAATAATAGAAAAGGATTCCTGGTGTTGTATTGTTTTTTAAAGTTCAACTACTCAAGCCTGGAATTAAACATCTGACTCTGGACTGTGTACTTAATATTTTTTTTTTGAGTGGGGGATGGGAAGAAAGAGAAGGAAATGCATGGAAATAAAAATCACAAATCCAAGAAAAGGATTGGGAAATTTTTAAAAAAATAAAATATTAATTCCCAGATCTTTAGGATAGTCAGCTTGGCATATTAAACCATAAAAAATTATAACTGCTATCAAATAGCGATGGAGAGAAACAGAGATATTATGTATCACAGCTAAGAAAATACAAAAATAAGCAAAGCAAAGCTAAAGAAACAAACCTTAATTGAACAATGGTAGCACCTCCTTCTACAGCAGCCTTAACAGCTTCAGCAATAGAACGGCCCCACTTCCTATTCATGGCTGAATCCGTTACAGCATATAGCAATAAGTCATTTGGATTGAATATATCCTGTCTATAAGAACTCTGATTGATATTCTTAAGTGCCAAAAAATGGTCAAAAGGGCCTTGGGCTCCATTTCCTATGACCAAGTCTCTGCTGTAATCCAACGCAGCCTCAATGAAACGTTTAGCTACCTGCCAGGATTCATATATGTAAAAATATTAGAATGATAGCATATTCCAACTTTCTTTCTCTTTTATTTTAATTTTCTACTTCTCTATTTTATTTATAAAGCACAAAAAATAAATAAATAAAAAAACAGAGAAGGGGTAATTCATGTGTATTGCCAAATGAGGTCCATCAATATTAATGCGGATTGAGATAACTGAACAAACCTTAACAGCTGCAAGCATTGATGAACCTTTTGCCAGCTCTGCTGCTATACATGATGCCAAAGTACAACCAGTACCATGAGTGTTGCGAGTATTTACACGCGACGAACACAGCTCGTAGAATTTCTCACCTACAAAACTCAAGACCTAGAAATGGAGCTCATTTTTAACATAGTTTTGGACAGCAAAAAGTACACGAAAAAAGTTGTCGTGTCTCAGATTTATTTATTTTATTTTTTTGCGATTGTGTGTCTAGAATCAAGACTTGTATCTTACCATCAAAGAATACATCAATAGCATCTGATGAATTAGGGAGGTCACCACCTTTGACAAGTACATTCCTGTAATGAAAATTAATCATCTGTAAAAGCAGACTACTCTTAAGTTGAAGTTTTTTTTTAGATTTACTTTTTTGACCTCGGTCCATGCAGCAAAACACTCTTACATATACAACACCATCAGAATTTTCTGCTAATACAAAGCAAGCGATGGAATTATTGGGTATTACTATTGAATAATGAGAAAATGAGAGACATACGATGAATCCATGTCTCAATTACACAGTAAAGGCTTTATTAAAGAACAGAATATAATAATTATATAATAATAATTTACCTATGCGGGACTTCATCCCTTATAGTATATTACTCTATTTACAACAATTAATTTAGGGAAACAATTCAACAATCTATTTTGTGCAGTTTAATATAAACAGTGCTATCATAAATATGGAATGTATTCTTAGCTCCAAAAGTACTGCTTACGCCCTCAGGGCCAAAGTCAAATTCAATTAAACAATCACTCTACTTCTCACAGAGTATCAAACTTCATCAATACAAGTGCTTTATATGAGATATGTATAAAATGCAGTGCATTCTTTAGGAAAGATTTTACTAAAAGGTTTGCAAGTCCGTGTTCTGGATATTGGTATCAGCCATTTAGATATAAACAGTATAACGTGTATAGTTACTTGGGAAAGTCTGAAGAAAAACAAATAAAAAAAACAAATGTAATGCAATGCTACTATAATATAAGCAAAAAAATTCACAGGTAAACATGTCATGCATCGTTAGAAGTTTTCAACTTGAGCTGAAAGTGTATACCATACATATAAGTTCACCTATGTTGTTCTGAGCTTAGAAGTTTGTTTCACTATATAGTTCTAAGCATAAATACAAAAGTAATTTCCTAAAAGTATCCATTTGGAACTAAAGTTCAAATATATTAAACAGTAACGAACCTAGGACCCAAATCATGTATCAATTTTGCAGCAGTGCGCATATCAGAAATAGATTTTAGTGGCATGTCACCAAGTAAAAGCGATGCCTCTTTTATATTTGGGGTTACAATGTCGGCCATGGGAAGCAGCTCCTCCCTGCATTCAGAAATCAATAAAATAGCAGAATCAATTTCTAACAGTTTTATTAATAAACGTGAACTCGTGAAGTAATTTTGAAGCAGTATTTGTATCCAATATCCATCTATATAGTGTTGTACAAAATAAGGATGAAAATAAAATTGAATTTTAAAAATATTGTGGTTTTCTGCCAAAAACTATAAAAGCCAATAGACAAAAAACCCATAAAAAATTATACAAAATAGATTATGCAGAATGATACAGAGTTTATGGATTTGATGATAATTATGTTATTTATGATATTGATATCTTTTCATATTTTAAGGGGTTTTATCTTTGATAAAATATCCATTTTAAGGAAATTTATATTTTATTAAAATTATGTATCTAATTAGCATTGATTTAGAATTTTTATTATATTTGGGTTATAAATACCTTGTAGGTGCCTTATGTAATTCAGACTTTAGCATGATTAATTATTAATATTTGTTTCCTTCAGAGAGTATTTGAAACTTGAGAGAAGATAACTCAACCTAAGAGGAGCACTCTAGGTTTGTTTATCAAGGGAGTACCCTACCAAGAGGATTACTCTTGGTTACTGTTTGTTTGTCAGGAGAATACCCTGCCAAGAGGAGTACTCTTGGTTTATCAATCAGGGGAGAACCCTGCCAAGAGAAGTACTCTTGGATTGTCCTGCATCAAAAAAATTAAGCACAGGCCAAAACATCATAGGGTTTCAAATGGTGAAGAGTATATGAATTCCGTTGTGAAGACCAAAGAGTATGGAAAATACTTTCATGTTGTACAGATGCAGCATAGTTCAGGTTCAAAAACACATACCGAAATCCAGCAAGAACAGAAGGACCAGCAAGTACATCTCTACTGGTAGATATCATGACAGGATCAACCACAAGAGCTGCCTTCAGCAAAAATGAAGTAAGTACAGAAGTCCGTCCAATTGCAATTAAACAAATACGTTAGAAATTTTTGTACAAGTGAATACCTTTGATAGGAAATTTTCTAAGGCTCTGACAAAGGACCTTCACTGCACTAAGAGAGGGTAGCATGCCGGTTTTGACCTAGGGACATAGCATAATTAGTTCAGATGGAAAAAATATTAGCAACCGCTGTTAACCAAGATATCAGGGTGTATCAAGGAGAACAAAAAGAAAGCAATTGTTATAATGAGTATCATGCCCAAGAGAACTAAGAAGATCCTATTCCAAAATATCTAAATGCAGGGTCCCTGCCTCCCCTCCCTCCAAAAGGAGTACTCACGGCATATTCATATCTAGTATTTGTGTTTAGATATTCCCCACAATCTGAAACTTCAAATGGCAAGTGGAATGCCATACATGTCTTATTCTTTCACAGGATGTGGTATTCAAACCAGGTCACAGTCTATGATGCACCGACACTGATACGGGACACGAGACACGACACGACACGCCGACACGTTAATTCTAAAAAATGGCATATTTCGACACGTTGGGACACGTTTTGATATTAAATAATATTTTTAATATATATAATATTATTTAATACATATACCAGTCCAAAATAAGTCATATAACCAATCAAATATTGAAATTTCATAACATAAATATAAACAAAAATAATTTTTTTTACCTTGTTAATTTTTCATGTCAAATTTTATAATAGAAAAAATTTGATTTATAAATGATTTTTTTTACTTTTTGGTTAATAAAATAAAATTAAGACTAAAAAAAAAAAAACGTGTCGGAGCGTGTAAGAGTGTTAACCACGTATTGAAAAAAGTTGACTGCGTGTCGGAAAAATATATCGGAGAGTTGACCACGTGTCCCAAAATGTTGACCACGTGTCGGACGCGTGTCGGTGTGACACGCATGTTTTTAAAAAAAGGCGTGTCCGGGTTTGCTAGGTCACAGTTCCTTGAACATTTCACCCAAGCGATGAAAGTGGGACTAGGCATAGGCAAAACAACTATTTTGAATATAAGAAGCAAGTTTTGCAGGAAACATTAGGCAACACATGAACTTGCTTGCTTGAACGCACCAACATGCTCAATAGGTCTCTAGATACAGCTTCCTATTAATTTTGAGATGGTTTTCAATATGCAAAGACAGAAGGTCTACTGCTTTAGCCTCTCTGAAGGTTTCGTGTCAAGTAACATGAGCTATCTCAAGAGTTTTATTGAATCATAAAGGTTACAACTAGGAAAATACTTGAAAGTAATAGCTGTAGCACTCACTATTTTGACTTACCACATCAACATGCATATCAGAGAGCACAGACTTCAACTGCTCTGCCAAAAAATCGTCAGGCACCATTTCAACTCCCTAGTAATTGCCACAGATTTGAGAAAAGGGACAATAAAAAAAAAAAGCAACATGTTATGTGTTGGAATTAGGGTCCAGTAAAAAATAAGCCAACTCAACACTTATATTCTCATTTATGCATATTATGTTAGAAAATGTGTGAAATCAAATTCTTGATTTCTCTACATATTTTTTTAAACATAGTTTCTCAGGAATAAACAGAGACACAAAGAATAAAAAAAATAAAATATAAAGAGTGAACTTACCTGAACTCCAACAGTGTTCTGTGCAGTAACAGCAGTTATGACAGTGGAACAATAGACCCGGCGAGCAGCACAAGCTTTAAGATCAGCTTGGATTCCAGCACCAGCCCCAGAATCAGAGCCGGCAACAGTGAGCACATGTGGAATTTTGTTGTCAGAACCGTGCAGCATGCTTGTTGAACCTCTATCTGCTTGCATGTCCATCTTCACAAAACCCTTCCTTTTATTCTTTTGATTAGTATCTGAATTCCAAAATGGGAAGCTCGTACCCCTCACATGTTTAAACACTACTGGGGCAACCTGGTGTAACAGCCAGAGAGACAAAAATGGTCAAAAAAACAAGACCCAGTGCACACGGAAAATGTGAGAAAGGGGAAACATAAAACAATTACGTGTTTTACCTTACCTGAGCACGACAATCGAAGTGGCAACAGAGGAGCATAGCACAACCCATTGACCTGAGTTCAGAGTCAGAGAAACATCATAATCTATTTATTTTTATTTTATTTGGAAACTATCATAAGCTATTTTTCATTTGGGGATAACCGACAAACAGCCATGTATTTGGGCTCAATTCAACAATAGTTTTGTTCTTTTGACTGGGCCAACTTTTGTTTGATCCATCCAAATCAACCCAACCCAACTAACATAATGGCCTAAATAATGAGAGAATGATATATTATGAGTTCGTGGGATTATTGTATATAAGTTATCTACACTAAGTTCAATATGACATCGTTTTGTGACGAAAATTGTGGTGTTTTTATAATTTTAATTTATTTCAGGATTATTATAGTTTTTATAATTATAATTTTTTAATCTTTCAATCTCAAAACGAAGTTGTTTTGGAAGTGTTGAGATATATAGTCCCACATTGGTTGTATGTGCAACTAATGTGGAGTTTATAAGGCCTTGAGCACTCTCACCCTTTGAGCTAGCTTTTGGGGTGATGTATCCCAAGGTTCTTAACATGGTATCAGAGCCTCGCCGTCCCCCACTTTCTCTTGTGGCGTTTCTTAGCACAGGTAGGCTGGGCCTGTTGCATTGTCCACTCTTCAAGCCCAATGGGCTCTCGTGTGAGGGGGCGTGTTGAGATATATAGTCCCACATTGGTTGTATGTGCAACTAATGTGGAGTTTATAAGGCCTTGAGCACTCTCACCCTTTGAGCTAGCTTTTGGGGTGATGTATCCCAAGGTTCTTAACAGGAAGTAAATGCATATAACTTATCTGCATTAACTACAGAAATATTTTAAATATTTTTTTGTTACATTATTTATTCTAAAAATTCAAATGATTCAGATGAAAATATGCAAAGGGAAAAGTGTTTTTCCATTTAAATGACATAATTTGTGTCATTTCATTCTCACAAAAAAGTTGGACTCGCACCTTTATTTATTTTTTTCCACTCTTTCCCTCATAATTTATTTCTTTCTCTCACTTAAAATGACACAACTTTATATCCTTTAAAATGACACACACTCTTCCGAAATAAGTAAAATCAAATCAAACCAATATATAAAAGCCCATCTTAATTAATTAGTAAATCAAGTGTAATTAATTAAATAAACATGTTTTAGTGAGTGAAATTAAGTATAAGGCTTAATTAAATGAATCTGAGTCACTTTGGAGTTAAAAAGTGTACTCAGTGAAAATTAAGGGGTATAAATGGGTACTGGCAAAAGTACCCAAAATATAAAAATAAAAATAGTAATATTCCTAGAATAATATTCCAGACTTTTGGGTAAAGTTTGGTAATTATTGGAGTTGAATAGATAGACGAACCAATACCCGCTTAAAGCCACTTAACCAATGTTAAGTGACCAAAAGCCAAAAGTGAACCCATTTCCCCCCTGCAACCCGTCGAGAAAGAAACAGAGAGAAGAAGAAGAAGAAGGAGAAAAGAGGGAGAAGGAAGGGAGGAAGAGAGAGAGAGGAAACCTTGATGGTTTTGGATGATTCAAAAGCCTAAATCGCTTAGAATCTCGCCCTCTTTCATAATCCAAGCTTAGTTTTAAGTGGGGAGCTTTGTGTGGTGGGATATTGGCTCTCAAAAATTCGGCCCTTTGGAGAAATTTGGGGTTTTGAGAGTTTCTACCTCCATTGAAGCTTGAGGAGCCATCAATCCTTGGTTGTGTGACCATTGGTGGTAAGATTCTAACCCTTGAACCTCATGATTCCTTGAAATTTGCATGAGTTAGGGTTTATGAATAGTAAATTGGGATTTTGATGAAATGTAGTTGAATTTGCTATGTTCTAGGAAGAATGAGATTTAGTGCATGTTGTAAGAAATGCTAGGAATGACATTTAATCGGTGGAAATGAGCCTAGATAGTCATTTGATAATTGTTCATAATATTGGAAAGTTCATGCTTGGATTGGTTAGTATTCTAGCATGTTGAACAATTGGTGAGTTGAATGATTGATTGTGTCCTAATGATGTCTAGGATTGAGACATTTGGACCGACCGTGAGTGATCAACCGCTTGAACAAGCTATGAAGCTTGAGTAGCTCATTGGAATTGGTAAGCTCACACTTGTGTGGTGTTTTGAATTGAACATTTGATGGTTGATTGTGAAATACTCTTGGATGCAATGTGTTGATTGCATTACACCATGTGTAGGTGTTGGTTTTGGAGTAGAGTATTGTTGACATTGGTGAAGAACAAAGGTCGACTGAAGCATTGAGGTAAGCCTTCGGACCTTGGGTGTAATTCCCTTGACTGTTCTACCAAGCCCTGAAAGGGTAGAGGTTGTGATTGTGTATATAAATGCAATAAAATAGTGTAATGCTTTGTTATACGTATGTGTATGCATTTGGTGTGGCATAAGATGGTGTTTCCCTATGTGGGTATGTTGCATGACGATGCGTAAATCATACATGGTAGTTAGCTGGCCAGTAGGACTATTTGCATCTGAGTTTCCTTAGGACAGCTTGAGAGCTCGAGGGATTTCTCCTGGAGATGTATTGCACTTTGCATAGATATGTATTTACTGCATTATTATTGTTATTGCTATTACACTGATATGGAACTGTGGGGTGGAGAGATGCTCCAAGGACCCCTGGTTTACTGGATATATTCGTATATCTCACCCCGTGTTGTGGGGACCCCCTTTCAGGTAAGGATGCCGCAGGAGCCTCTGGTGGCAAGTGGCCATATCTGGATTATGCATGACATGTGGCATTTCTTTTGAGTTTATGCATGCCTTTTGTAGTTGACATATATAGGATTTTATTTTGAAAGCCCATGGTCATTTGTATATCTTGATTCATTGGATGAACTTAGCCTATGCTCATGCCTTTGGTTACACCTTTTGTTGATGGGAGCCAAGGGAATGATCATAGTGTTTTGTAAGCTAAGTTCTATGATTTGTAAAGGATATGTAATGTAAATGATGCCTACTTGAAATTCAATATATGCATGCTTGTTATGTATTGAGTTGTTGAATTGGTTGGGCTGAGAATCAATTAGGTACCTTTTGTTTAAACTGGTAAACGATGAGAAAACAAAGGCCATGCTGCCCAAATTCTAGCTAAATCTCATGAGGAGAGGTTGGATGAGTGCTAGGATTTAGTTTTGGGGCATGGACAATTGGGGTTTGTAATGGGGATGCATCTTCCCCTAGGCTTGGACTTGAAAAATGTGGGAATTGGAATTCCCTGGCAGCGCGCCTAAGCGCCCAGGAGCGCGCCCAAGCGCCCTGCTGCCCCTGCGAGTGCCAATGCATTCTGTCTCCTCGCGCTGGAGCGCCCAAGTGGGGGCTGAAGCGCCTAGGATTGCGCGCTGGAGCGCCCTGGCGTGCGCTTAAGCGCCCTTTGCTGCAGAAAGTTGGGTGGCTTATTGCCCCCTCGTGTTTTAGCTCCCAGGGTGGGGCTGAAGCGCCCAGGGTTGCGCGCTTGAGCGCCCTGGTCCGCGCTTAAGCGCCCTTCGCCACTGAAGGAGGAGATGCTTCTGTCTCTGCGCGCTAAAACGTCTCCGTGGGAGCTTGAGCGCCCAGGATAGCGCGCCTGAGCGCCCTGTTGCGCGCTTAAGCGCCCATCCACACTGGAATGCCTGATGCTTACTGCCTCCGTGCGCTTAAGCGCCCAGATGGAGGCTTTAGCGCCCGATAGCGCGCGCTTGAGCGCCCGGTAGCGCGCTGAAGCGCGCGGGGCCTGTGACTAACACTCTCTTGTGTTGCTTCAAATTGTCCTAACTTGGACGACAGTGCTCCGATTTGAGCACGGTTTGAAGCCACGGGTAGCTAATGAAGAAACCTACAATATAGTAGAAGTTTTGAACTAAACAAGAAGTAAATTAATGGTTTAAAAATGGGAAATGAACATGATGTTAAGCTTAATTTATCTGTTTCCGCAAGGTAATATGGTTATGATCACGAAATTGGGTATTATAAGTTCGGTACGTTTTAAAATGAAAAATTTATCTGGATTTTAATTGAACTCATGTGATTGTAACTGCGCTTAATATCATAATGCGATGTTAACAAACCGGTTCTAGAACGGGGTGTTACACAATACATACACAATATTATAAAGAAACTCTTAATACCAAAAATAAAATAAAAATAATAAACATTTGAAAAACAAGAATAAATTATTTTTTGCGCTTTGAAGACAAGAGATGAAATGAAAAATCCCGCCAATACGGTAGATTTTGAAGAGCGCTCTTTCTTTCTCCGTCGTTGACGACAGAAGCTACCGCGGCACTCGCAGATGCAGTTCCTCTCTTCTCTTCGCTTCTCTTCCCATTGATAGAGTTAGGTTATGATGTTTTCTATCTCTATGTCGATATCGCCGCATTTCTTTCCCAATCACTTTTTATTTTGTCGTTTCCGTTTTCTAGGGTTTTCATTTCATATTTTATAGTTTTGATTTTGTGTTCTAACGTGCAGGGAGGGAGGGAAACGCATGATACGAACCGAATGTGTTGCTTGATTACTACTGAAATGAGGCAAGGGTAATGCTTATTCGCTTCTTTTTTTTTTTTTTCCGTCTGTGGTTCATTATTTAATAATTAAAATTATTAATAAGGTTTGAAATGTTCACAGTGGAGCCAATTCAGCCGCGGCTCATAAATGCGAGGATAAAATTCCAAAGCTCAATTGGTTGAATCATGCCAATGCTCATGATAATTTCTCATGCCAAGCCAAATTCTTGAGCTCCAATTTTCTGTTCTCTCTTCCAACACAGAAACCTTCCTATGAAGAACCAATCGCTGGGAGGTATGCCTTTTACTGCAATAATCTCTTCCTCTTTATTTTGGTACAAGTGCAACCTGATGCAGTTTTTAGTCTTTGTTGTATGGCTAGTTAGCTATGTTGCACCAACACCGACATGGGACACAAGATACGACACGTTAATTTTAAAAAAACATTAGATTTTGACACGTTAGGACACGTTTTGATATTAAATAATATTTTTAATTTATATAGTGTATATTTTATTTAATATTCAATAGTTTAATAAAAAAATAAATCTAAACTTATAATACCCATCAATTTTGCAAAGATACATAAGATATTCCAAATATTTATATTAACCTCAATAAAATGGTAATCGTAATCCAATGAATCTAATAGTTTGACTTTGAACTAAATACGCAACATAATACAACATTCGATCCTTTTTTTGAATCTCTGCAAAGCATTTTGGAGTGTCGGGTAGTGTCGAACACGACAAGTCAGAGCTTTTGAAGTGTCGATGCTTCATAGCTAGTTAGTTGAGAGTTTCTTGTTAAATGTCCTTAGACAATGCGGGATTTAGGCTTTTGCATATAATAATTAGGCATAGAAGTAAGAAGTTTCATTATTTTTATAAGGGAAAAATAGTTGTCCTTTTAAAGGACATTTAAACTAAAATGACCATTTTTTAATTTAATATTTAAATTAAAAAAAACCTCCCACTTTCTTCTCCCATGATTTCTATTGTGTAACTCTTTCTCTCACCACAAAACACTGTAGTTTTGACTAAAATGACACAATTCTATAAAGGATAAACACTAATCCCTTTATGTATTCTGGTTGAGAGAAAACAATTTCATTCTTGATTGCTGCACAAGCATTTGTGTCTGTCTAACATCGTAGATGGTGGTTTAAACCTACTTTAGTTCCAAATTATCATCTTGTATTATGGTGTTTTTTGCCCTGTTTTTGGTTGTCAGTGCAGAAATAATTTCTTGAGGGATTTCCTGTTTCTTCTGTCAACTGTGACCATCCTATTACTGTGGAATTTAGTATACTAGATTGATATCTGAATTTTACTGCAATTTCAACTTGCTTTCTAACACATTAACTCTGTCAGGTCTGTAGTCCGACAAAATCAAAATATTCAAAGTTCACAAAGAGTGCAAGTTGAGAAGGTATAATTGTATCAATGCTACATGAACATGAAATTTTAATCAGGTGTTATTACTTTGTTCCCTTGGGTTAACATTTTAGCATTTTATTGGAGTTTTACCCAGCCTTGTTATTGGTAAACATGTTTTCTTTGAAATCAGTATCTTTTTCTCTGATAATTTATGCAGGAATAAGTATAATTTGCCTTCTCTTTATCAAGGTTTCATCCCTTATAATCATATTACTCCAGCTGAACTTGGCATTCATCTGACTATCTTTTGGTTTTGAAGCATGTAAATCAATCTTAACACTTCTTATTCGAAACTTATATAATTTGGCAACGACTTATGTTGAAACAATTGCCAGCAGGCTTGGGTTGCTCTTTCAAGTCTACAGAGTTCTAGCAGGAATTATGTCCAACCTGGAAAAACTGTTAAAGTTACTCCTCAGCTTCATGAAGATAAGAGAATAACTTCCTTCCAAGGAAGCAATGAGAACAGCAACCTTAGGTGTCCTAATGTCACCACAACTCCAACTGTCATTAATCATAGTTCTCGGGTTTTGGATAGTTCAGTGAACAATCATGTCCAGTTTACATGCCAAATCAATGAGTCTACGAAATGCATGACAGATAATATTAATGATGATGATGATGACATACTTGAGGTGATTTACTACGCTTTGGCCGTTCTGAATGAATCAAATTCATTTGGATCTTTCTTACGTGGCATGCAAATTAGAGTCCAATACTATGAAGCAGAATTGTGTTTTAACATGGTTGATTTTTATGTGGTGGAATGAACCAATTATAACATTGAAGGGTTTACTAAAGTTATTAGTTGCGTTGATGGGGAATTTTATTTAAGTTAATTTAACTTTTACTACTTTGCTGTTGAATTACCTTGAGTTATCCACGTAGAAGATAACAGGGTTTGCCCAAGTTTTTGTAAAGTGGAAATTGGTGAGGAGGTTTGAGTCATTTGACAATTTTATTCATTTTGTAATTCTGTTGTTTTATTCATTCTTGTTCATGTCACTGTTCTGTTTTTCTTTTCTTTTCTTTTTTTCTCAAAATCCGTTACTTAAGTTTATCTTAACTGTTCATGTCCATATAGATGCTCATTTCTTTCTCTTTGTTTATGTCCTGTTTTGAATCTGTCTTTTAGAATATTGATGTTGACCAAATTGTGGAGAAATATCAGTCAACTTGCACTCCCCAACCATCCGGGTCCAAGCTTCCTCCTATTACACCAACTGCTGATAAAGATAATTTTGCTAGACAGGGAGATAATTTTTTGCCACCAGAGCTCTGCTTAGATTGCATCCATGGTTACAAGGTATTGATCAGACATATTTTGTTCTTTCATGAGTTGCCAACGTTCATTTGTTAGATTGATATGCCTAATCCTGAAACTGGATGCAGTTAGGGCTTTGCCCTGAAGCAGCAAATCATTTGCAGGAATTGAAGGATAGTCTAATTGCTATCTCTAATGAACTGCTTGACAATGTTGACAACCTCAGCTCTACACAGATAGCAAAGCTTCGCAAAGATAGGTGCGCCTTGGAATTGATTCCCATTTTTGGCATTTTCATTTTCAATACATACGCATACAATAAAAGGAAAAGGCTCAAAGGCTTCATCTTTGTTACTTTTTTTTCTACTATATAATTATGCTGCATCATTATACTTGAAAAAAATTGCTGGAGCATTCCTTTTAAACTGAATGACATCTGGGTTGAAAACAAAATCTGTTGCTAATGCTAGGTCACAGTTGAATAAGCAAATTCAGCAGCTTGAAAAGTATATTCATTCCAGTAATCTTGATGATGAAAGACAAAAGTCACATTTTTCTGCTTCCACAGCACAACCAACATCTTTTGTGTATGAAACACCTCCGCAAACTATGCTCAGTAGTGGACCAAAGAGATATGATGCCCAGGCTTGTATGGGTAATGGGACATGTGGGTCATCATTGCAGTCTTTTTCCTTATTTTCTGTAGATCAGTATGGCATGTCATCAGGTCCGGTGGAGAGGGAAGCATTCATCCCGAAGATTATTGAAGTTAATTACATTGAAGGTTCTGGAGACAAACGCTGGAGCAGCCAGGATTTTCCTTGGACAAAAATGTTAGAGGTGTTTAACTGAATTATTGTCGGTTTCCAGTGAATGTAACACATCATATTTATAGTTTTTTCTTTTCTAACTTTTAGGTTAATAATAAAAAAGTTTTTGGAAATCATTCTTTTCGCCCTAATCAAAGAGAGGTCATTAATGCCACAATGAGTGGATGTGATGTTTTTGTTTTGATGCCCACCGGTGGAGGAAAGAGTCTGACCTATCAGGTAATATGATTTTTCCAGATATCTCGAGTTATGGCCTTTTTCCTTTCTGATTTACAAGTAGACTATAGATACCTTTTAACTGATTTTAATGATGGATTTGTCTTCATTATTAACCTTAAATACTGATAATTGGTTTTTAGGAATGCTTGGTATTATGAGTTATGCTGTAGTGTCTTTGTTCCAATGTTGATATTGTATTGCAATCCGATGCACCTAGTGGCTCATGCAAGTCATTCTATGCAAGATAAATTTCCTTTACATTTCTGTAAGTCTGCTTTTAGATTTTACTGTGATCTTACAACTTTGGACTGTCTTGTGTTTCAGCTACCAGCTCTTATTTGTCCTGGGATAACATTAGTAATTTCTCCCCTTGTGTCCCTCATTCAAGATCAAATAATGCACCTAATGCAGGTTTTGCTAATTTTTTAACTGATATGCTTTGATTTTTGTTGAGTGCCTGTCTAATAGATATATGCTTACATGCTCCTTTTGGCTTGCCATATAGGCAAATATACCTGCTGCTTACTTAAGTGCCAATATGGAATGGGCTGAACAGCAAGAGATCCTTAGAGAACTTAATTCTGATTATTCTAAATACAAGTTGTTATATGTGACACCCGAAAAGGTTGCCAGGTGAGTGTCACCACTGATGGCTGTTCTTATCTTCGAAACATTTTTCTTTCTTGAGATACACATTTTTTGACTTAAGAATCATATTTTTATTTCCATAATGCCATTTTTTATTTTGACCGCAGAAGTGATATTCTTTTGCGACACTTGGAGAGTTTACATGTTCGTGAGTTGCTTGCAAGGATTGTAATTGATGAGGCTCACTGTGTGAGCCAATGGGGGCATGATTTTAGACCAGATTATCAGGTTGGAGCTTTTATTTTCAAATCAATCCAATATCACAGGATTTTTTGTTAAATTTTTAATAGACTCTGTTAATTTTCCCAGGGACTTGGTATATTGAAACAGAAATTCCCAAATACTCCTGTTTTAGCTTTAACTGCTACAGCAACTGCTAGTGTAAAAGAAGATGTTGTGCAAGCACTTGGTCTTGTTAACTGCATTGTTTTCCGGCAAAGCTTTAATCGCCCAAACTTATGGTATTCTGTTGTCCACAAGACCAAAAAGTGTGTGGAGGACATTGACAAATTCATTAGGGAAAATCATTTTGATGAATGTGGCATTGTCTATTGTCTTTCACGAATGGATTGTGAAAAGGTTGCTGAAAAATTACAGGTTAGTCTTCTTATTACCCCCCTTTGGGAGAGCTAGCCCTACCATGATGTGGATGTTCCCGGTTCGAGCAGGATTGCCTCCTGTGTGGTTTATCCAAAAAATAAATAAAAAATCCTCTTATTACCCCATACGTGAATTGTGAGTTGATGGTTTGATGTGATGAATTCGGTGTGATTTTCTTGTTTGTTCTTGGGTTTCTTTCTTTCTTTATCATTCTTCCCTCTCTTTTTTCATGTTTCTTGTTTGTGCTTCTCTGTTTCTGCATGATGATTGAGATCACTTCCAGCACAGAGATCCTATTCTCTACTTCCTATAAATTAAAAATAAATATAGAAATTAGCATCTGATTGTGTGGCTTGTAAATACCTTATCTAGTCATGTTCGTTGTTCAGGAATGTGGGCATAAATGTGCATTTTATCATGGTAGCATGGATCCTGCTCAACGTGCCTTTGTTCAAAAGCAGTGGAGCAAAGATGAAATCAATATAATTTGTGCTACTGTTGCATTTGGAATGGGTAAATTTGCTTCTTTGCTACTGCTTATTGCATTGTTTAATTGAATTGAATCATATTTTGAAGTTGATATTGCAGGTATTAACAAACCTGATGTCCGCTTTGTAATCCATCATTCCCTCCCAAAATCTATTGAAGGATATCATCAGGTACTGGCAGAACATCAAATTATGTGTTAGGCATTCGTTTTGGTTCTGTTGGCTTACCTGTATGCTCATCATTTTCCTTTCAGGAATGTGGACGAGCTGGTAGAGATGGTCAACGTTCATCCTGTGTGTTATATTATAGCTATAGTGATTATGTCAGTATCAATTATAACACTTCTTGAATATTAATTTGTTTGTTTTGGGATACTGAGTTTGCATTCATATTACTGGCAAATCATATGAAACAAGTGATGATTGAGATCCTATTCTCTACTTCCTTTTCTTGCCTCCTTTTATTGCTTATATCTAGTTTTATCTCATAGATACGAGTTAAGCATATGCTAAGTCAAGGAGCAATAGAGCAGAGTCCCATGGCATCTGGATACAATCGTTTAAATATGTCAAATTCAGGAAGGATACTGGAAACAAATACTGAAAACCTGTTGAAAATGGTATTTTTTTTAAAAGCACTACGAGATTCTATACAATTACCTTTTTTTTCATATTACTAAATCTTTGTCTTGAACCGTCTCAGGTCAGTTACTGTGAAAATGATGTTGACTGCCGGCGCCTTATGCAGCTTGCTCATTTTGGGGAGAAGTTCAATTCTTCAACATGTCAGAAAACATGTGATAATTGCTTGAAGGTCACAACTTTCATCGAGAAGGATGTCACAGAGATAGCAAAGCAATTGGTCTGAAAGCAATTTCTATCCATCTATTATTTTCATCCCTCCGCTTTGTGAAATTCTATTAGTTTGTAATATTTGAATCCACTTGTTCTCAGTTTAAGTACTTTTGATCGTCATTTGTTTAGGTTGAACTAGTTAAGCTAACAGGGCAGAAGGTCTCATCATCTCATATATTAGAAGTGTATCGTGGTTCCTTGAGCCAGTTGGTATGTCAAAAAGCATTTGCTTGTTTTCTTTCGGTTCTTTCATTCTTTGCAATATTTTCTTGTTCTTAATAGCCATTAATTATCTTCTTTAATCATGTACTTTTAACTAAAATTAGGTCAAGAAACACCGGCATGAGACTGTGAGTCTTCACGGTGCTGGGAAGCACCTATCTAAGGGTGAGGCTTCCCGAGTATTGCATCATCTTGTTGTTGATGATTTTCTTATGGAGGAGGTAAAGAAAAGTGATTTTTATGGATCAGTATCATCAGTGTTGAAGGTATCAAAAACTCGGTCTACTTTAATATGTTTGTACGTTGCAATTGTATTCCAAAAATCTTATATTTGCTCATTGTGTTTCAAGGGAATGATATAACTTCTTAATGTTACTTTCCATAATTAGATTCTAATAACCATAAGTTGTCTAATGCGTTGAATTGTTTTTCAGGTGAATGAGCCCAAGCTCCGTAATCTGTTGTTTGGTGGGCAGAGAATTATATTGAGGTTTGCCCATCTCAGTATGCTTTTTCTTGCTTAAATTTGTGAATCAGTATGCTAATTCGACATTGATTGAACAGCTTTGCTTGAAAGTTCCATCTTCTTTTGTATGTGAGGGCTCATATGATATCAATTGCCAAAGTTAGGGGTTTGATGCTGTTAGCCTCAGATATCTTTAGCTTGACACTAATTAGACTTGAATTTGTGTCTCAACCTTCTCTAGCCTCAAGTTCACAATACATGTACGTTTTTATCTGCTCATAGTCTTAGTGGCATGCTTAACTTTCGTAGATTCCCATCCTCTACAAAGACATCAAAACCTGGGAAATCTGATGTAACTCCAGCTAAAGGTTCTCTGACATCTGGGAAGCTGAATTTTCCACTAATTGACATTCCTGCCCAGCCTCAAACTGACGTGGACTTGGTACAATTTTTTTTTCCCGTTCTGTTAGTTGAAATTTTTTAAATGTCTTGAATTATAGTTAAGAGAAATCTACTTCAGAATCTTTCAGCTAAGTTGTACACTGCTTTGCGGATGTTGCGGACAGCTCTTGTTAAAGAAGCTGGAGAGGGTGTCATGGCTTACCACATATTTGGGTAAGTTGTAAGCCATTTTCATTTTCTTATTGTCATGAGTAACAATTTCTTCATTTAGGGTTCATTTACTCTTTGTAGTAACGGATTATGAAGAATGCAATTGAAAATTAAAAATTGCATGGTGAGTCATTTTTGCTTTACTACATGACCTGATATATAAGCATCTAATAAGCAGCTGTTTCTATTATTTAGTAATGCCACGTTGCAGCAGATAAGCAAGAGAGTACCGAGAACAAAAGAAGAACTCCTGGATATCAATGGCATTAGCAAGTAAGTTCATTCTAGGAATAGTCAATGTACTGGTTACTGAACCAGCTTTCATTAACGTTTTGGTTTTAACATAGGACTAAGGTAAGCAAGTATGGGGACCGGTTACTGGAAACCATTGAAAATACGATCAATGAATATTACAAGTTGGATAAAAACAGCAGTGGCAGCGGCAGCGGCAGCAAAGGCAGCGCTGATTCCAACAAAAGGAGACGAGAGGCATATGGAGACCCAGATGCAAATGCCGAGGATGAAGATGCCTTCACCAAAAGTACTGGTCGTTCAAAGAAAAGGACAGTAAAGAGACAAAATAAAAAAGCTGAGATGTGTGATTCTGCAGACGAAGATTATTACCATGGATGCCTTGATGAGGACCTCGATTTTGACAACATAGAAAACGATGCACTAGATAAATTAACTTGTAGAAATGCTGCAGGAAGAGTACTACCTCAATGGACAGCGTCTTGAAATGGTATATGTTGACGATCATTTTTTTATTATGCTCCTGCGGAAAATATAGGCTTTCGATGGATCACCTCGCAGTAATTTATGCTTGTTGGAATAGAGTTTTGTTCCATCAGTGGATGATAAATTGTAAATGCCGATCAATGAGAAAAACTAGATAACTAGTATTTCTACCACCATCACCAAAGTTGTCCATAATCTAACTTATTCCGGGATTCAGTGTAATTGAACAATGCAGGTAAGAAAGTGCGAATTTAATTGGGTGAAAATCTGTTAAAAACTTTGGCAATTTTATTTGTAAAGAATATATTAAATTATTGTAGGAGAAACATTCTCTCCCGCACTCACAAAAATCCATCCCTTAACTTTTTTTGTTTTTTCTTTAAATTATGGTGGGTCCCACAATTTGATTGTTTGTGCAAAAAAGTCAAAAGTCTACTACAATAGAAGAGACTATAATCCCTTAAATTGTTAAGGCAATATCTTGAAACTTAAAAAGGCTATGGGTGTGCAAGGAGTTCCTCTCTCCATACCAATATTCTTCGTTCACCCAACCAGGCCATACGGTTCGGCCACTAACATCTCCCTTATCGGACTATCAAATTATCCTGTTCTATTCCTTTTTCACTCCATCGAGAACGAGTAGATGATAGCCAATGTGAAAATTTCCCATGTATCTCTTTTATAATTTTAATTGGATCTCATTAAAGAATGAAAAAAGAAGAAGATAAGTACAATTTTTTTATGTATCTCACTTCTGATACCGCCTATGCTAATTGATCTTTACAGATAATAAAAGAGATGTTCGCCTTTGTGCCGTTGCATTTTTAACTATCATGCATATTATTGCATTGTGCGGAACAAGACATTCCCTCAAATGATAAAGGGAATGTGTAAATATTAAGATTGCAGGGAGTTTAAGTTAAAACTTTGTATGTCTCCGGAGTTTGATCTACAGTGCGTCTACAACCATGAAGCATAGTAAAGTATTTTAAAATTTGAAAAGAATTTGAAGCGTGTTTTAATAGATTATATTTATTTCATTTATCATGAGATAAATCAAATTCCTACATACACATAACAAAAGTGAATCTCACCTTTATTTTTATTTTTCTCCAATTATTTGTAAATAAGAAAAATATTTCTCTATGTTATTTTACGTTAATGTTCACAACGTGACCATTTGAAACTTCAGCTTGGTTATTGGCTGCTTATAATTTGATTTTGATAGTTGACAGTTTTTATTTGCAGACAGTATATTGAATTACTGAAAATATGATTCAAAATGAGGAAAAGGAAACACTTTAGAACCAATATTAGCAATTTAAATAAAGTTGTAGAATTTTTGTTCGTTACATCAAATGAATTCTACTATACACAATATCACTTATCTCTACATAATATACCTAAGATACACAGCTGACTTTACACACTCCTTATGTACAAATGTGCATATATATTATTATTCATGGACTTACCAAATTATAAATTACTGGTCAAATATATATACCATGGCCCATGAACACTAACTGATATAGTGGCTGCCACAATCAAAACACAAGCAGCTTCCACTACTCTCTCAGTCAGAACACCAGCCCCTACTTTCAGAAGAGCCATTTCTGCTAATTTCCTCCCACGGGCTCCACTTCCCCCAAGCACAACTACGCGCAAAGCTGAATAGACAGCACTAAAAACCCTCTCAAACACAGCATCCCCAGCTTGTAAGCTCTTTCCTAGCATCCTGGCAGCAACTACCTTCCTTGACTGAATTTTCCCCTTATCTTCACCGTCAACTGTGGGCAAATTGCAAATCACTTCCACAATATCTTCAATATCAGCATCTTCAACACGGTCTAAGAGATCCAATAGGTCTTCAGCACACTTGGACACTACGTTTTCCATATCTGCAGGGCTAGCTATCGCCTTTTCACTCAGGAGAATCTGGCGGCATATAAGAATGCTGCAATTGCCAAAACAGAGACCATAGGGTAAAATATACCATGCAAAATAAATAACGTTCAACTCAATACCATCTCCAGCATATATATTCAGTTAAGAAGACAACAACTTGACACAAATATAACGCTATTTACCTCGTAGAAATCACAACAATCTTCTGAATTTGAGCCTGAACGGACCTCAGCCTGGAGAAGTTAAGAGATAAAGTTTCTGGTAGATCATCTTGTGTCAAACCAGATATTCCACTCACTAATTTTAGCAAACCAAGCCTCACAACTAGATCAACTTTTTCTCCTTTGCATTCTGGCTGCTGATTACCTGATCAAATAACATACAAGCACGTACAAAAAATAAGTGTCTGCCTCGGTAGATGTAACAGCCAACTACTTTTTCAAAGAAAATTGAAGAATCGGGAATTAAAGTTCTCATAGTTTAGAACCTTTAGCATTTGCATCATCAGGAGAAAAGGCCACTGGACTGCCAGCTTTCAGTAGAATATTTCCCCCAGTTCTGAGAGTAGTTGAAGGAAGCCATTCTTGGGATGAATTATCATCCAATGCTGAGGAGGAAATGACATGTTCTTCCCATTCCTGATCTTTGCAATTCCAAACAGATGAAAGCCATCTCAGTGTTGAAGGCAAAGAGGTATTGGCATCAGATGGAGCTCCATATTTGTTAGCAAAGGCATTCCTCAGGTAGTCCAGACCAGCAGGCCCCTTAACCAAAGGCTCCATTAATCTTATGCGAGCTTTGCTTATCTCTTTCTTAAGAATCTATCATAAGAATTTATTACGTCACATTAAAACCAAAGTAAAACAAATATTTACAAGCATGTTTGATAGACAGTTGGGCCCCTATTTCTATGGCTAGCCAATCATAACTCATCTCAAGCCATTCAATGTATTACAACCTAACAACTACACTTGAAAGCCAGTGGTATTCAAGTACTTTTAGGGAAATTTGTCACCTCAAAAGCTTCCATCATATGTAATCAATAAGTGAAAGGAAAAAAGCATGAACATATTGATCAAGTAAATTTTATTTGTGGAAAAAATTTAAGTTAAGTGAAGAAATAAACGAAAGGCAAGCAAACACACCTGAATCTGTTCGAGGACAAATTGCAAACCTTTCACCAAGGCTATAACACAAGAATTGTGTGACTCGTCTCTAGATCGACATATTTCACTCAACTCGGAAAATAATTTCTTGTGTGTGGCCTTCATTATCTCCTCATTGGCTGGAGATGAGAGCTTCTGCAAACTGACTAATGAAAACTCAAGAATTTTTCCTAGGTAATCAACATCCAGGTTACCCGATATCAGCACCTTCAGATATGCAGAAGAAAGATATATCAGAAAATAAGATTATAGTTAGGCATATGCCAATGATGCATTTAATAGCCATCACAGGCAGCAAGAAGAGAATATAGCTGCTACCTGAGAAAGCATTTCTAAATCAATGGCTGCAAATACATCCTCCTTCCAGCTTTTTGGAGCTATCTCACAAATTTCATCCCTAACCTCTTCCATGAGTTGAACAATTTGATCGTAGTTGGGCTGATCATGCTTAACAGATTCCATGATACCATCCCAAAAGGCCTTTTCCATTGTCTGTTTTATTTTCCCCTGCAAGATAAAAATGTAAGTGAATAAGAACTTGAAATATATATGTCATCAGCTGTCAGCATATGAAAAATAATATAATGCTTTGGTATACAAATTTTACGAATAACTCCAAAAGATAGATTCTAGATTAGACACACATTTCATAGTTGGGGATGTACTAACCTCAATGCTGTTTTGAATGTGATCAGCAACATCAAAGCCATCAGCAAAACTACGGTGATGCTCATGAAGAAATTCATTTACAAGAACTTCATTCTCTGTTACCAACTTTCCAGAGGAAGAGCCAAGCTGGCTATCTGAACTGGTTCTAGGTGCAGAGAGGCTGAACTCTCCAGTGGAAGTGTGGGTCTCCTTAAAAAGGGAGCGAACTACTCGGCTTGTCTTATTATTACTCTCATCTGAAATATTTCTTTCACTTGAGCTGGCAACAGTAGAGAGTGGAGTTGGGCTTGGAGTCACAGACTGAGTCATTGGAAAATTCACTGGGCTTCCATTATCCTTCACTCTTAAGTATCTAGATCTTGTTTCAGATAGTGCACATTCCATACGCTCAATCCCAGCATCTCCACTTAGGTGATGCACCTTTTCTCTCAACAGTTTCTGATCTTCAGTAACCTGCATTAAAAAATGCAAAAAGAAGATAAAGCTAAAGCATACTTTATTACAACAATAAGAAGCAGTTAAGAGAAGAAACACCCATATTGAAAGGTGAAAACATCCAAATAATTGTAAGTCTGCATCCATACTTGTAGGATTAAATCAGCATAAACCATCAGAAAAAATAGTTCGAAGAAGGGAAAAGGAGTGGAAAAATTTTACTCAAAAAAAAAAGTTTGTACACATATGACAATCTTCAATATAGTCAGCTTTTAAAGTCATTAATTTTTCATGATATCACCAAAAATGTTCATCAATAAAAGCTACCATTAGAAAAGAAAGCTCACACCTATTAACATTGAAAATTACCTGATGCTATGTACAAAAAAAAAAAAAAAAAAAATTACCTGATGCTGAATAGCTTTCATATCATGACTAAGCTGACCAACTCCTTCTGGAGTTAACTTGCAAGTTTGAATCATAGAAGCCTCAAGCTGGCAAGCTGCTCTAACCAAATCCTCCTCCAGTAATCGAGCATCCTTAACCTTCCAGACCACAAAACAATTCAAGTATGAGCACCATGCTTTATCAAAAGCAGCAAGCTGAGATCTGAAGGTACATTGCTTCATAACTGCCGAGACAGACTCTTCAGCAGAACTCTGTATTGGCCCATCAAGGATAATCTTAATCAACAGCTCAAACATTTGGACAAATTCTTGTGCAGACTTGGCCAGAGCAATCTCACGCTCTCCCATACCACTGAACACTGCATCTGGATGACCTAATATCATATAAGCACACAGAACAATTCTCACAGGATACCTTGATAATCTAGCTAAGCTATTCTTTGACTCCCTGACAGAATCTACTTTCTTTGCCTCCCTGCTTCTCACAGAACTCCTGGGAGTAACCCTTTTCTTCGGGGAAGCAACCCGTTTAAGAAGATGATCAATGTTATCCAAGCTAGACAAAAAACTGGCACGAGCAACCGCTGTAGACACTTCGAGGCGGCTCTCAATCCGATCTAGTAAAGTTTTTACAGTCTGAAGAGTAGAAGCTGATTCAATCAGAAGAGCAAGCTGTTCAAATGGCATTGACTTGACAGATTTCTCATTGATCCCCAGCACGTCATACGCCTTTGCCAAGGTAAAGGTTGTTCTCTTCTGCCTCAGGAATTGCCTCCAGCACCTTAAAGAAGTAAATAAGGTTAGGAGAAGTCCTCTAGTAATATGTATGCAGCAAAAAGCAATTCTAAATGTTGCAACAGAAATCTTATCAATTATTAAATGCAAATAACCTTGCTATTTTTCCGAAAAGATATTCTGCTTGCTTTGGCATTCTATTCCAATTCTCTTGTGCATAAGCATGTAACCTTCCCCTCTGCCTGAGATATTCAGCTCTTTGTCTTTTCGCCTGCTCAATATAAATTTGGAGACTTGGTTATAAATAAGCACTATTAAGTCCACCAGGTAAGCATTGGAAATTTTCAAGATGGTGAAAATGCCCCTAAAAAGAAAGACACAGCTTCAAGCTAACACCATACCTTTTGTAATCGATCTTCCAATTCATCCTTCTTTTTCCTTCTCTCTATCTCACGCTGGTGAGATACAGACTTTGCCACATGTCTCACCTGTGAAACTCGAGCATGTGCCCTCTTCTTCTCAGCTTCTAGCAACCCAAGTCGTTTTGTTTCAGCAGCAGCTCGTTTTTGGTGAATTGCAGCTCGGACACACTCCTTATATTTGCTCTCTCGAGCCATCCTTCTCATCAATGACTGAGATGACCTTTCTCTAATAGATGCCCTTCTCTGCCTGTAAGCCTTGAGGATCAGCATCCTATTGGCCTCTGCCTGCTGAACACGTGATTCCACTTTCGTCCCCAGCTTCGCACGTTCATTCTCGTAGCGCATTTCAACTCCAGTTTTCGCAGCTTGACGCAATTTGTCCAGCCTTGCTAAGCGCGTCTGGGCCTTTGCCAAAATGCTCAACCTGTCAGGCAGGTAATGAATTATCTCAATTGTACACACACAAAAAAGTCAAAAAATTTAAAAAAGAAATCATTTTTTTGGGTTAAAATCATGTTAAATAGTTAAGGGTGAAAGCATAATTTTTCAGAATTCAGAAAATGGAATAAATAAAGTATAAGCATAAGAATCAGAAATAAATTGAGATCATGTTGAGTATTTAACTATTTCCAAATACGAGGAAATTCTTTAATATCTAGATTATTATATGTCAATTAATTAACCACAAAATTCCAGAAATAAGTTTGCAATGAAAAAGATGAAACAGTCAAAGTATCAGAAAGAAGGATAATAACGTTTAACAACAAAACAGTCAAGTTTATATACATTATATAAACTTCTCCAGTAAAAGGATATAACACAAATAATACAGGCTGACAAGTAAATGGAGTAATTAGTTTTTACAAATGAACATGATTAGGAAAAGACAACAAAGAAAAAAAGGTCTGCCAATCCAATTCCACTAGCACACCAAAAATAATCATTCTAAAGCAACAGATAATATCATGATGCTCTCACGGTTTAAACTTCATATTTTGGAAAGTTTACAAGAGCACCCAAATGCTACTTTTAATAGCAGATGAAGTCTGATCAATAAAGTAGCAATAATAACACACTCCTCGTTGGCAACAACATTAATCGTACATATGCATATAAAAATAAGGGATTAGTGTTTGTCCTTTTAAAGGACATAGAATTGTGTCATTTTAAGTGAGAGTAAGAGAAACATAATGGAAATCATGGGGGAGGTTTTTTTTTTAATTTAAATTTTTAAAAAAATACACAGTTTTAATTAAAAGGACAAACATTTTTTCCTGCGTTTGGTAGAGGAGAAATTTTTTTTACCCGAGAATCTCGATTTTCAAAAATATAATTTTTACATTCAGTTTACGATAATATCTGAAAATTAAAAATTTGGAAAAAATTCAGTTTCCCGGGAATCCTTCATAATCCCGCGTACCAAACGGGACACATGATTACAAGATTCAACACAAAACCCAAGTATTCTCACCCTAGGAAACTCACCTCTTCTGTTCAGCAGCTTGCAACTTTGCTTCTAGTCGTTGACCAAGATCTTCCTCCTGAGATGAACACCGTTGCGGGCTTCTTGGCTTCGCACGTGCCTTGCTTGACAGTTTCTCATAATATTTCTGTAATCAAGAGAAGTTCAATAAAGAGAGAGAACCAGAAAACCCAAAATATTGAAACTTTGATGAGAGGCAAGATGAAAAAATAAAATAAGAATAATTAGATGACTAAAAAGGGTGTGGAAAAGAAACAGAGAACCGGACGTAAAAGAGAAGAACGGTAACTATGCGCATGCCGTCATTTTTGGCGAAGGCCAGAAGGGCATTCATGGCGAATGAAGAAACCATAACAATGTTATATACTAAAGCATAATTTGAATTCCAACCAATACGGAGAACAAAGGTTAAAAGTTTGCAATTCATGCATAGAACAACCAAAACAAAGTTATCAGAAAGAGTGTAAAACGTGAAAAAGTACCAACAAGAAGGAGTGCGGATCAAAATTCGAACAGGAATATAAAACCAAAAAAAGAAAAAAGAAAAAAAAGAACCCTCTCCTATCCTACCTAACATAGAGACAACCTTGAAGATAAAGCAAGAAAGACGAAGAAACCAGTTCACGAGAATAATTATCAACTGAGAAGTAACGAACCAATCACAGAAACTCTTTCTAGAAGCCGATGAATAGGCAAAAGAAATGAAATTTCTTATAAAACCCAAAATAAATTTTCCAAAAGAGATTAATCTCTAAGTACTCATTCTTCTTCCAGAAAAACAGGGTTTAGAACAAATTAATTACACGTGGTTAAGGTTAGTAATATGCAAAGGAAAAAAAAAAAAAACAAGGAAACAGAAAATCACTTAATTATTGAATTTTAACTCCCTTAACTTTCTCACCAACCAAACAAACACACTGTTTTAGAATAGAATCGCAAGGACACCTGTCTGCGAAGATCCGCGTCGCGAAGCTTGGCTTCGATTTCCTCCACCGTACTCGGGGACTTGAACTCCGCGTCAAGAAGCCGTCGCCGGAGTCTCTTCGGCACCCTTGGCGGCGACGAGAAAGATTCATCGTCGCCGACCGGGAATTCCATCGCAATTCCGCCACCACCGCCGGCTCTCCCCTCCGGCAACTCTACTCCGGCAGCCATCCTTCAATAATACGACGACGCAGCAACCAACCCCTTTCGTACCGGCGCGACGGCGATGAATTCGTACCAACGACGTCGTACAGTACGAACCACAGAGAACAAGAGAATCGCAACAACGAAAATAAGAATCGATGAATTATATAAACAAATAGGGGGAAAAACAGTGGAAAAATTTGAAACGATTCAGAAGGAAAAAGTTGCGACGAGTGGACTCAGCTTCGTTTTGGTTTGAGTTTTTTAGAGAGAGAAAGTTTTTTTAGAAATGGAAACGTGAGGGGGTGTGTTTGGGTTTATAAAATTGGGTTTATAATGGAATTGGCGTGTTCGTGTTTAACACTTTAATCAAGAGGATTAAGGAGGGTATTAGCCACGTCAGCATGGTCCTCTCAACGGCACTTTTTTTTTTTTTTTTTTGGACTTTAATGCCCCTGGCCCTACCTTTTTTGACTGCATTGCCCCCATGGTCCCATCTCTATCCACTACCTTAATGATTTGACATTTTTTTTCTCTTTTGTCTTTTAATTTCGAAATTGGAATGACATTCACTTTTACTCAAAGTTCTGTTTGTAACTTTGTATTCTTTTCTTCCATTGATTTGTCATTTTTTTTATTCGCATTGGTAATTCGATATTTATTTATTTTTTTATAAACTACAAATATCATTTACGGAAAGCAACCCTATTTGAAACGGATCTAAAATTAAGGTTTTAAATTTTTCTCAAAAAAACAATAATACTAAAAATGATCGAATATATATTTTTTCTTATTCGTCTGCCAACTAAAAAACCATCATTTAATAGTTTTTATTTTATTTTCTTGTTATATCATGAAATGTGCAGAAGATGGGCCATGAAACTTATTATTGGCAGGTATATTTCCTTTTCCAAGGCCAAAACGTGTATCTTCGGGATGGGTTTGTCAAAATTGCAACATTTGATGAAGAGTAATGTATGCCTCAGGGGTTCATGCATGTTTGATTCAATACTCAACTCATTTATGGTTATGTTTACGCTTAACAACCAAAATATGTTTCAAGTTTTGACAACTATATATCAAATAAAATGATACTTTTATTTCCCATTATGTATAACTAAAGTTTGTCTTTCTGAATGATAGATGTATAAATTAAATATCATGAAAGCTTAACAATTCAAAATTCCTTTCTCTTGATTGTTCTTTAGTATTCGCATGGTGGAAAACGATCCAACGTCAAAGCAGCATGTAAAAATCAATCAAATATTTGGCTGTATGAAAAGGGGGGAAATTGGACAGAGTTATAGTAAAGTTGACAAAGGCTTCAACTCAAAGAAATTATTGAATCACGCTTTATTTTTTTCTCTAACTTTGCGCTAACTAGTAAGTAAACAATTGACCAAATCAAAGATCCATTCTCAAAAGTAAAGGAACCCATGTGGCCATCTCACATAATTGAAACAAAAGGTATGAAGATAAGGGTGCTCATAAGTAATCATGATCCATGCCTTTTGATGAGTAAGGATTAATGTCTAACTTCAAAAAAAAAAAAAAAACAAATCATCCATGATAAAACTGCATGATATCATTTGGTTGTCGCTAAAATACAAGTTATCTTCTCTTATATTTATATGTCAAATGATACCCCTAAAGCAAATAAAATGATATATATTATAAATAATAAAGAATGCTAATACATAATATTATATAAGTTCTTTAACTTGATCTACTTTATTTTGTTTTAAAAAATTAAAAGAGAAACATCGATTATGTATGTGTGTGTGTGTGATAATGTTAAAAACGCGTATGCCTTTTGAATGAGAGACTGGTTTTCAAATGAAAGGAACAAGTAACGAATATCTAAATTTATAAAAAATTTAGATGAAAACGTTTTTGCAGTTTATTGATTTTGATTTTGTGTGCACCATCGGACTTTGCTGAAGGTTCTGGACTATCATTCCTAGACATCTCTTCCACTTATTTCGTAGATACAATTATTAGACGTTGGTATTCACCTCTGAATAAAACCGTATATCTTTTGTTAAATGGTTAATTATTTCTGAAGTTGCGTATTTTTTTTTTTCTTGGGTTCAAAGGAAAATCCATAGGCAAACTCGAGTCCAAAATTAGAAAAACATCTTATATCAGATAGGAAAAAAACAAAAGAACTTATGTGGAAAGATATATAGAATACGTAAATGATTAGTTATTCTTTTACGCCTGTCGTTTCCTCTTTCCCTCCACGTGCACCGCAAAAAAAGCTTTATATTAAGGGAAATAATTTTTTCATTTCATGTGAAAAAAAAATTATACTATGATCCCATTTTGATATCCATTTTGAGTTTTTTATCTTCTCACTTTTTCGTAGATCACTCATGGATAATATGTGTAATATGAAAGAAATTCTCATATAAAATGGAAAAATAAATCCCCTTATTTTAATATATACCAAGAGGCAATGTTCAAATGCGGTGTGCTTTTTTTTTTACTAAAAGAAATAAAAGCGTTTACATGTGATACTTATTTATTTGAATCCTTTGCTATTATGAGATTATTATGTTAAGGAGAGATAAACATGAATTTTATTATAATAAACTAAGGTTAATTATTTAATTTGAAAATATCCTTGTCGCTATATATATATATATATATATATATATATATATATAAATTTAATGTTTCTACAGTGCATATAGATAAGTTATTTACGTTTACTCTCAAAATAACATCGTTTTAGGTTGAAAAATTAAAAAATTATAATGAAAAAAATTATTATAACTCAGAAATAAATTATAATTATAAAAACACCTTGATTTCCGTATCAAAATGACGTCGTTTTGAGTTCAGTATAGATAAGTTACTTACATTGACTTATAAAAAAAGCGAACCCTATATATATATATATATATATATATATATATATATATATATATATATATATATATATAAGTCTTACACCAAATCTTAACCATTGATTTTTTACATCTAACGGTTAAGATTTATTAGGTCTCACTCATTAATTAATTTTTAATTTCCAATAAATCTCAACCATTGGATGCACGGAAATCAATGGTTAAGATTTAGTGTAAGATTTATTATTCTTACACCGGTGTAAGTTGATCCTATCCCATATATATATATATATATATATATATATTGGAAAAACTTTCCTTATTTTTTCTAAAGGGAAAAGTGTTTTTCATTTTAAATGACATAAATTTACGTCCTTTTAAGAGAGAGATAGACACATAATTTTATTTTTTATTTAAAATTTAAATTAAAAATAACCACCCACTTTCTCTCTCCCATGATTTCCATTTCATGTGTCTATCTCTCTCATAAAATGACATAACTTATGTCATTTAAAATGACAAAGATTAAACCATTTTAAATGATATTCAATAACAAAAGAAATTCAAAATTCGTGTGCTTGAGTTTTATAATTCAAGGTTTGAGTTTCCATTTGGTTGGCATGGTATGTTTAATTTGTCAATTAGTTAATAAAAAATTCTTAGTAATAAACATACAAATTGAAATCAAACTCCATCATGAATATAAAGAGAGAAAACAAATTAGCCTAGTCTCATTATCTAAACTAGAATTTTGTTGAACACGCCTCAACATACATTTTTTTTGCTTTAGTTAACAATAGAAAACGTAAGTCATGATAATAAGAATATTTTATATCTTACATTATTATAATATAAATCTAATTGAATAATAACAGTATTTGTTAATAAAACCGTGAATTAAATGAGAGTCCACTTCTTCTTTTATATATACAAGTGAAAATTCAACATATAATTTAATATAATCTATTTAAATCCCTCAAATATTTAATATAATAGTATAGATACCTACTTTATAATAATATAGATATTTATCCTATGCTACCACTATGGTCTAGTTGTGAGGAATTTGCATAGTTTATATTAGACTATGTATTCAATTTCCGCGTTATATCTAAACAAATATCTATCATATGCTGGTTAGGGAAATAATTATAGGAGTTTGCTTTGATTTATCATTCAAATATTATATTAAAATCAATAAAAATCGAGATTAATTCATTGGTTATCCATTCAATAATTACAGTTTGAATATACTAATTTTAAATTTAATAGATAATGTGTAATGAGCCATTATTAGAAATTTATACTTATCTAAGATCGGAAGAAAAATAAAAAATCATAAAATGTAAAATTTTAAAGTAAAAAAATTGTAAAAACATAAAAATTGTAAAACATAAAAATATTTAAAATTTTGATGAAATTATTTTAATTAAAAAAATTATAAAAACATAAATTTAAATTGAAATTTTAACTAATTATACCATAGAAAACATGTATAATGCATATGCTCCCTTTGTATAATACACATGAGAAAAATGTTTGTCATTTTAAATAACAGAAAGTTATGTCATTTTAAGAGAGATACAGACATTGAAAATTTGAATTTTAAATTAAAAAAAAAAACTCACTTTCTCTCTCTCATGATTTCTATTTTTCTATGTCTATCTATCTCCTAAAATGACATAACTTATATCATTTAAAATGACAAACATCAAACCCAATACATATTTATAGTTACTAAACGAATAGCAAATGTTATAAAACTCCCTTCGCATTCAACTTGGAAACCGCACATCCTTGACCCTCTCCCAAACTTTATCATTAGCTTTAGAATGCATATGCTCCCTAGTCCCTACATAATTAGGTTTGTGATTTCAATTCGGCTACATTTGACTTTTTCCTTTGAAAATGCAGTACCTATGGCCCACCAAAATAGTAGGGGTAAACCTGGCAATCAGAAGATTACAATGGTATCACGGTAATTCTATTGACACATTGCTTTGAAGGAGTCCCTTCGTTACTTCATTCCGGAGGACACTGAAGAAAAGATATGACGCTTCGCTCTGGTTCTGCCACGTCATCCAGCGCTCTTACGCTCCCACAATAAATGGTTTATTTTATCTCACTCGCGCGAGTACATAAATCACCAGTACTTCCCCTCTTTCGCGATTACGTGTTGGCCTATCCGATAAACGTCAGCCTTCGTGAATGCGTTACGACATTCGACGAGGTTGTGTTACGTGTCATTCGCGATAAGATGCATAAGCTATGGTGGAGAGGTAAGTAGCAGAAGATTACTACTCGTTTGAATTTAAAAAAAAAAAACGGAAAATAAAAAAGGAAACTACTTAAGCGTGCGAACGACACAAAAAAACACGTGTGTTACTGGAAACGCGAGATTTCAACCATAAAAACCGCTCAACCCGGGACCCACAAATTTTAGTAGCCCTTATGTTCGCATACGTGGAGACCGTGGATAAATAAAGTAATAGGAATGTAGACAGTAGACACGTACATGGTACATGTCCATATACTTTATGACATGTTCCAATAGTTAATGATTAATATTAATTAAATTTTGATGTTGCTTGGTTGGTGGACCTCAAATATGATGCATGATCCCAGTTTTTATTTTATTTTTTTAATGATTATGAAGAACAATTGGGATGTTGCGTACTTGGCCCAAGGAGAATGTTGGGGGTAAATATTCTATTTTTTATTTTTTTATATATAAATAAAAATTAAATACATAACCTAATACAATTTATTTAAATTCTTCATACATAGATGAAAATTAAACACATAACTTAATATAATCTATCTAAATTCTTCACCACTAAATTAAACCTAGTGAGTTAAAAACATTTTATTTCAAACCAACCAATTTTATGACAGAAAAAAAGAATGAAAAAAATAAGTTATTTTAAAATTAATTTATCTTCTTCCGTCAAAATAAATTAACTGTACTAAAAATACATTAGATAAAATGATAATTTCAACTTACGTTTACACGTAAAGAATAATGTTAATATAACTTAATTAAATTAATTCCTCTTGTCTTCAAAAAAAAAAAACTTAATTAACTAGTTATTTTTTTTTGGAAACATTAATTAACTAGTTTAATACAACATATCAATTGCTAGTCTTTACAAGGTGGTATTGACACGTAAAAGTAGTAGTATAATAGCATAAGATGTATGTATTTTTTATTGACTCCAGATTTTTATATTTATATTTCGAGTGAGATAAAATTAAAAGTCTATTACATTTTTTTTTTACAATTTTACGATAATCAGTTAGTAGTTTGTGCAACTTTTTTTTATTTTGATATATGTTTGAGGTTATTGATGCAAATTGTTAAAATTGTTTACTAATTAATTTAGACATAATACTTTATCTCATTAGAAATTTAGAAAAAGTTATTGAAAAAATAAGAAAATAAAATTAAAAAATAATACAAAATAAGCAATAAATAAGGACCTGATAAAAATAAAATGAAATGAAAACTAGACGTGTTCTTTGACTACATAGCCACATGTTAGATTGAAAAAAAAATATATATTAGGAAATTATCTCCCTGTTGAAAAATTCTATTATCCCTTGACTCTGATTAATATTTGATTTTTGTTTTCTACTAATTTTTTACAACAATTAAATCTTAAAAAAAATTTAAGTGAAAAAACAACAGGTCCTTCATTACTCATTAGTATGTTGTTAACTATTCACAGGAGTTAATAACATCAACAATTTACATACATTTTATTGACTTAATGTATTAATGTACCCCTCAATGATTTTAATGTATTTAAATTTCTAAGTATGAATAAATTAAATGTAAAATAAAATATTTAATTATATTAAAGTCACAAAACGAATCTAATAATATTTTATTCATTGAAATATCATGCCACAAATTTAAATTATTAGTTATATCATAAACGTTTATTAATAATTAAAAAATATATTGACAGAAAATTTAATTTTTTGAATTAAAATATTGAAAAAATTATTTACTATAAAAAATTTAAAAAAACAAAAACTTATGTTGACCATACAAAAATGACAAAAGAGATAATTATTAATATTAAAATAGTTAAATTGTTGGAATTTAGACGAGTTGTTAACTGTAGTTCAAACACGTAGATATTGTTGACCATTTGGGATAAGGCTTCACCAAACTCATGAGCCTGGCCTTTCTTACATGAGGTCTATTTGAAAACACCTGTTCCGAGGTGACGGCCTTATGGCCCGAAATAAATTATTATTTTAGTCTTTAAAATATTAAATTGACACTAATTTAATTTTATTAAAATTAAATGATATTAAACTTTCTCTCAAATGACGATCTGCATTTAATATTTTGAAAATTAGTATCAATTTAACTCCTTGATAATATGAAAGAACACTAATTTAATTTCTTGATATTATTATTCATATATAAAAATAATAATTTTAATTTTTATACGATTAAGAGATTAAGAGAGGTAAATTGAACAGAGAAAAGAAAAGCTGAAGGAAAGGAAAAGAAAAAGAGAAAGGAGGGAATCATACAGGAAGACACTGTTACAGATACAACATTGGCTGGGCCAACTCATGATGCCATCAGCTTTGGAAGGCCCTTAGGAAGAAGGAAAGCCCAACTTGGATGAAAGATTACAATTGTAGCTGAGTAGTAGATGAAATAGATAAACTTATTAGCTTGTGATTGTATTGTAGCACACATGGAGTAGTTATAGGATGACATGTGGCATTGGTTGTTAGACGGTTAGGAACATTCGTGTAAAGCATCTGGGGTACATATAGATATTGTTTGTACATGCAAAGGATTATCTGAATAAAAACTTGAGTTACCCTTTTCTTAAAATCTCTCCTCTCTTTCCTTCCCTGATACATTTCGTATCATCTGGTGCTTTCACTGAGCTTGGTTATCACCATGCGGATTCAGGAAGTTGCCGACGAACTTCGTACCGAGTTCCAGGAAGGAATTCAATCTGTTCGTTCTGATTTGACTCAGAAACTTGATCAATTGACGGAATCGGTGCTTAGCCTCGATGTCCGATTACGGGAATTCATGAATCGAAACCCATCCTCTACTCCAACCAGTTCCAAACTCCATAGCTCTGTATCTGACGCAAATGGTTCCCAATTTCGGGTACCAGAAACACCGGAACAAAGGATCTTGAAGTCGGTCAAGGTGGAGATTCCTCAATTCCATGGGTCTGACCCAAATAATTGGATTTTTAAAGCAGAAATGTTCTTCCAAATGCAGCAGGTTCCATTGCATATGAAGGTGCAACTTGCTGGGTTGAAGATGGAGGGCCAAGCTTCCCCATGGTTTCAATGGATGTTCGATACAGGTTCGATTAACCAATGGGACGATTTCATTCGAGCGTTGCGTCAACGTTTTGGTGCTTCGGCTTTTGTAGATCTCAAAGGTACTCTTTCCAAACTTTCCCAATCAGGTTCGTTAATGGAGTACATTAGGGATTTTGAGGCCCTGTTGAACCAAGTCCCTGGTTTCTCTGATGATGTTTTGATGAGTTTTTTCATCTCTAGCCTTCAACCGAACTTGAGGAGTGCTATTCAACTCCAATGGCCCACATCCTTACACCATGCCATGCAGCTTGCATATGCCATTGATACTCACCACGACCAATTACGTTCTTCTCTGTCTTTTTACCCAAAGAAACCTGTCCTTACATCATCCACACCAACAACTATCCCTAAACCTAGTCCCAATCCTCCTTATACGCATACACCTAGTCCCAACATACCCAAACCTTTTACACCTCTTGCCTCAAATTTACCAATTAAAAAACTCTCCCCTGAGAAAATTGCAAGAAAAAGAGAACTTGGAATTTGCTATACTTGTGACGAAAAATGGACCTCAAAACATCGATGTAAGTCCAAAATGCTTTTGTTGATTGGTGAAATTGATGAAGACCAACAAGACACAGAAGAAGAAATTATGTGGTCCCCTAAGTCCAAGGATGACAGTTTGGCAGCTACACTGCATTCCTTAGCAGGTTCTTTTAATCCTAGAGCCTTAATTTTTGATACATGGCTCTGTGGACATAAGGCAAGTGTGCTAGTTGATTCTGGCAGCTCACACAATTTTATAAATCGTGAGTTAGCTCATCAGCTGAATGTTCCTATGTTGCATTCGAAAGGAATGAAGGTGTTCATGGGAAATGGAGATTTTCTGTTCTGTGACAAAAAGTGCTGCAAGGTCACTTTAGTTATCCAGAACCATTCATTTGTAGTTGATCTTTGGGTGCTGGAATTGCATGATTTGAGTATTATATTGGGCATGTCTTGGTTGGAAAGTTTGGGCCAAGTGACCCATGATTATGTTGAGCAATCCATGGAGTTTGTGAAGGATGGCCAGCGAATCAAATTGCAAGGTAATGTGGACTCAGATGATTTTTCCCGAATCAAGAGGGATAAGTTGAGCTCCTGCTGTGTCCTTTCATCCTCGGTTTCTGATGTCAATGAGCAGTTGATTCTGCCTGAATTGGAGGCTCTCAAAGACACACTTTCTGCTGAATTATGGGAGGTACTATACAAGTACATGGCTGTTTTCCAGACTCCTCAGTCATTACCTCCTTTTAGAGGTATGGATCACTCAATTCACTTGATGGAGGGAGCAAGACCTGTGAATGTCAAGCCTTATCGTTTTCCTCATCATCAAAAATCTGAATTGGAGAAACAAGTGACTGATTTGTTATCTGTTGGTTTTATCCAACCCAGCAAGAGTGCTTTCTCCTCACTTGTACTATTAGTCAAGAAATCAGATGGCTCATGGCGCATGTGCATAGATTACAGGGCCTTGAATGCACTAACTGTACCCGACAGGTTTCCTATACCAACAATAGATGAGTTGTTGGATGAATTACTTGGTGCTTCAGTCTTTAGCAAGTTGGATCTTAGAGCTGGATATCACCAGATCCGTATGCTTCCTCAAGACATACATAAGACTGCTTTTCGCACCCATGAGGGACATTATGAGTTCCTTGTCATGCCTTTTGGTTTGACAAATGCCCCGGCTACGTTTCAGGCAACAATGAACCAGATTTTTCGCCCTTATTTGAGAATATTTGTCATTGTTTTTTTTGATGACATTCTCATCTATAGCCCTTCTATGATTGATCATTTGTATCATTTAGAACTGACCTTCAATTGTTTGTTGCAGCATAATTTTTTTGTTAAAATAAGCAAGTGTGCCTTTGGTGTTGCTAAAATTTCCTACTTAGGCCATATTGTATGTGCTGAAGGCGTGAAGGCTGATCCAAAAAAAGTGGCTGCCATGGTAGATTGGCCTCAACCAACAACAATCAAACAAATGCGTGGATTTTTGGGTCTCACAAGCTACTACAGAAAATTTGTAAAGCAATATGCTGACATTGCTTCACCTTTGACTGAAATGTTGAAAGCTGACAAACTGATTTGGACACCTGCAGCAGTTGATTCATTTGCCAAGTTAAAGACTGCTATGAGCTCAACACCAATCTTGGGGCTGCCAGATTTTTCTTCCCCATTTATTGTAGAAACCGATGCATCTATTGTGGGCATAAGGGCTGTTCTTATTCAACACTTTAAACCAATCTCTTTTTTTAGCAAAAAGCTTGGGTTTCGTTTATCCAAAGCATCCACTTATGTCCGTGAATTGTATGCCATCACTGAGGCAGTGAAGAAATGGAGACACTATCTCCTTGGAGCCCATTTCATAGTAAGAACTGATCACCAAAGCATTCGGGAGTTATTGTCTCAGACCATACAGACTCCAGAGCAGCATAGGTATGTCCATAAGCTTTTGGGATATTCATTTACTATTGAATACAAACCTGGCTCCTCCAACATTGTTGCTGATGCACTTTCAAGACAATTTGAGTCTGCTGAGGCTGGTTTCTCTTTATCATTAATGTCTGAGCCACAGTTTAGCATTCTGGATCGAATTAAATCAGAAAATTTTTCTGATTCAGACCTACTTGCTATACACCAGAAATTATACTGGTGTTTTAGTTGACCCTTTATTTCTGGTTAAAGATGGTATCCTTTATCATCGAGGCAGATTTTATTTGGGATCCCAATCCAGTTTGAAAACAGAATTGATTGAGGAAGCTCATTCTACTCCTTTGGGTGGGCATGCTGGTTCTCTTCGCACCTTTCTGCGTCTCTCTGCTTCTTTTTATTGGCAACATATGAGAAGGGATGTAACTACTTTTGTCTAGCAATGTGTAACTTGCCAACAAGTTAAAACTTCAACTTCAGCACCATTGGGTTTACTTCAGCCTTTGCCTGTCCCTGAAGCCATTTTTGAGGATCTTACATTGGATTTCATTACGGGGCTGCCTATATCCAATGGTCATTCTGCAGTTTTGGTGGTGGTAGACCGATTGTCAAAGTATGCTCATTTTATTGGTTTGGTCCAACCATTTACAGCAGCAATAGTGGCTCGAATTTTTTGTGATCATATAGTAAAATTACATGGTTTTCCTCGGTCTTTGATTTCTGACAGAGACACAATTTTTTTTAAGTAAATTTTGGCAGAAATTGTTCTCTTTGAGTGGTACTAAACTCAAAACTAGTTCTAGTTATCACCCACAAACCGATGGGCAAACTGAGGTCACAAACCGTTACTTGGAGCAATATTTGAGGGGTTTTTGTGCTGAACAACAACATAAGTGGTATTCTTTCTTATGTTGGGCTGAGTTGCATTACAACTCATCAGTTCATTCTTCCATTGGAATCTCCCCATTCCAAGCGGTTTATGGCAGGTTAGCACCTACAATTCCTCATTACCCGAGGGGCTTAGTTACTATTGAAGCTTTAGATACACTTCTTTCCCAAAGAAATGATATCTTAGCTAGTCTCAAGGAACACTTGCTTAGAGCCCAGAACAGAATGAAGCATCAAAGTGATAGGCACCGTCGAGATTTGGTTCTTGCTGAGGGTGATTTAGTTTTGGTTAAGTTACAACCTTATCGCCAACTTTCAGTGGTTCGAAGGTCACACCAAAAGCTTGCCAAGAGATACTATGGTCCTTTTACAGTCAAGAAGGTGATCAATTCGGTTGCTTATCAGCTAGATCTTCCTGCCACATCCAAAATTCATCCCACCTTCCACATCTCTTGTTTGAAACCGTTTCGGGGTAACCCTGATGTTCCCTTCACTCCTCTGCCTGCTATGAGTGTGGATAATAGGCCAGTTCAAATGCCTCTTGCCATTATAGCTTCTTGTACACAATCGGTTTCTGGCACTCCTGCTACTGTTCAGCATTTGGTTCAATGGACAGATACTGTTCCTGAAGATGCCACTTGGGAAACAGCTGCTAATTTGCGTTTGGCTTATCCAAGCATAGACCTTGAGGACAAGGTCTCTCAAGGGAAGGAGGTAGTTGTTACAGATACAACATTGGCTGGGCCAACTCATGATGCCATCAGCTTTGGAAGGTCCATTAGGAAGAAGGAAAGCCCAACTTGGATGAAAGATTACAATTGTAGCTGAGTAGTAGATGAAATAGATAAACTCATTAGCTTGTGATTGTATTGTAGCACACATGGAGTAGTTATAGGATGACATGTGGCATTGGTTGTTAGACGGTTAGGAGCATTCGTGTAAAGCATCTGGGTACATATAGATACTGTTTGTACATGCAAAGGATTATCTGAATAAAAACTTGAGTTACCCTTTTCTTAAAATCTCTCCTCTCTTTCCTTCCCTGATACATTTCGTATCAGACACACAGAGAAAAAGTATAAGAAATGAAAGAAAGGTAATATTGAAAGATAAAAAACTTTTTCTTATTTTTCTTTTTTTTATTATTCTTTTAAAAATTTCAACGATACTGTTATTTTGTCAAATTTCTTTCTTAAAACTTTTTTCTACTTGATTTTATTCCTATATTTAGTTTTATTATTAATTAGTTCTAATATCTTATTTAGTTTTTTAAAAGTTAAATTATTGACTGATGAGTTATTTGGTACCAAATAAATATTAAAAAAATGTGTAATTTTAAATGTAAGATACTGCTGTGAACTGACTCATAAAGTTTTGAAATCAGACAGTTAAAGGATAAGGGACGCCTTATCATGGTTTGAGCTCCGCCATACAGAACCTTTCACATGCAGGAGACCTATAAAATTTGGGTATTTAAATAGCTTCAATTAAATATTATACAATGTAGTGTTTATTATTATTCCATTACTGTTTCATTTTTTTATTAATTGAGAGAGGTATTTTCTGTTACTACAGCTGGAAATAGTTATAGTTAAAAAAAAACCTCAATATTATTGAGAAATTTTCTCATGTTTTATTTGTGTTGCTAACTTTTCCAGATAATCATAATACCTAACCTAAGCTTGTCAGGTGAAGGATCGAGTATCAATGTTTACTCTTACGATGATCGCATGAAATTCTATATATTGTAGTAGAAAATCAAGGAGTTGCTGCAATATTCTATGCTGAAAGTGTTGAGACCTACACTTATAGACTAGATTAGAATAAGACCTATGTATTGTATAATTATGTGACGTCAGGATGTAATATATAGTAGGATGTAGGACCAATGTAAAATAATTACAGTATGTATCTGACTTAATGTTATATATAAAGTGACGTTGATAGGTGTTTATATAGTTCTTTTTAATTGTTCTTATCATTAGTAGTAAAGTTTAAGAAAACAGTTTATATCTATTAATAACGTTAACACCTCTTCATTTTATTTCTTACTGTGTATACATAAAAAAATATATAATTTTAAAAAGTCATGTAAGATTCTTTATAATGATTTTAATATAGTTTGATTGTAATTTTGATGAGGATTCTATAAAGATGTGGATAAATGTATGTATAGTTCAGTTCAGCTTTACAACTTCTATAGTAAATATTTCCCTTAGTTGGGGTGTAACAAATGTATGGCATAGTTGAGCAATCGAATATTGCTAGGAGTTTGGTCTACTCATTTTGCAATTATTTGAATTATTAGTGACTATTTTGTAAATTATATTTGCAAAATGTAATTGGCATATTTAAATAAGGGAATTTAACTAATGACAGTATATAATAATATTTATTTTTCTAGATTTTTGAATCACGTATTTACACATGTTTATCTTAATTAAAAGTGTTAAATTTTTATAATTCTATAATATTGTAGTGAAGCGGTATTGTTTCAGTTTGTTTACCATTGACTAATTCATTTTGTTTAGACAAAAGCAAAATATTCCTTATGCGACTTGACCATTTAAGATATTAGTACAGTTATAATTCCTATCTACGACCAAGTGTTTGTTCACATATAACATACCTGCCTAATATTAAATTAATTATTATTTTTAATTATACTAATTATTATGTAGCATGGAGAATTCACCTTATTTTATGCGCGAAATATTTATATATGTTAATGAGTAGAGAAGTTTTTGCATATTAATATTTTTACAAGTCTTGATAACAAGTAAATTAACGACAATGGTTAAGAGAATTTTTTTATGACTGAAATGATTTTAATTACTTAAAAATTAAGAAATGCTTTTAGACTTTTTTTTCGAGAGAGTTCTTAATATTTTAAATATAATACACGAGAAAAGTATTTATCCTTTTTAAAGATATATTTTATGTTATTTTAGATGAAACGAACATAAATGATAATTTTTTTCACTCTTTCCTCCATTTTTCTCCTTTTCTGAATTTTATGAAGGAAAAAGAATGTAAAAACTACCAATTATGTACAGCAAAAACGACGTCTTTTCATTCAAAATCACATAAAATTGTATCTTTTAAAAGAAAAAACATTTTTCTTTAACATTTCATTTAATATTTTTATTCTAAGAAACATTTAATGCTTTTCACAATGAAATGTTTGGGGCAAGACTTTGAAGGAAAAGGAAACTGAACATTAAATTTTCATTTCAAGTAAATATATTTGTATCAAATGTTCTTTGACCAACATGTTGAAAATATTGATCAATTTATATGGAAGGTTATTAATATGTATAATATTTTAATTTTTATATAATATTCTTTTGTTTCCTTAACTAACAAGTTATAGGAGTTTAAAAAGTTATCAAATGGTCTCAATTATAAAAAAAAATATAATTGTATTTGGTTAAATACCTTTTTATTAAAGGGAAAAGTGAGTATCATTTTAAATGATATAAAATTATGTCATTTTAAATTAAAGAAAGATATAGATGAGGGGAAGATAGTGGACAAAAAAAAATAAAGATATGGGTCTTACCTCTTTGTGAGAATAAAATGACACAAGTTGTGTTATTTTTTTTTTGGTAAACAGGCAAGTTGTGTTATTTAAAAAGACAAACAATTTTTCCTTTATTAAAATATGTAAAACATTGTCACTCTATTGATGTCAATGTTGTTAAAATCGAGATATTAAGTAAAATCGGAAGAGGATTAAAAAATCGTAAAAAATACAATCGTAAGGTAAAAAAATCGTAAAAGTGTAAAAGCGTTTGGAATATTAGTAAAATCATAAAAACATAAAATCATAATGATAAATCGAGATTTTAACAACAATGATTGATGCTATCTTTTTATCATTTAATGGAAATATACATACGTAATGTATATAGTTATAAGGCAAGTGATTAGACACCAATTCAAACATAAGTAATGAGATATGACGCAAGACAGATTAAATAAATTTTAAGGAAAAGTTAATATTAAGAATAGATTAATAATCGTATTCATTTAAAAAATCTCATTAATTAATCATGACTAGAATTAATTATATTATTCATTCAAGTTAAATTAAGTATCGAAATTGTCCAACAGTAGTGCAATAAAATCTCAAATTGAATTAAACATGACTTTCAAGTATCCATTAATTAATTGGATATAATTACATGAGTTACAAACATTAAATATACTCATAAGAAATTAAATATCTGACACAGTGATGCAATAGAATTTAAAGAAAAAATTAATAGTAAGAGTCAATAAATGAGTCAGTAAATGTTTATATATATAATGTATCAAAGAAAATGTTTATATATATATATATATATGGAAAAAAAGTTTATGATATTACTTTAGACAACTTTGTATAATGTTCATTAAAACGATGTCGTTTTGAGATTGAAAAATTAAAAAATTAGAATGATAAAGACTATTATAACCCTGAAATAAATTAAAATTACAAAAATACCATGATTTCCGTCCCAAAACGACGTCGTTTCAATGAACATTAGATAAAGTTATCTAAAGTAACTTTAGAAAAAACAAACCATATATATATATATATATATATATATATATATATATATATATATGGGGCAGGATATTCTTACACTGGTGTAAGAGTTAGAAGTCTTACACTCAATCTTGACCATTGATCCACTTGTATCCAATGGCTCATATTACTAAAAAATTTGAGCTCTTAGATATAAATGGAATCAGTGGACAAGATTAAGAGTGTAACTTACACTGGTGTAAAATGATCTTAACCCTATATATATATATATATATATATATATATATATATATATGGGGAGGATATACTTATCACCAAAAAAGTTTATAACATTTACAACTAATCTAAATACTATTGATTTCCATTAATCTAACGGATATAATTTATTGAAAATCATTGGGTCACATTTATTAATTAAAACTGTTAGATTGACAGAAATCAACAGTGATTAGGCTAGTTGTAAAGGTGATAAACTTTTTTGATGATAAATATATCATTTTCCTGTATGTATATGGAAAAATATTTCTCCTTTTAAATTATGAAATTAAAATATTTCTGTAAACTTTCATTAAAAAATAGTTATATATAAAATATTTGTAGACAGATGGAATTACAAAGGGCAAGTAACAGTTGATGACATACATCAATCACCTACTTAATGAACGGTTGACAAACAAACAAGGTTTATACTATATATATATATATATATATATATATATATATATATATATATAGAGGCAGGATCCTTTGACACCGGTGTCAAACTTAAAATTTGACACCTCATCTGATAGCCGTTAGATCAAAAAAGATCAACGACTCTGATTTGTAAGCATGTGACACCATTGATCTTTTTTGATCTAATGACTATCAGATGAGGTGTCAAACTTTAAATTTGACACCGGTGTCAAAGGATCCTACCTCATATATATATATATATATATATATATATATATATATATATATATATGAGTTTTATAATTGTCATTCAACATGAGAATTTAAATTTTCCTACACACCCTTCGATTTTTGTGCTGACATGGGCCCTGCATATAATTTTTTCTAACATATGAATCCCACATGCTTTTTATCTTTACAACATGAGAATTGAATTCTCATTTAACATGAGAAAATCAAATATATATATATATATATATATATATATATATATATATATATATATATATATATATATATATATATGGATAAGATCAACTTACACCGGTGTAAGAATAATAAATCTTACACCAAATCTTAACCGTTGATTCCGTGCATCCCATGGTTAAAATTTATTGGGAATTAAAAATTAATTAATGAGTGAGACTTAATAAATCTTAACCGTTAGATGTAGAAAATCAATGGTTAAGATTTGGTGTAAGATTTATTATTCTTACACCGGTGTAAGATGATCTTGTCCCATATATATATATAAGGTTCGCTTTTTCTGCAGTTACTGCAGATAAATTATCTACAGTAAGTTCAATACGATGTCGTTTTGAAGCGGAAATCATAGTATTTTTATAATTTTAATTTATTTCAGGATTATATTAGTCTTTATATTTAAATTTTTTAAGATTTCAATACCAAAATGATGTTATTTTGAAAATAAATACAGATAACTTATCTGCATTAACTGCAAAATACAAATTTTGCTTGGTGATTATCGATGTACCCTTAATATCAACACAAAAATTCATTACTTAAATACAATAAAATTAAATGAATTGTATATTATATAATTATATATTTTGTTACACTATTATATAAGTTTCGAACCATCATTTAAATTTTAAAGATGGAGTCCTACTTTTCTAGTTATACATATAACCAAAATTAAATTTTACTTTTATTATCAACCCCGTCATTTATTAATGTTTCTTTGATCCATAATCTCATTTGAAATAAATGCAATTACATTACTCAAGTATTATCTCATTTGATGAATGGATATTACTATTTCAAGAATCCAAATTATAACCAAATAATGGTAGCTCAGTTGGCGCATGAGAAGTGAGCAAGTGAAAAGTGAGAGAATGTATTCGATCATTTTCAGTACTATCTTTGAGAGGGGTTTAAAGTTTTAATTATAAACTCGTGGAGGATACCTGTGGTTTATCCACACAAAAAAATACAAATTATAATTCTCATTATGTTTTAGGGTCCACTCTTGAGACCTATCATAACATGCATCTAAACCCCGTTCCAAGTGGCGCCAATCATCTTTCTCTATCCTTCTATTTAAGCTCGTTTCCCTCAATGCAGATGCACATCTATCTATCTAGCTTTACATGTCCTCTTCATATCCCATATTTCAAAGCTAGAGCAAACCATGTCTGGAATCAACACCAATATGCCAGCAGCAACATCTTTTGAGAAGGATGTGGTGTTCAAAGCGTGTGAACGCAATCATACAATGTCACTTGGTCGCGTTTGCTATGATGGTTGCCAAGAGTTTCTCGGAGGAGGGGGAAAGACCAAGGATGCCATGTTGTGTGCTGCATGTGACTGTCACCGAAGCTTTCACCGCAAATGCATTATTTACGACCCTATAACCCAGCGTCAAACTGAGAACATTTTGAATACAAATAATTCTCTTGCAGAGGTGGAGATGATGTCAATGCTGCCAAAGAGGAGGAAGAGGACTGTGTTCACACCAGAGCAGAAAAATCAGATGATGAGGTTTGCTGAGAATGTGGGATGGACACCTAAAGGGGCTAACAAGGATGAAATCCAACGCTTCTGTTTGGAGATAGGAATCTCCCGTAAAACTTTCCTAGTTTGGCTGAGTAATAACCGTCATCGAGCAAAGCAAAATAATACCAAATAAAATGAATTGAATAGTCATCTTAAATGAAACTTGGTGTTTGGCGTGTAGGCGTTTCCCTTAAATAATGTTGTGTTTAGTTAATGTGAGTGTGAAAGTTATGAGAAAGGTGGGTTAGATTTTCTTTGTCTGCTTTTGGTTATGCAAGTGTGTGTCAATGTCTTTTAGCTTTGTTCTTTTTGTAACCGAAGTTCCTTGGCTTAATTTCAAGGGTTTAGTCTGTGTACCTTGAATTTCTGGGTGGATCGTCATCTATGTTATGTTGTCTTAAAATGTTTTGGTTTATTTTCTTTCTCTTTTCAACAATCTTTATAATTCTTGTGTTTGGCGTGATGTTAACTTACCCATAATGAAGTTCATAAAAAAATCAATACAACATCATTGACCGAGATGATAAAGATCTAGAAAAACCAAATATGTGTGTTTTCAATATTATAAGTTAACCATGTTTCGTGAAAGATTAAATTGCAAGAAGAATTAATTGAGAAAAAAGCTATATATAAATTGTGATAGACAAAACATCTTCTTGTTTACTTAATATTTGAAGTTTTTAATAATGGATAGGAATTTTGGACTACTAGAAAAAACCAGTATGGCGACGGAATTGCTATGAGATTTTTGTTGCTAATTTCATCCTCGCAACTATTTTTCGTCACAGATTTCCTCGCAAACAAGGTTTGTGACGGAATTTGCTAAGAAAGTCGAATTAGCCTCGAATTTTGCGAGATAAATTTTATTGAAATTCTGTGGCTACACATGTTTTTTCTAGTATCTTCATAAAAGAGCATAAGGGTTTTATAGGGGGGGAAACTCATAAAAGAGTTAACTTCCATTTTGAAACATTACTCAACATTAATTTTAAAAATCCAATAAATAAGAAAATAAAACATTAAAAATTATGCTTTTTATAGCATTCAAAACTCAACCATAACATATTTTTTTCAATTTCAAAGATAAAGAAAGTGAAAAAGAATGTAAAAAATATATATCATAATTTTATAACGGTTAGACGTAAGTGGATTGAAGACTAATAATAAGTTTGATAATTTTCTAAACTAACACTAATTTGACTTTTTAAAACTTAGAATGCAAGATGAATATATAAATGCTTATAATTTAATGATTAATTTCAAATTTTTTTATAAAAAAATTATTCAATAATATGAGTATGTGGTTTTTTTAATACAATAATAAATATAAAGCTATGCTAGTAATTAAATAGCTCCGTGAAATATGGTCAACAATGAACGAAACCCAATTAGAACACAATATTTAATATTGAATTCAAAACGGTAGTAAAAACAATTAAGACATAGATGTGTGATGCCCAATTAGAATAAAGGAGTTAATATTGAATTTGAAACCGAGGTGAAACAATTAAGATACATATATTATTAGTGTTTTGATAATGGTCTAAGTGAAGTGGATGGATCCATGAACCTAATGATTTAAGATTTTGGGTTAAGATATGGTATTAGACCCAATTGATATGTTGGTCAACCTGAGCTATTGGTGGTGGTTCCCCGCCTCGGGTTCCCCTTGGACCCGCCTGACAGTGGTACCATAATCAAGTAAGGCTCGAGCTAGCCAGATGTTTGGCTAGAGACAAATTAAGTACTTAGACCGGGGTACTCAGAGAGAGGGGGAACATATCAATGGTGAGTTTCATACTTGAGGAGAAGATCGTTGAGATTTTCAAGTGTGATAGACTTTCACATTGGTTGATAATGAGTTAAGTAAAGTGAATATAAGTGGATGAATCCAAAAATTCAATGTCTTAAGGTTTTGGAATGAGACATGGTGTCAAACTCACTTAATCTATTAGTTAACCTTAGTCCATTGGTGGTGGTCCCCCGCCACGAGCTCCCCTTTGACCTGCCTGACAGTGGAATCCTTGGAATAATATAATCCCAAATATGTGGTTCCTTGGAGATAACGAAAAATATATTTAATTCCATTATAATGTCTTCGAGTTGGCTTAGAAGTAAAACATGCATATAAATTTATCGTAAAAGCAATATTTGGTCTTGTACTTTGGACCAAGAACATCAAATTCCCAATTGCATTGAGATATGATACTTTAAGACCAATTATCTCTTTATTACATTCTTTAGGATGAAATGGATCCTTTTGGAGATCTGGAGACCTTACAACTATAGGGGTGCTTAATGGATGAGCCTTATCTATTTTGAAGCGTTGAAGTAATCTTTCAATATATATTGATTGATGGACAATAATTTCATTTTCTTTATACTCAAGTTCTAGATGAAGGAAAATTTTGATTTTACCCAAATCTTTAACTTCAAATTCCCTTTTCAAATACTTAACAATTTTTTTTAACTCTTCTAGAGTTCTAATTAAATTCACATCATTGACATAAATTGTTTCAATAGCAAATATAGTTTTTGGTTTCTTAATAAACATGCATGGACAGATTGGAACATTCTTCTTAATTAGGTAATCAATTAGATGTTGATACCACATATAACCAGATTAATTTAAATCGTACAAAGATCTTTGCAACTTTATCGAGAATAAGTTAAAGTGAGTACAAGCATCATACATTTTAAACCCCTTAGAAATTTTCATATAAATATTAGAGTCCAATGAGCTAAATAAATATAACTCCACAATATCCATTAGATGCATTTTGAGTCTTTCAAAGACTATTAATCCAATTAGAAAATAAAATGTAATCATACCCATAACACGTGACTATGTCTCGCCATAATCAATTCCAAATCTTTGATAGAACCCTTGGCAACTAGATGAGCTTTTATATCTTACAACCTCATTTTTCTCATTTTGTCTATGGATACAATACCCATTTATATCCAAAAGGTTTTACATTATCGGGGACTCGAGTTATGAGCCCGAAAACTTATTGTTTGGCTAGGAGGCTATTTTTTTTTCCGGTATATATGGAGGGCCTAGCCCAGCAAAAACTACTAGGACAGCTGATGCATGTTAGTACTCACATGCTCTATCAGCGAATTCAACATAAAATTGTTCCACAAGTTCTCTAAGCTTTCAGGGGGAGAGGAATACATTCTCAACTCATCCCCCTTAGACTTAAATCCTAACTTAGCTAAGGAATCAGCTAAGCTATTACAAGATATGGGAATAAACACCAATTGAAAATGCCTAAACGGCTTGACAGCATTTCTGATGTTCTCAATCAAAGAAGAGAGATTGCAGACATCCGAGCCATCCAAACAATCTATTGCCTCTTTACAGTCGCTACCTAACCAGACCTTGGAAACCTTTAGTTTCTCTGCCATTTTAAGACCTTGGAGTATACCGACAAGCTCAGCTTCCAAAGGAGAACAAGCTCCAATATTGAGGGAAAATCCACTCATCCAGCCCCCATTAATTGAGTAGGCAAACCCACCACACACACCATTTTGAGCAGCTAAGTTAACTGTCCCATCAACATAAATCTTCACCTCATTTCTAGAGTCCATCTGTCCAGATCCTACAGAAACAGCAGGTTCCACAGCAGCAGGGTCCTCTCTGCTTCTTATTTCCATATCTTTAAGATAGAAAAGAATTCTGTAAATTGGATCCTGAGGTCTCATGAAAAGATCCTCATGTATGGTGGCATTCCTCTACTGCCATATGTAAGGAGGCTAATTTAGTCTTAATTGCTTCCTCCTACTTAGGCCAATCTTGCCTTTGACAAGATATATTTGTTAGTGTAAAGAACCAATTATTAACTAAAGAGTAAATACCCTTTTCGGTCCTCAGCAAATTTTACGATACTCGCTTTAGACCCTAGCAAATAAAAAAGCTATTCGTGGTCCCTAAGAAATTCAAAGTGGACCCATTTTAGTCCTTTTGATGGACTAATATGAGTCTTTTTTGAATTTGCAAGGGTAAATGATTTAAACTAAATAGGTCAATTTTGAATTTCTCAGGGATCACAAATAGCCTTTTTATTTGCTAGGGACTAAAGCGGGCATCGTGAAATTTGCTGAGGACCAAAAATGACATTTACTCATAACTAAATGAGGGCGGCGAGAATTTAATCCGTGACACCAAGTCTCTGATATTATTTTTAATAATTTATGCTATACTCCAACAAGCCACCTCACAAAAAGCCCACTTGGCTTGAAGAAAGAACAATGCATATGCCTACATACTTGTGCTAAGAAAATCAACTATAGTTAATTCATTATTAAATGGGGGGGGGGAGGCGATGAAGATCGAATCCATAACATAGAGGCTTTGATATTAGGGGTGTGCAAAATAACCAAAAAATTGAACCGAACCATGAACCGAACCGAATTGTCCTTCAAATACCCGGTTTTTAAAAACCAATTCATGAACCGAACTGGTTTTTAAAAACCAGTTCATGAACCGAACCGGTTTTTAAAGAACCGGTTCATGAACCGAACCAGTTTTTAGAACCAGTTTAAGAACCGAACCATTTCTGAACCGAACCGAACCGTTTTCAAACCAAACCAAATTGATTTTTATAACTTTATTTTTTAAATTTTTATTTTTTTTTCTTTTCAAAATAAGGTCGACCCGAACCGGTTCCGAACCGAACAGAATCGTTTCCATCCGAACCAATTTTGAACTGAACCGAACCGAACCATTTTCGAACCGAACCATTTAAACCAATTCGGTTCGGTTCGACCGATGCACATTCTTATTTGATACCATGTAAAAAATCAATTTAACCTAAAAATCTAAGGTGTTGGGTGATGCTACATTAATGATTTTGTATATCTCTAATATTTAGTATACAACTATAGTTATATTCAAATATTTATCAATTTCTTATCATAAAGGAGAGTTGAGATTACTATTTGTTTTTTTTTTTTGTTTTTAACCAAAAAGGCTAGTGCTGATATATTTAAAAAAAAATGTGGGAATAATTCTAAATAAAAGTTTATTATTATTATGGGGCAGGATATACTTACCACCAAAAAAAGTTTACCACCTTTACAACCAACTAATCACCGTTGGTTTCCATCAATCTAACAGTTATAATTTATTGAAAATTAATATTAATTAATAAATGCGAGCCAATAATTCCCAATAAATTATAATCGTTAGATTGACGGAATCAATGGTGATTAGGTTAATTGTAAAGGTTGTAAACTTTTTTGGTGGTAAGTATATCCTTCTCCTATTATTATTATGGAAAATATTATACTTACCAACATTTTAAGTTTATCGCTTTACTACTAGTTGTTTATCGTAGGATCAATTTGAAGTCAATGACAATTACTCTTTTTTAGTCGTTGATTTCAATTTGATCAAATGATAACCAAATAAGTGATAAGAGTAATAAGTTTAAAATATAACCGTCCTTATTATTATTATTACTACGAGACTAGTGTTTGTTCTTTTAAAGGGAAAAAGTGAAAGATTTTTAATTTAAATTTTAAATAAAAATACTACTTGTAATTTAAAGTATCATCCTTTAAAATAACAAACATTTTTTCTATTATTATTATTTAAGGAAAGTCATACTTACCATTTATTTCTATTTACAACTTCTTACAATCATATCTTAATCATCGATTTTCGTTAATCAATAGTTATCATTTATTTCGAATTAATAATTAATTAATAAATTTGATTTGAAAAAATAATAATCATTAATTTATGAAAATCAACGATTAAAATATAATTGTAAACGAAATTAGATTGTAACCATGAGCTTCCTTAATTATTATTATTATTATTATTATTTGGAACAAGTTGGCTGGATGGATTGAAACAATCTAATGAATTTGTATACCTAATAACATAATAACAAAGGAGCAGCGTCCAGGTTCATCCCCCGTCAAACCCACGCTTCAACGCGATTCCTCTTAATTCTCGTTAGGGTTAGGGGTTTCATCTTTTCTTTCATATTTTCTCCTGCAAAATTTGAATGACCCACTCTTCTTCTTCTTCTTCTTCTTTCTCCATACACACACAATCAATGTTCAAGCACTGCTACTGTACCTTGTGCAAACCCTCTTGCGTCTTCCTCCGTTGTTGTTAGCCATCGGAAATTTCACCGATTGAAGCAGCAGCAGCAGCAGCAGCTTCATTCATGGACCTCTCTCACACTCAATCCAATTTGTCTCTCGGTTTTTCTTCTTCTCACGCTTCGCCTTCGCCGCCTCGCCGTCCACAGATTCCCGATGAATCTATCTCGCTTCACCTCGAAACCACCCTGCGTGATCCTTCGCACCCGCTCCCTACGGTGCCGCTTCAGCTGCTTGAACCGCAGACGGAGAATGGGAGCGTGGACGTCGAATTGGATGACGACGAGGATAGAGAAGTCGAGGAGTTTCGTATTCTAGGGCATTCAATGTGCTTGAAGAGGCGAAGGGATTGCGAATCCTCATCATCCTCTTCGATTCCCACCAAGAGGGTTTCCGCCGAACCGGATCTTGAGTCGCGGAGGGTTGCGGTTCGATCGTGGGGTTGCCAACCCCTGCCGGTTGCTGACCCTGATATCTATGAGATAATGGAGAAGGAGAAGAAAAGGCAATTCGGAGGAATTGAATTAATAGCTTCTGAGAATTTTGTGTGTAGGGCTGTGATGGAAGCACTTGGGAGCCATTTGACGAATAAGTACTCAGAGGGAATGCCTGGTTCGCGCTACTATGGAGGGAATCAATATATAGATGAAATCGAAACCCTATGCTGTGAACGTGCCTTGCTCGCGTTTAATCTCGACCCCAAGTGTTGGGGTGTGAATGTGCAGCCTTATTCTTGTACCTCTGCTAATTTCGCTGTGTACACGGGATTGTTATTGCCCGGTGATCGTATCATGGGTTTGGATACCCCATCTGGAGGGAATACTAGTCATGGGTACTATACTCCTAATGGGAAGAAAGTTTCGGGGGCGTCAATATTCTTTGAGAGCTTACCATACAAGGTGAACCCTCAAACGGGTTATATTGATTATGATAAGCTTGAGGAAAGGGCACTTGATTTTCGTCCCAAGATACTTATTTGTGGTGGGAGCTCCTATCCTCGAGAATGGGATTACGCTAGGTTTAGGCACATTGCAGATAAATGTGGAGCTGTGTTATTGTGTGACATGGCCCAGATTAGTGGACTAATTGCAGCCAAGGTGTGAAATATCTTTCTCCTGGTACTTTTTAAGTACATTTTGTTTTCCGATGTTGTTCATAGTGTAGCCTCTGAAAATTTAGTCACTGCTTGTGTTGATGGCTTTCATGGTTGTTATTGATTTTAATGTCTTTTTGCACTGTTGACATAATTCAATGTTACATTTGGAATTGATTGACTGGACTGGTTTAAGTCCATTATTGTTTGCACAAATATCTAATAATCAATGGACCTTCAATTTTGAAGAATTACTCATTTTTTGCTTTAATAGTACGATTTTTTTGCCCTCGCAGGAATGTGTGAACCCTTTTGACTATTGTGATGTTGTTACTTCGACAACTCACAAGAGTCTTCGAGGTCCAAGAGGGGGCATAATTTTTTATCGGAAGGGTACAAAACCAAGGAAGAGAGGGATACTTCTAAGTCAGGGATATGAAAGTGATCAATATGACTTTGAAGAAAAGATAAATTTTGCTGTTTTTCCGTCAATGCAAGGGGGCCCGCACAATAACCATATTGCGGCACTTGCTATAGCTTTAAAACAAGTAGCTACTCCTGAGTACAAGGCATACATGCAGCAGGTGAAGAAGAATGCTCAAGCTTTAGCATCTGCTTTATTGAGAAGAAAATGCCGCCTAGTAACCGGGGGTACAGACAACCATTTATTACTCTGGGATTTAAGGCCCCTGGGATTGACAGGTATTATATGACTTGTGTTATCTTTTTATGATATATTGCTAGTTGCTTCTTTTTTTGTTCAGTGCCTACATGTCATGTCAACTAGCTCAACTAGTTTGCATGTCTGCACTTTGCATTGGTTTTGTTTTAGTTTAATCCTTGAGTTAGATTCTCTGGCGTTGTATATCTTCACATTTACATTTCTGACATATTATTTATATTTAGTACTGCAACTATTTTTGGTATATGAATTTGATTGTCTTTAAATTTTATGGCAATAATTCTTCTGTTTAGATTTTGGTAAGAAGCACTGCTTTTCACCGATGAAATTAGAATACTTTTGTTTTGAAAGGACTTGAATGCTATTCTAATCTTCAACATGGTGTTTCAGTGGTATATAATCATTGCAAACTCATGGATACATGTGTGTACTTGGGTATGAATGCAGAGCATGAACATTCTCATGTCGTGTTTTTACTTTGTATTGGGTATATGATAATAGTATATCTGTTCATCTCTGACAAAAACTTTTATGACGTTAGTAATGATGTGTTTTACATATGTACGTGCATGAATCGGCAGTAGGGATCTATACAACAAATTGTGGTTAGAAGGATAAGGCTATCCCTGGGTACTCAAGTTTTGCAGTCTGAAATTCAATTGAATTCAAATAATCCTCAAACATCATTGACCATATACTAAAAGCTAAATATTTTTTTAGGTTAAATTATGCTGTAGGTCCTTATAGTGTTACTGAAATTTTAAATAACCACTATAGTTTAAAACTTTTTAAGAGTTTTAATTATAGAGACTTATTTGAAAACTCAGATGAAGTATAAGGATCTATTCAGTTGTGCTAAGATCCTTATAGTTTATATAAAGTCCTCATGGTTTAACAAAAGTTAACACAGTCTTGACAGTTGGTAGCGAGTGAGACTTATTTAAATTTTTTGGAGCTTTAGTGGTATTGCCTAGGTATATATAATATATGTTGTTTCTATATGGGTTTATGCATTTTTACAGAAAATGTAGGGCTGCCTGAAGTCCTGGCCTCCAAAAAACTTAGGTGTGTGGTGAGTTGGGTGCCTAATTGAAACGAGGTGGCCAATTTGGAATGAAATGAGTGAAATATAATCAATAATAATAACCAAGCCTTACCTCGCCAGATGGGGTTGGCTACATGGATCAATCAACACCATTGGGCTCTAACCAATATTTTAGTATAGCCATTTATAGCAAGGTCTTTTTGCTATGTTTTTTTCCCCAGTATTTTCTTTGGTCTTCATCTACCCTTTTTAATTGGATTATCTTCCATTTGATCCACTTTTCTCAGTAGCAACCCCACTAGTCATCTTTTTCTCATGTGATGAAACCACCTTAGTAAGTTCCGTTATCTTCTTCTCAGTAAGTGATAATCAACTTTCCCTTGGATACGTTTGTTCTGGAATATCCTTTCTTAAATGTCAAGAAATCCACCTTAGCAGTCTCATCTATGCTAATTTTTTTGTAAAACTATTGTTGGCACTTCATTTTACAAACATTCATTTTTTTTATAGAGCATCATTAGTCTTATGTTTGTCTGGTAGACTTCTGCTTTGAGTTTGATTGGGCACTTTGTGATAACAAATTATGCTTGACTTCTATGATTCTAGCTGGACAATTAGCCAAATTTGATTCTCTTATTTTTGTATGGCAACAAGCTCTAAGCTTTATCGTTTGTGCTTGTAGGTAAATTTTACGAGAGGGTCTGTGAGGCATGTCATGTCACTTTGAATAAAATTGCTATTTTTGGTGACAATGGAACTATAATACCCGGAGGTGTAAGAATAGGTAAGTGTATATTATGGTCGAATCTTTAATGTTTTGTATGCTTGTAATATTTGATTCACTGTTCATTCTTATGAGACATATTTTTATGTTGTATTATTATTCAGGTACCCCAGCCATGACGTCAAGGGGGTGTCTGGAGGCTGATTTTGAGACAATGGCTGAATTTCTCTTTAGAGCTGCACAAATTGCAAACGTATTGCAGAGGGAGCATGGGAAATTGCAGAAGACTGCTTTGAAGGGACTTGAGAGCAATAGGGACATTGCTGAGCTCCGGGTACGGGTTGAAGCTTTTGCAACTCAGTTTGCAATGCCAGGTTTTGACATCTGAATGATGTAGCTGGTGGATTGCCATTATGGATTATTTATATATGCTACACTGGGGGGTCGTCACGCCTCTGCTTGTTACAAATGCTGAGTCATCTTGGTATGCATATATTTTTGTGGTGCCTCCCTCCTCTCTGCAGTGTCCACAGTTTTCGGGTTTTTGCTTGTTGCAGTGAGTCACAATGTGGTACATGACCGTACATAAGTGGGTACTGCTGTGGAGTGTTATTTTGGTAATCAAGTATCCTGTTCCTGCCTCAATGGCGGGCGCACCATCCCTGCTGAATGCAGCAAGTTGGCCATTATAGGGGTTTGAACAAGGATTCTGGATCAACCAAACTCAGTACAGAATTCTTCTGGGGAAGCTGCAAAAATAAATAATCTGATAAAGGTTACACGCCTTGAATTCTTTTACCTGCTGTTTGATGCTGAAAGAAATGTTAATCCTATTGTTCTTGCTATATATTACCCTTTCTTTGGGATCATATTTGTACTCATTTCAATCAGCAATACTGTGCCGTGTTAATTGTTAAATATATAAGTTAATATGGTGAATGTAATTGTTTTTTACCCTTTCTTGTATAATGTTTCAGAAGCGCTTTTGAGTTCATGCAAGTGCGGCATGTTTGATTGACTCGGCACAGCGGAAGTAATTTGGGTCAATCAATTGAGGAGCAGTTGCAAGCTCAATGTATCTATTAACGCCACTTTGATTTCCTCCTCCTCTTCTTCTTCTTAATACCGATAATGCATTATAATTAAATTTTAAAGAAAAATAACAACTAATTATTTGTATTTGTGGTATAGCTTACAATTGAGGGAACCGATAATTTTTTTTCTGTCTTTATTTTCAAGGTTATATTTGGATCACTAGAAAGATGAAAATGAATAAAACCAAATGGAATGGCATTGGTTATCATTTTGGATTCTTTAAAATAAGATGGAATGAAATGACATTTGATAAAATGAATTTCATTTTTATTTCATTAAATGCCTTTTTTTTTTTCCTTTTAATTTAGAAGATATTAAATGCAATTAGCTTAATATTCATTAACATTTTTGTACCATTTAATCTACTCTTCAATCAATGGAATAAAATTTTTACTCAATTTTATTGTAAAATATCTGAATAATGGTACGATAATTTGATCTTATATCATTTGATACCACTCGATTCTATTCGTTCTTTCCATAATCATGACTCAGCTGTCAAGCTTAACATTGGCCACTGGTTGATGGAGAACAGAACGAAAGCTTTTTTATTTCTTTCCGTTGCCTCTCATTCTACAAGTTATATAGTTAATGGTTCAGAAATTTCACTCTTTATTTTCTTTCTTTGTATAAAACAAAGAATGAATTTCAATATTTAGAAGAAGCTTCTGTGCTTTGATTACGGAAATGATTTTACTGATACTATTTTTTTTTTTTTGGGTAGGCGATTTTACTGATACTATATTTTAAACAAAGGGAGTCGAATGAACTGCATTTAACTCATATTTTAAATCAGCACACGAATGGTTAAACTGGATGACATATACACCTCAATGAGTGTTAAGTATAAAAACACAAAAATACATTTAAACCTAAAATGAATTTGGTAGGGGTCTGGCAACTAATTATACATGAGAAAATTGTGTCAGCGGTTAGATTATAATTATATTCGTAGAATTGTACTTGTTAGGATTCAGGAATTAGTTGTAGGTTTCATGACTCCACAAGGCTTAATCTGCAAGATTTATTCTGACTGAAATAATAAATTATAAAAGCTACCTTGACTTGTAGCATTATAAATAAGAAATTATTCTGCCATCAAATTTTTGTGTTTTTCCTGAAAATTTGATCTTGGGTTCTCTTCATTTTTCCTTACCTCTCTCTTTTTAATTGTTATATATAAATTTATTCATGAGATTTCCTCTAAAGCTATTGCTTTTGGGATGGGTGCTTTAAGCTGTCAGGATGAAAGGTTTTTTTACATGATTCAAGTTCAAAAGAACTCTTGAAAAGAAAAAACAAGTTTAAATTTAGGATTCATTTTTTCTGCCGTCAATGTAGATAAGTTATTTATATAGAACCCAAAACGACATCGTTTTGGGACAAAATTCAAGGTATTTTTGTAATTATAATTTATTTCAGGATTATAATAGTCTTTCTCATTATAATTTTTTAATCTTTCAACCCAAAATTACGTCGTTTTGAGAGTGAATGTAGATAACTTATATATATTTACTGTAAAAACATTAAAGCCTTAAATATATTTGGCATTTGGTTATTAACTCTAATTATTTTGGTTATTGACACTAATTATCTACCCAATTTTAAATGTATTTGTTTGACGAAACTAAAAAAATATATTTGTTATGGTATTATTGGGCTAAAGCACTATTCTAGGACTTTTGAGCAAAAGAATTGTTCAGTTAAAGTTAATTTGATAAGTTTTTTTAAACTAATGCAGTCAAACACGTCACCGATATTGATCGGACTAGTCCCATCAATGATACTGACGGGACTCATGCCATGTCAGCGTCACATAGATAGTCCCATTACAGTCTAACTTCATAAGGTTATAATTTTTAACTCAGGTATCCAAATCAGATGTTTTTTTTTTATTTCACATAATTTTTCGAGATCTACACAATGACACCTCATTTGAAATATTTTATCTCCCACAAACATAGTTTGAATTTGAAACAATAGTTCCACAATTACAATCAATATCATTTAAATCCAGAAGATCTTGAGTTTTTTCCGAACCAACACCATGAGCTGCCGCATGTGCCATCTTCTGGATTTAAACGTTCTTGTGATTGTAGTACAATTGTTACAAATTCAAACTATGTTTGTGGGAGATAAAATATGGCAAATGAGGTGTCATTGCGTATATCTCGAAAAATTATGTGAATTAAAAAAAAATCATCTGATTTAGATACCCGAGTCAAAAGTTATGGCTTTTCAAAATATTTCGGTAACGGGACAGCCTACATGATGCTGACATGGCAGAAGTCTCGTCAATATCTTTGGCGGGACTAGTCCCGTCAGTATTAGTGACATGTTTGACTGCATTCGTTTGGAAAAAATTATTCAATCAGCTTTAACTGGGCAATTCTTTTGCCCAAAAGTCTTAGAATGCTGCTTTTCTTGGTATCATTGTAAGTAGAGCCGGCAAAACGGGCTCGGCTCGGCGGGCCAACCCTCCTCGCCCACCAAACGAGGCAAGACAGACTGACTCATTTTTTGGCGGGTTGATAGCGGGATGGGTCGGGGCGGGGCTGGTTAGTGTAAAACAGGTTCGGGCACGCGGGCCAATTCGTCTGCCTGCCAAACGGGTCGGGCCGGGCCGACTCATTTTTTGACGGGTGGATGGCGGGGCAGGGCGGGCCGCCCACTTTGCCATCTCTAATTGTAAGAATGCTCAAGTCAACGGAAACAAAAGACGGATACCGTGATCTCAGTGATGTCATATATGGAAAAGACATATTCATTATTGCTTTAGTGAATAATATAGAAGAATGCAATATATGCAAGAGACCGAGGAATGAATGTTTAGTGCAACCGATGCATCGAAGATTCGGTGTAATTGTCCATTTATATTGTGATATATGGATAAAAAATGTCACATCATCTGAAAAAAGGAAAAATTAAATGACAGTTAATTAGATGATGTGATATTTTTTGTCCACGTGTCATAATATGAATGACAGTTGCACTAAAAATTTATTCGAGATTAAAGAGCTTCATCATCATTCCTCAAACCAAATGCTATATGTTGAGAGGAGTACTTTTTCGGTACTCCCGCTATACCAACATCATTTCCCAAATTGGTAAACAATTAGGACTCAAATGGAATTACCCAACGTTGGAAATCGATACACCCACACAAACATGAATCACAAAACATAAAAGAGGAAAAAGAAGAGAGAATATTCGCACGACGATTTACCTTGGTTCACCTAATGTTGGCTAAGTCCAGCTTGTCTGTACTATATTCACCTCACCGCCACTGATTACAAGTCACTCGATTTATAAGAAGAATATAAATAAAATTAGAAAATCATAATAGCAACTATTTATGGACTCAAGCCCTAACAATTAAAAAAAGAAAAAATTATAATAAATCAGAAGTCCATAACAGTACCTAGCATCTATGGGACGTCAGTTGCCTTTTCATTGACTCTGCCAATAAAGACCCTCATTAGCATGTGAAGTATAAGCCATACCCAATACACAAAAAGCCATGAATTCAAATGGTATCAAAATTTTCAATTTTTGGTAAAAGGCAATACCGAATATCGTACTCCCTTAAGGGCCGTTTGGTACACTGTAATATTTTGGATGACCAGGAAAGTAAAAGTGGAAAATTTTTATCCCCACATTTGGTAGAAGAAAAACATAAAATTTTACTGGTATAGTTTATTCCCTGGCTTCCATATTACACTACTGATTGTGAATTTTGATTAACATGTAGAACATCGTAATTATTTGTTCCCACGTCTTGGTTTGTGTTTCACAAATTTATCAGGCTAAAATACCCTCGAAGATTGATACAGTGCAACAAAGATGATGGGGTTTGCTTGCTTAAATTACCATGTAGAACATCACGGTTTCAGAATATCTTGGATGAAGATTGATACAGTGCAACATTGGGTCGCCAACGAAGACGGTCGTTCTTTGCGTGTTGTTTTATTATTTTCTATCTAAATTGTCTTTAAAAGTTATGTATTACGAGGGTAGTTTTGTAAAATTTCATCATATTCTCAGTAATATTTTGTTATCAACCAAACGGCCTTTCAAAAAAAGTAACTGATATTCTCAGTAATATTTTCGCCTACCAAATATCTTTTCGTAACATTTCTAAATTTTTTTTATTCTCACTATATTCCAAGTAATCGTAATTTCCGGATACAAAAAATTTTCTGCAACACAAAATGCCCCCTTAGTATTAAAAATATGGGACACGATCCGTTTATAAACTTTTTTGAATTTTTTTACAAATTACACTATGTTCTCCCGGGAGGACATAGTATAGTTTGTAAAAGCTTGTATTCTTCCGAGAAAACATAATATAGTTTGTAAGCAAAAAAATTTGTAAATATAACCCGTCCCTAAAAATATTTTCCCTTTGAGTATAAAACACAGATGATAGCAGACAATAGGCACCTACTTGTAGTGCGATGAGAAACAAATGAAAAGCATTTTGAAATTTAACTATCTTATAGATTCTCTATCTCTCCACATTGTCTTATCAGCAAATTTTCTCCATCATTGTTTCCAACTGGGATAACTGGTCATTTCACATCACCAGCAATGGAATCTCATCATGGTACATGTACAATAGTAAAGGGTACGTGAAGGTCATTTGTCCATTTCAAGGTACAACTTTTTTTCTGGCTGGAGATATAGGAAGATGTGTGTTTCCTAATGTCAACAGCTTCTGCAATATAGAAAGAAAGAACACTGCACATATTGCTACCTATAAATCTCTTTTATTAATTCATGAACTTCACACAATTATATATTTAGCTTGACATGAATTAAGATTATTCGTGCACAACTACAAATGCTAAATTTTTGTGCACATTTAGGAAAAGCCATTTTAAAACTAGTTGAGATTGAAATTATAACAAACTACAAAGTAGTGAAAGTATATATGCATAGCTAGCTATACATACATTTATTATGCATCACTAAAAAGTCATAATTTAGCTTCTTTTTTGTGTGTTTTTAATTACTTTGAATACTAAGATCAGAATTAATCTTATTGCATGATATTGTCGAACAGTCCTATAGACTGGTGAATTAAACACATTTTTACAATTTCTAATGGAGTCACGAAACGTGTCGCTGATTGTGACATTTTCCTGTTAAAAATAAAAACGGGTATTAGTATTATGTAGTAATGAATCTTGGGGTCGGCATTATGTTCCGAGATCTTCCTTGTGATAAAAGAGAATTTGTCGTATCTATTCTTCCACTCAAGATTTGTTCTTTTTCGTCGTTTTATGTAATTGTATAGTGATAATTACACTTTCAGGAAAGCATGTTTCTGTGTTTGAATTTTTCTGAACTTGTAATTCATTGTTGACAGTTGACACACAAAAGCCTTCTCTTTTCTTCATACTGCTAATTAGAAAAAATATGAACAATAAAACCATAACAAAATCTGTGCCCCATGCTGATGTACAATATTGTAACATCATTTTGGACGCTGAAGGTAGAAAATGATTGTCGGTGAGAAATGGCATAAATTAGGAGCGACTTCTGGCTTTACATGAATGAATCTAATCGATACCCGAAAGAGAAGGATTCCAAAGACTGCACAGTTATAACTTATAAGAATTAATTGGTACCCATACTAACAAGACATCTACTTTTCGGTAGCCCGGAACGGAAGAACTCCATATTTAAGCGTGCTTGACTTGCAGTAATTCTGGGATGAGTGATCTCCTAGGAAATTTTTTCAGGAAGTGTGCGAGTGAGAAAAAAGCACACTGGAAAGTGTTGTGTTAGTATGTGGGGATAATCATTGATTCTTGAAGCGACCGAACGTTACAAATGGTATCAGAGCAGGGCTCTCTCTCGGACGAACCAGGAGGAAGCTGGTGGGCATGTAACATCCCGGGAGCTGGCGAAAAGGCATGGACAAAGAACGGTTCCAGCGGAGGATTACATGAATGAATCGAATCACACCCGAAAGAGAGAGACTCCAAAGACTGTGCAGGTATGAGACTGCACAGTTTGGGATAACTTATAAGAATTAATTGGTATTACCTATACTAACAAGATGTATCTACTTTTCGGTAGTCCGAAACGGAAGAACTCCATAATTAAGCGTGCTTGACTTGCAGTAATTCTGGGATGGGTGACCTCCTGGAAAGTTTTGCCAGGAAGTATGCGAGTGAGGAAAAAATACACTAAAAAATATCGTGTTAGTATATAGAGATAACCATTGATTCTTGAAGCGACAGAGCGTTACAAACATCACTATTCATTATTATTATTTTGATCTGAAAATTGTTATTATTATTCATTATTGACATAAACAAGTTAATTTGCTTCCTACTCTGATCATATCATGTCTGTATAATATATAATTTTAGAAGCATACATTGTTAAGCTGCCTCTTAAACTATTTTATGTCCTCTCGGTTTGCCACGTTAACATTTTTTATGATTCTCAATTCTCATGTTCTTATTAAGTGACTTTTAAGCATCTGAACATCTATAAATTATTATGTCATTTTAGTGTATATTTATGTTTTAAATACAGCGACACTTTTTCATTGAAATTATGTATTCAAAGTTATAAAGCGGATGCAAATATTATTACAAATAAATAAAATAAAAACCATATAATTATTAAATTTTAGATATGAGTCTATCTACTGTACTTCATGAAAAGTATATTTAACAATTTCAAATAAATATTATGTGAAATTATTTTTTCATTGAAATTATCTATTCAAAGTTAAAAAATGGATGCAAATATTATTAGATAAATAAAACAGAGTAAAATCATATAATTATTAAATTTTAAGTACGAGTCTCTCTACTATACTTTATAAAAAGTATATATATAACACTTTCGAATAAATATTACTTTTAAAGCATTTTGATTATAAAGTTTTTTAAAAACAAAAAATAATTTCAATATATACTAAATACTTATCCATTAAATAAAAAAATCCCAGACATAGATATTTAATTTAAACAACCTGAGCAATACAGAAATAAGATAATGCAGAATCTATGCATGTTAACACATAAATAATGCATATGAAATTAAAAGTTACTTTGACTACTAATTTATTCAGGCTGCTTAAATAAAATTAGCACTAGTTAATCCCTGGTTTAAATTAAATTAGATGTGAAATAGACAATTAGACAACCAAAAAGGAGGTAAAAAGAGATGACACAAACAAAGGTGAAAAAGGAAATTTGGTATTTCATTAAAACATATTGTTTTCCTGAGTTTCTCACTTTGTCCAGTAGGCAGGCAACATAATCCTGTTTTCTATGTTATAATCATGATCATTTCCACTTTCTTATTTTTCCATGTGGAAGCACTTTTGACTTTAACAGAGGAAGATCTGCTATTGCTGGTGAGATATCAACTACCAAGCCCTAGGGACTAGAGAAGCTTTAATTGAAAGGTTGTTTTCACCTATTATATATATATATATATAAAAGTAAGTTCAGAATCATTTTACACCAGTATGAAATTTGAAGTTTGACATCTCAACTGAGAAGTGTTAAATAAAAAAAATCAATGGTGTCACATGCTTACAAATCAGATTCGTTGATCTTTTTTGATCTAATAACTCTTAAATGAGATGTCAAATTTCAAATTTGATACTGGTATTAATGTATCCTACCTCATATATATATATATATATATATAGGCTTTATGGGATGTAATTCTTGGAGAAAGTTCATCTCTTATTATGTCTTGACCATGTCGGATACTTTTAAGTTTTAACCTTTGCGGAAAGCATAGATCACATTTGTTTACCGTACAATTTTTGTTTCCCTTGTTTACAAACTCCCTTTTCAAAGTCAATAATACAATATAACAACATGATCATTTGAGTCATGTGTATATTTTAAAAGTGCAATCTAGCCAAAGATATTTTTCTTTAACTTAACAAAAGAGCTTGTAAATTTGGTTTTACAAATACTGGAGAGGATTAGTGCTTTAAGTTGAGGACATGATCATGCCAGCATAGTTTCATGGTTTCAATTAAGTTGTGTAATCACAATCAACAGTCAATTGATTTTTATTGATGGACCATAATTGAGTATATCTAATATAATATCCATATCTCTTCCTCTCATCATTTGTTACACTAAATAACAGATAATATATAATATCTAAAAGTTTTATTCAAGATAACTTTGCACTCTCATTAGAATACAAAATTGTGCTAATAGTGGAAATTATCTCACTGAACAGAATATAATACAATAGAATAGTACTGATCTCTGGTTATCTAGTTGCTTCACAAAAGATTCTCATTGACTCCAGAGATATATTTTAAATGAACAACTGAGATATACCATGGGCTTTCTGATCCAGCAGGATACAGAAAAAGCATCCTTTTAACCAGAAAAAAAAAAAAAAAGATAAAGGAAAAGAACCCTTTATCAAATACTATCTTCTTTAGAATTTTTTTCCCTGTCCAAAACAGGTTAAGAATGCTTCCCTTTGGATAGAAAGATGTTTCTTTCTCTTGAAGTCACCGGCTTCTTAAATATTCTGGTTTCTTGTCTAAGAATAGCAATATTGCTTTTCCTCAAAGCAAGAATCACATTCTTTTCTGTTGCATGATTTTCTTTCTTGGGTTTAATCAGAAAAGCTTCTTCAAGGTCTAAACAAGATATATAGCGTAACATGCACTTGCAAATCAATTGACTATAACCAGGAAATTAGAAAAATAAAATAAGAAAAGAAAAACCAAAAACTAATGCATAAAAAAAGGGATGACATTACTTCATTCTTTAACATTTTTCTTCTTTTTATAAAGAAAAACTCAGGTACTTCTTTTTCTTGCTATGGCTGCGTATATCCAAATTGTTTCTACCTATGACTACACATGTCCAAAAGCTTCTTCCTTCCTTCCACTATTTCATCAAAGAAATCATCAAGTTGTCCTGTTATAGTCTCTACCCCACATCTCAACAACCCAAAACAACTCTTAACATTGTCTACTTTTTCTTGAATATCAGCTTGTGCTTCATAACCTGCTATTCTCTCCAACTCCACCTTCAATTCCTCCATGGCTAACTTTGCTTGTTGGAATTCAAACAGAAGAATCCCTGGCTGCCCATCAATGTGGTCTATCTCCTCTGTCACTTTCTGCTGCAATATAGTCATAGAAACCATGAAACCAGATCCAAAAACCATGTGTCCTTCGTACCCTCCTTGGTGAAAGCAAGAGGAAGACCAACAATAAGCAAGCCCACAAAGCAGAATCATCAGAAGCAATGAACTAACACTCCTCATTGCATAAAGAACACCTCTGAAGCCACTGAATCCATTCAATTTTGATTCCATGGAGATGTTCTGGTTCATACATTGGGACAACATTGGTTGTATCCTTGTTTCCAATAAGCTTTTGTTTTCCTCTTCCAATCCAAGAATCTCCCTTTGACAAACATTTATACCTCGAATAACCTGTATAATAGTGTAATAGACCCATTGAATAAGTTCATAAACAATAAGCTTTTGACAAAAGAATAATGGGATAGAAAGTGATTTAAGATTTAAGAAAAAGTCATGTATATATGTATATGTATATACCAACCTGACGTGAAAGTTCTGGAGTGAAATGATGGTAACCATCTAAAGAAGAAGCAATATTAGAGGCAGATGAGTAATAGTTCTCCATTCCAGAAATGGCAGATTTGAGTACATGGCAAGCATCCCAAAGCCTTGAACTTTCGTCCATGTATTCATTCAACCAATTTCCTCCAACAGGCAAACGAAGCTTCCGGACCAAAATGGTTAGTTGGGAATGGAAGGATTGGAGAGATGAGATCACCTCTGAAAGGAATTGGATTGACATGAAGTTGTGTGAGAGAAAGGATTGGTGAAGCTCATTGAGTCCTTGTGTAAGGAAGTTGTAGAAGCCATTGACAGAAGAGTTAGTGCATGAAGAACCCATCATGCAGGGTAGTAAAAAAGAGGGTGTGTGTGTGTGGTTGATGGAAAGTTGATGGAGATTGATGGATTTATATAATTGGAAGATTAAAGGGCAAAAAAAAAAAAAAAAAAGCTGCAGCAATCAAAAAAGTTGGTAGCTTAGGAGCTCAGGTTTCTATGGTGAAAGGTCCTGTTGGGTGCAATTATGGGTGTTTCCTATACAGTGGAAGTGATGATTGGGAATCTGTTGTTTTTATTGTGAAACGGGCTGCTACTATAGAAGAGAGGGAAAGCATAACAAAAGAGTTAAAAAATAAGGTAAAGTTTCAAAAAAGAGAAAATATAGATCATACAACACAATAATATGCAACATGAAAACTACGTGTTGTTTTTTCTTTTCAATTTCTCTGACAACTTTTTTTTTTTCATTCTTTGTTATTCCTTCGAAGAAATAAATCTTTAGTACATCAGATGCACTGAACTCAGCGCATTTGTTCATTTATTTTGTGATATATGAACAAAAGACTTTACATAATCTAAAAAAAAAGTAAATGATGCGATGATTTTTGTTCACGTATCACAAAATAAATGTACACATGTACTAAACATTTATTCCCTTAGAGGAATAGTTTAAGTGGTAGAAAGGAATATTAACAATGTTGAAGCTCTATGTTGGATTGTGTTTCCCGGGTGTTAAAGTTAGACTACTTACTTTGACTAAGATTCTGCTTCTCATTCTTCCATTTTGATTTGGTTCCCTTTTGGATTGTGTGCTTCCCTTTGGCTTCTTTTTATCCTCTTCTCTATCTTCCCTATGTTTTAAACTTCTCGCGCACTGTGCCTTTTTTGGTTTTGTTTTCTTAAAGAAAGTTGTGCATAATCCATTTTGGTTCTTTTGAAAAGAGAAGTGAATGATAGGGTTCTGTGTACTCTCGGTATTTTACACATTACAATGCAGATTCTTCTTTCTCCTTTAAGACCCAACATTCTATTACGAGCATTAAGTTAAATCACCCTCGTTTGCATGAAATATTATATATAACTCCCAAACATGTTGCCTACGATTCTAGATATATATATATAGCACACTCATATCTATCTATCTATCTATATATATATTTTTATGTGATGGGTCCTTCTTGAATGGACCATCCTTCACATAATAAAGGCTTTTCAGTGAGACAATTCGGTTTATGTTACTGAGAATGAGATAATTGCAAGATCTGCCAGCTGGAAGCTGATCATCTTCACTTTATTTGGGGCGAGCGAATCAACCAAAATCACCAAACTGAAGCTAAAACTTTGACCTTATTATATTCACTAATGTGAGTGATTACTTAATGAATTTAAATACATGGTTATGTAAATACTGAGAGGTTCATGTCATCTAAAAAAATAAAGTATTTTCATCAAATCATTGCAGAAATTAAGAACAATTTGAATGGTGCAATTTTAAAAGAAAGGACAAGGCATCAAAGCAAAATCAAAGTATATCTTGAAAGGACAACACTTGTTTATATCACTCTTTCCCACTGTTAGCTGATTTTAAGGGCAAGTGCAACCTTTAAAGGAAACCATATCAAATATTCACGGATATTGGTCCTGTATTATAAAAATTTCCCTCCTTTTAAATAATATAGTCTTTGTTAAGGGTATCCAAATTAAATATATTAGTCGAGATATCAACTCATATCATTATCCGAGGTATGGTTAGTTCTCTGTAATTGATTGATTTGACATAAAAAGAACATATTTATTTTAACTAGGATATCTGTGACAACATTCATGTGTGGATTTGTTGATGTCTTGAGATAGTTCAACAATAATCAAATAAAATACTTCCAAAGAATAATGTGTCAAATTCAAGCAGTTATGGTTTAGAAAATGAAGGATTAGCTATTTGACAGACATATTCTTTTTTCTTTTGTCTTTAATTTAGCGTCAAATTAATTGCAATTTTATGCACTCAATTATGTAATGGTAAAACGAATGAAAATAATATTTTCATTGGTTTATGGAATCATAAGCTGAGCAAGAACTATTTGAGCTCTATAATTTAAGGGTTTAATATTTTTCATGTAGGAGTTAAAATTATCTCTTATATATATATAAAAATATGTAAGGTTTATATTTTTATTTTCTTTTTTTTTTACATGACTTCACATAAGTTCTACATATTTTTATGTGTGTAGAAAGTAATTTAATTCATAATTTAATTTAATCCATTGACACAGTGGGGATAAAAAAGCAGAATTCAAATAGAATAAAAAATGTCAATTATATTTTCAGTTTTCGAGACAAAAGGAAATGATTTTTTAGTTATCAGAATTCAAAAAACCATGAATCATAAACGATGAAGCCAGCTGAAAAATAAAAAATCTTTCCAACCAAGCCACTTGCTCTAATTCTATTTTATCTCTGGAAAAAGTGTTTATCCTTTTAAATGGTACAACTCATATCTTTTCACTCTCACGTGATACCCACACCTTTATATTTTTTTGTCCACTCTCTTTCTTCTTTTATCTATCTCTTTCTCTCACTTAAAATGACACAACTTTACATCATTTAAAATGATACACACTTTTCTCTTTATTTATATATTTTAAAACAACCAAACCACTTCTTTATGACTACGGGAAGAAGGCAACAAAAGGACCAACATAATTCTATTGCGCGAATTATATATATTTACAGTTGAGATTTTGCATTATTAGCCTATTCAACAAAAAATAGTTTATCATTATCTCTGATCACATCAATAGAGTCAATTTCTGCTCCTTCTTCGTTAGTCACCATTGCTTCTTTTGCCTCAAACCCAAAATTTTCACCTGTTTATAAAGAAGATACCATACACAAATTTAATCCTATTAAGACTTCAGAAATTTCTTTCTCAAACAATGTACACAATAATATAGAGAAAACTATATATATATATATATATATATATATATATATATATATATATATATATATATATAAGAATATTGTAAGAACCAATTAGTGTTACTACCAATGTTACAATTAATTTCACCGTTAGATCAATTATATTGATCCAACGGTTATATTTATTTCTATCTTTGTATGGTTATGATTCCCCATATTTAATACTTTATATTTATTTTCACCTTTGTATGGTTATGATTTTTCAATATTAATTTCACATTAAATATGGGGAATCAAAACCATACAAAGATGGAAATAAATATAACCGTTGGATTAATATAATCGATCTAACAGTGAAATTGATTGGTAGTAACACTAATTGGTTGTTTCAATATTCTACCCCTATATATATATATATATATATATATATATATATATATATATATATTTGTTGAATTACATAGAGAACAATTTATAATTTAACAACAAATGGATTTGACAGAACTGATTTGTGGGAAATTTGAAATTTTACCTGCAATAGTTTTGAGCTCCTCTAATGAATCAGGCAACCTTATTAGTTTCCCAGCTTCCATGAAACCTTTTTCTCTTCTCACTAGAGGGTGACCTCTATATATGCTTACTCTTAGACAATTTAGTCCATTAGATCTTCTACAAGCAGTTTGCTCCTGCTGCTCTTGAAGTGGCCCCCTTAATACAAATTCACTGGGTATGGACTCAATTACAGTAATTAGATGCTCAATTTCACGTTTCTTTAGCATTTCATTTAAGGTGGATGCAGAAAATTCATGAGTATATACATCAGAGACATCAGCACCATTCATGACAAGCAACTGAATCATGTCCACATGATTTTCTGCCATGGCAATTTGGATTGCTGTTATACCATGGCCATCTTTGGAGTCAATGTTTAATCCTTGCTTTAAAAGCTCATTCATTACTGCTAAATCATTTCTTTTTGCTGCTGTACATAGGAGATCACCTGCTATTTGTGGATTAGAGAGAGCAGAAAACTGATAGAGGATCCGGAATATAGAGTAATGTTTTGAAGCTATAGCATCCCATAATGCAGTGTTACCATTGTTGTCTGCCAATAATGGGAATACAAAATTACTAAATGAATGACAAATATATAATCAATCAAGACAAATTCACTAGGGATTATATATGTTTAAGAAAGGGTACGTATAGGCATATTATACCTCTTATATGTACGTTGCATGCATGCTTGAGTAAGACTTTAACACACTCTTCATGCCCATTTGATGCTGCTATGTGCTGCATATATGACAAGCGACAAATTGTTAGTTTTGACAAACTAATTTTGCTAATACCTTAGTAGTTTTAAAGTTGTTATGATCAGAACTATAGTAAAGGAATGAATTTTATAATGTATGAACTTTTAATTTGATTTTAAGGAATATGAAAAGGAATAAATGAGAGCATGGATATTAGACATGAACTTACCAATGGGGTTTTCCCTTTGGCGTCTCCAATGTCAGGATCAAGACCTGCTCTTAGAAGCTCCTCAAGAAAAGCAGCATTCCCTGTGCTGGCCACAGTTAGCAAGTTCACAGCCATGTTAGGGTCATCTTCTTCCACATTCTCAACCATTAAATCTCTTATATTCAGATCGTTAAGCTGCTTGACATGCTGCATTTGCGTCACATGTATTATGAGTTATAGATTTAAAACCAAAAGCATTATGACCAGTAGCCCATAAGCCAAGTTACCCCACCTGAATGAAGTTTTTGAGTATTTTTATATTGTCTTCTTTTTTAATCTGCATTGCTTCTATAAGAGTATTGGTTTTCAGCCTCAGGAGCTGCGTGAGAGTCTTGGTTCTATAGGTATAGCTCTGAGGTTTACAACAAAGTGCACCAACTTCTCCAAACATGTCCCTTGTTTGTAGAGTCCCTATAATTCTTTCTTTCTCCATTACACTTTCGATGATCTCCACTTCTCCGGACACTATAATATAAACATCATCTGGTGCTTCGTTTTGCATGATAACATCCTCTCTAGGTGGTATGTATTCTGCCTTCATTTTTGCCACCTGTATACATTAACAATTTTCCCCATTAATTTGATTTTCCAATGATAGATTTATGTCAAGACAATTGTTAGAATCAAAGATTAGTTTCATACCAGGGATAACAGAATTTCTTTTGAGACGCCTTTGAAAAGATAGACATTGTCTGCAGTTTCAAAAAACAAATGCTGGCAGATGCTTTTGCAAATGGACTTTGGTAGCTGTTCAATAAGCTGATGCTGATTCAAGCTCTCTGCCTTATATCTTAAACACATGTAAGCCAGTATCTGCTCTTTTAACCTTGAAGGCAACCGATTTCGGCACACAAAGTTTGATGCTGCTTCAATGCTATTTCTCTGCACCAATCATGTGTAATAGATAATGGTATGAAGTTCTTTACATGAGACATTGGTCACAGTAACATATAATTCTGGTTTTAGTCCAAGATATTGTCCATCCAAATTATGAATATGAAATAGGACAAACAAGATCTTCAACTCTTGATAACCATAACCTATATATATAGATTACTACTTATATAGTACATGATCTTAAGTTTATATCTCCTATAGGTGAACCTAAGAAAAGTAACATAAATGTGAAACAATACTTACAAATTCCATGGTACGGCGAGTTCCCTCAACAACAAGATTTGTCATGTTGCCAATCAAGTAAGCAGTTAGGCCAAGGTTGAAGAGCATGTAGAAAATAATGAAGATCATTTCCATAGTGTTCACGGCATGAAGGTCACCATAACCTACAGTGGTCATGGTGGTGATGGACCAGTACATGGCTGAGATGTATCTGATTTGAAGGCTTGTCTCTCGGAAGTTTGGGATCACAGCTCCAATCCATGTCTTTCCTTGGTGGGGGTAGCGATCAGCTAGCATGTAATAAAGGCACCCAGCACAATGAACTGAAAAAAGTGTTACCTGAACAAAAATTTTACACAATTGTTTCAATATTCTCTCTTTCAAAATTAATCCGTGAATTATTTTGTCAAAGCGAAGGATATGACTGAATGTGTATATATATATATATATATATATGGGGCAAGTTATATTTACAAACTTTTTTGTTTACAAATTACATTGTCTTCTTCCGGGAGAACACTGGTTACACTATGTTCTCCCGGGAGAACATAGTTTAATTTGTAAAAAATTTTAAAAAAAGTTTGTAAACAGATTGTTTCCCTATATATATATATGTGTATAATGTGACTTCTATTCTCGCAAAATAAGAAAAAACTTCATTTACAACAAGTATTGAACTACAATTTTTTATTTTTTAAAAAAGATATTCATTTTGGCACCTAATAGTACTTTGTAAAAATGAGCAATTTTATTGAATCAATGTAGCAGATGTTTATTGACTAAAACATACATAAGAAATATTTTTCAAAAAGGAGTGAAATGAAATGTTACATACAAAAAGAAGCCTAGCACATCGAACCCAGAAATAGCTGAACCTGATGTCTTTCTCAAGCCTGGCAAATGAGTGATGATACTGGATCAATGTTAACATGGTAATAACAAGAAACCCAATGGTGAAATAGTAAAGAGAAAGATGGAAAACCTTGTGAAGTATTGCTTGACCCGTCTGAGTCGCCAAAATCTGAGCAAGCCCAACAGGAAGTAAGGGAGACCCACTTTTTGTTTACCAGTGATCAAATAGCCTATTGCCTCATATGGTATAGTTGATGCCACATCCATCACGAACCATGTTGACAAGTACCTACCACAACATTACTAACACTATCATCATTAGTTTAAACTTTAAACTACGCATAACTTAACAAGAGAAGACCAGCTTAGCTAGCTACATAGTCCAAATCCATCATCCTTGACATTACTTCATGTAAAACTAGTTTGGTCGGGTAACTACATAAAAAATTGACTAGATTATCTATCTTAAAATTTCACGTAACTTTATGATTGTAAATTTTTTGTGTTTGTTTATCTTTTTATAAATATTCACAATTTTGATTGAAATTCATCTATGTAATGTCCATAACGAGAGATACATACGAAGTGTTCAGATGGGGTCTATCATTTTTTTTAGGATTTTATAAGAATTATGTTATAGGAAAAATGATTGTGTAATGTTATAGAGATTCATTTTGCGTGCCGTAATTTTTTTTTTCTTTAAAAAGTGTAAGCTCCACAAAATATTATACGTGTAAAAAAGTTTGTTATGTCATGTTAAATAAAAAATGCAAACCTTTTTTTTTACGCATAATTTTGATTTCTTTAAGCTACCGGTCCCATTATTTATATTGGGGTGGCCCGTGTTGACTTTCTAGTACCTACAATTTATTTTCTGACATTTGGACCGTGGCCCATATTTTAGTGGTTGAAGTTGGACCAGGTGTCCAGTATACTATTTAATAATTAATACTACAACAATCATCTTTATGATATCATTATTACGCCATAAGGCTGTTTTGGATTGAATTTGATTATTCAAAATCAACTATATAATGAAAAGTTGGTCTAACAAAAATCAATCTTCAGTGGAAATTAGGCCCCATGTTTACCCTCTTTGTAATTTGGAAAGGAAAGTAGAATCAATCCCTCATGCAGCTTCCAGAGAAAGAAGAATAATATGATAAATCATATCTAGTTCTTTAAGGTAATATAATATCGAATATTATATTGTAATTGAATTTTTTTCATTAAAATAATAATACTTTTACTTTACATCCTTACATTCAAATGTTTAGTAACAATAAAATAATAAATTGATCTCATCACTTTTTTCTAAAGGACCTATACTATACATTTCCTTGAAAAGTTATCAATTATTTTAGGAGTTTGGTAGAAATATCTAGATTGCAGAATTTTTTTAAATAAATTAGTTTCTTTTTGTTTGTCCTGATCAAAAAGAAGGGAACTAACAGTATAAATAAGAACCAAGAAATTAGCAGGTAGAAATAGGTTTCTGCAGTAGTAAACAAAAGACTCACTTACTAACAGAGTGGACATGAAATCAGTGATTGACTAACCTCACTACAATTTTTTTGGAGTCTCGAACTAGTAGATGAGTTGTTCGATCAATGTAAGCCACGAAGAATGTCAAAACAATATCAACAGCGAAGAAAAGATCAACAACATTGTCTCCAATGTAGATTTTCCTATTTGGAGATGAATGCATGAAAGCAACTTCAAAGGGATACACCCATGCAGAATAAGCTACCAGAAGAACCATAAAACTCTCCCAACACCTGCACATACATGAACCAAAATTAAAAAAGAAAATTCAAACCCCATAAATTTGTGAATACCAATCATACTATTCTCGTCATGTATGCTTCTAATTATGGTCAAAATCAAATATTTAAGTGTTAAAAGGAATCAATCAATTTAAAAGCTTAAGAGAAAGGACTTTCAAAAACTGTATATTTTTTTTTATATATACATAAAAGTTTAGGCGGTTAGACACTAGTGTCCCATCAGGATCAAGGCAGACTCCCAACTTTTTTTAAAATTTCTAGGAGAGATTACCAACAAGGTTCTCTTGTGAGGTATGAGCCTAATCCTTAACCAACTATGTCATCTTGTTGTCAAAAAACTTATATATTTTTTTTTTTTTTTATAACTTGGAGGGTATTCTCATTCAACCTCCTCCACTCACTTTGTCCTCGGAGTACGGTTCAAAGGCTAACTCCTCGTTAGAACAACGGGTGCATTGAGCTTCGCTACCGGAGTAAGGATGAGACTAGTCCCCCTTGAGGAGAGAGGCATGTTCTCTGAGGTTTTGAACCCTGAACTAAGCAAATCCTTGAAAGCTTAGTTGCCAACTGAGCTATCTTTGATGGTTAAAAGAAAACTTTATATCTTTAACAATAGGATATTATATAAATTGGTTAATAAACATTGATAAGAAGGCACCTAGCAGTGTTAGGCAATTCTACCTGTATCTTGAATCCATTGGGGATATGATCCACCCTTTTGAGTCTACAGGATTCTGGTTTGAAACACCCAGTGGGGGAAGAATGAGCTTTGAAACATTTTGTAGATTGAAAGAAGGAGAGATACAATCTTCTTTAAGATGATGCTGGTGATTCCTGTCACTCTCTTTCAAGCTAGAGGCTAGGTGAGGATTATATGAACTGAAATTCCTCTCCATTCTACAAGACAAAAATTCTTGGTATATATGTATATATATATATGTATATCCCCGAAGGAGGGATGGAGAGACTAGAAGGTCATGGAGATAAAAATTAAAGAGGTTTTAGATTATAAGAAAAATATTGGTTGAAGGAGAAAGGGAGAAAGAGAAAGCTCTCATGAATACATATATGGAGCTAGAGTTTTAATGGTGAAATGATGATATTATTAATGTGGGTGTACGTAGGAGAGTAGGAGGTCCTTTCATGTAGCACAAATGAGTTCTAGTGGCCAACGAAATTAAGGTGTTGATAGAGAATAGACAGCACTTACAACACTTGATTATAAGAGGTAAGATCAATTTGAAGTATCGTAGAAAATGGAGGGGATATATTCAAGACTTGGCTTCATGTGTGGTGCAGATCCATGTACCTCGTGCCACTTCCTCCCTCTTTCCTTTTTCTTTTCTCTCTCTCTCTCAAATAATTGCAATATCATTTTCTGATGTTACATATTTTTGGTCGACAAGGTTACAATATAATAAACATAAAAAACGCGTACAAAGTGTGTGACCTACAACAAAATGTTGCGGTTATAAAGGCAAAGAATCATGTCCTCCGTGTGCCGTGTGCATTGCAAGAATTTATGTGGTTTTATCTTTGCATGATACAAGCAAAAATAGGCAATTTCTCTTTGATTTTATTATAGCTTTTGAACTTTTGGGTCTGTGGACGCATAAATAAAGTTGAAGGCTTTTGGGTTGAGTTAGCTTTTTATTCTAACACAGGCCATTAGGAGCTACTGTGCTGGAATGTTGCTGTCAATGGTTACTATGGCTACATCAAATTATATGATTTCTAACACATCGTTAGTTGGAAGCTTGAAATTAATGCCATGGGTTGGTGACTTGGTGCATTTGTTAATGGGTTGGTAATATCCAAAAAAACGGTAGTGACACATTTCTTAGAAATCAAGGGTTGTATATTGATTAGGATTTTAAAATTTTAAGATAAAAAATCTTATAGATTTTAAAAGGCTATATAGAATTATAGTGACTTAAAAGACTTTTTTTACAATCAAGATTTTATAAAATTGAATTTTGAAATTTTTTAATAAAACTTATAAGATTTGAAAGAACAATATAGATTTATATGATTTTAAAAAATCATATAAATTAGCATTCAAAATTATAAGAGTCAATAAAAAGGGATAGGTTATTCTACCTACTCCTTTCTTGTCTACCTTTTGCCTACCCCTTTCATAACTGTTGGATCACAATTTAATCCAACGGTCCATAATTACGAAATAAAATAACATTTTTTTCCTTTCTCTCTCCTCACTTCCTCCCACACCCTTTCTCTCTCCTCTCCTTTCACTCTTCCCCACACATTCTTTTGATTTGTCGATACCTATTTTTTTTCCTTATCTTTGATCTCTGCCGAGATTAACGCGCGCGGAAGCATTATGCGATTCATCGACCACAGTTTTTGAAATCATCGTTCTTATCAGGTTTTTTTTTTGGACCTTCTTTTTTTTTTTTTTTGATAACATTAAGGGGCGAAGCCCCAAACAAAAACAAACTAACAACCAGAAACAAAAAATAACTATCCAGGGTCTATACCCCTACAAGAGGAGATTCCCTGAAGATCGTGATCAAATAACTGAGCTGGACCTTCTTTTCAATTTACCTATTAAACGCTATGATCATCATAAGTTAAAAATACATAAGAATAATAGAAACGCTGCCAAATCTAGAATGGCATGATCAATTTTGTACTTAAAAAAAGATTCATCTACATCATTATTGTTCCTATAAGACAACAACTAGATAAGAAAATCACAGAATCATGAAAAAGAAACAGCTTCCAAAACAAAGAACCCCAAAACAAAAAATCTGACATGACATCTAAGCAACTACACTCGAAAAAGCCTTAAGAAGAAGCAGCTTTTGGCTCTTAGGACGGACTCCGGAATCGAACTCATCTTGAAACCAACCCATCGATTTCTGAGCTTCCATAACGATCTGGGAAAGACCTGGAGTGAACAAAAGAAGAAAAGGGTAATTGAAAAATGAGAAATTGAAGACAGAAAGGTTCCAAATTTACAAATTGAAATTGAAATTGAAATTGGAGGAAGCAATATACCTTCTCTGACAGTTTGCATGAAATTGAAAATGAATCGCATAGCGTTTAATAGGTAAATTAAAAAGAAGGTAAAAAAAAAAAAAAACCTGATAAGGACGATGATTTCAAATGTTGTGGTCGATGAATCGCATAATGCTTTCGCGCGCGTTCACTTTAGACAAAGGAAAAAAATAGGTATCGAGAAATCAAAAGTATGTGTCCGGATTGCAGAGGAAGAGAGAAAAGGGAGGAGAGAGAAAATGTGTAAGAGGAAGTGAAGAGAGAGAAAGAAAAAAAAGAGTTTTTTATTTCGCAATTATGGACCGTTGGATTAGATTGTAATCCAACGGTGATGAAATGTGTAGGCAAAAAGGGAGTAGGTAGAATAACCTATCCCCAATAAAAAATAACAAAGAAATGCAATAATATTAATAAAAAATAAAACTTAATATAAAGTTGATGTATTACTAAACAACAACTCTCTACATATTTATATTAGCCCTCCAAGTATTAGCATCTTCTTGTTCCTGCTCTTGGGTTTGACCAAGGGGATGAAAATTATCTTCTTCATTTGATATTAGAGTTATACATATATGATTAAAGGACCCATATTTTTTTATTTATTAAAATAATTCGAAATTTGCATACAAAACCTAAAGTTCATGATAAAATTTGGTTTTGGAACTTTTTGTAATTGATTTTAGAAACCTTGGGGTTTTTGTTCTACGTGATAAAATTTTTATAACCATATATCATATGCATGTTTTCATTGAGTATTCTAAGAAAATTTCAAATCTGGATTTTCGGATTTTATTACATGAAAGTTTAGAAAATTTCTCAAATTACTCTCAATCAATACATTGAAGGGAAAAGGAAGTATAATGTTGTAGGAAAATGTTTAGGTTACGTTATAGAGATAGAAATTGTGGGACCCACACTTATTTTTAAAAACCAAAAAAATAAAAAAAGTGTGGGTCCCACAATCTCTATATCTATAACATAACCTAAACACTTTCCTACAACATTATACTTCTATTTCCCTACATTGAAACCTTAAATTGCTCTTGGGCTTTTGAAAAATAAATTTTTAGTGATCTATTACACAAAAATTATTTGAAATTGTTTCCTATAGCAAAAGAAATTCGTTCATAAATGTATTGTTACGAAACATAGGGTTCATATTATAAAAGTTTTAATTTTTCTTTAAATCGGTCTTATTTCATTGATGTAAAACGAAAATTGGTTTGGAGGTTTTTGTTTCTCTGTTGTTTTTCCACTCTTTGATGTTGTTTTTAATACAAAAGTACACTTTTTTGAGTCAAGAAAAATCGCGACCTATAGTTTGACAAATCATTTTTCAAACTTCCAAAAGCTCTAAAGAATCATTCAAAAATCTTCTATTTTTGAGATGAATTAGATTAGAATTTTGTTAGGTTATTGTTTCTGAGTTGTTTTGTGATGAAAATTATTTAAAAATATGCAGTTTTTGAGCTTTGACGAAGCTCCCGTGACGAGTGGGTGGACCCTCCAAAAGAATAAGACACTCCAATATAGAAATCTTAAAAAATCTTAGGGGGTAGAGTGAGATTGTGAGAGAGGCATCTTATTTATATTTCTCGCTAAAAAATCTCACGAAATCACACCAATAGAAAATCCATTAAAATTTTCAGATTTTTGAATACCACAAGATTATTTTTTCTTTATTTAAGATCCTGATTGAATATTTCCTGATTTGGATGGATTCTAAAATAATTTTTTAAAATTTTAATCGAATACCACATGATTTTTTTTTCATCCTTTAATATCCTAATTGAATACCAAATGGTTTTTTTATCCAAAAACAATCCATTAAAATTTCAATCCAATACCTCCCTTAAAAACAATTAATACAATTTACCAAAAACAAAAACAAAAACATAAACAAATATTACAGTTACAAAATAAATAAGTAAATAATAAGAAACATAGATTAATTTATACAGCATCCACTGTATCTTTCTACTTATGTCTGATTGTTCACTGCATTATAGCAGAATTTTTGTTCTTTTCCTTCCCCTCCCCCTGCGATTTGGCTTCTGTATTGAGCAGATTTTTCAGCGTCTAGCGCTATGTGTAAAATTTCCTTTGTTTAGTCTCTGTGGGGTTTTCCCCTACAGTTCACCAAAAAAAAATTGAATATGATATGAACATGTTGAAGATGCATTTGACCAACACAACCATTCGTATGGTTTTTTTTTTTTTTTTAATATTCCAATCGGTTCATCGCTTCGTTACGAGTCTGATTCGAGGTGAGTCCCGAAATTAAGGCTTTAAACATCTCTCGAAGATGGTACCGGAGAGCATCGAACACATGCTCTCATCTCTACTTGTTGCCAATTGAGCTACCATCGTTTGGTCGCATTTTTTTTTTCCAAAAAAAATGGATTGCATTAAGAAAAGTTAGTTACGTAAGGTAGTGGTCCTGTAATTCTGATAAGATTACGACCGAATCTAGCAACAATGACAATTGACAAATTTAAAAAATTCTCCACTTTCTCTAGGACCTTCCTCCAACTTCAAAAAGGAATATAAATGGTGCATGGGCAGCATATTTTCTTTGTGCTTATTGAAGATAAAAAGCTGGTGGGGATCTTCCTACTCAAACAGATATTTTAAAGGGCAATAAACATTTTAAAAGATCAGATCATTTAATAAACGTTTAGTTGAAAAATATCAGCTCTTTAAAACTTAATGAATATACCATCTCTTCATTATACTATTTTATGAAATTCAAAAAATTAAATTTATTTTCTTTGAAAATTACATTTTAAAAATATTAAGGACATATTCTTTAAAAAAGAAAGAAAGATGGAAACTACTATCCAAATCGCATTGGCTTCTCTTCGAAAATCCTAAACTACCGACATCATTTTTATATCAAGTTAACATATATTATTAGTTATTATTTTGATAGAAAATTAATAGATTATATAAATGAATAACCAAATACATCATTGGAGAGAGCGATGAACTTTAACTTTACCTTTAACTAAGCCCCAGTTCAGGATTAATCCTATAGTCGGCTCAAAAAGTTAAAACTTGCGAAAATACTCGCTTCGGCGATAACTCACCTCAAAAAGATAATTAAGATTGGTATAAAATAATAATAATAATAATGCTATGGTACACATTTTTTCACATATTATTTACATTTACTAAAATTAATTTTATTTTATTTATTTATTTATGCACATTTACATTCAGAAATCAGCAAAGATATATTAAGTATAACATCGAACAAATACGCACCAAACATTTTAAAGAGAAAAAGTGGATTCAAACACTTGTCCCAATCTTCCTTAACAATTGGAGGCGGTAAAATAGAAAGTACTATTATTAAAGATTCTCACTAAAGTATTTATCCTTTTGAAAAGTGAAACACAAAAGGGAAAACTTATTAAAAAATATTTGAATCTTTCATTAGGAAATTTTTATTAAAAAGTATCGACTAACTTGTTCGCTATTGTTGTAATTATAGTGCTCAAGTGTTTTCCAATTTCCGGAACAATTAAAGCAGGATCAGAAATCCTGAACTTCTGGAGGAGCTACAAATTCAATACGTACTCCTTCAACATAGTGATCAAGTGCAACCATAAATAAAGATCAAGGCTGCAACCTAGCCATCAATAATATTATCATCGGATACATACATAATTGCAATAACCCTCATAAAATATGCAACAGCTAAAGAAATTCCTATGTAATTTTGTCCCATGTTCCTATTCAATGCCTAAGGATAGATAATATGAATTAACATTTCATCAGTTGTCATAAGGGGTGAAATAAAGTGGGTGGGAGAGGGAAACAAATCAATCAAAGTAGTTCTTTCCCCACTAATCTCAATTAATAAATGTGGTATTATGGTAGCATGCATCCATTGCAAAAGAGAGATGAATAACCAGCAAATAATTAGAAATAAAGTTACATTATCACTGTCTTATATTTAGCATTGCTAAATTCCAGCAATCTTCCCTATTATATTCAGAAGATTTATTCTTGAAAAGAACAAAAGGGGAGTGGAAGCAATGCCGGTATACAAAATCAGTGAGATTAAATGGCCTGAATAGCTAACTATGTCTACAATGATTGCATTCAAGAGGTCAAGATTAAAATTCACAAAACATTACTCTACCCCGGAACTGGCCAACAGAGAAGGCAATCTTCATTGCATTTCACAATTTGGTTGCATGCCAATATATCAGCCAGGCACTCCTTGGTAAGAAAGATATCATGATGCTATAATGTGTCAAACTGCATCAAGGATCAGAGATTTTTTCAAAAACTTTGAATTGCACAAAGCTTTCCTGTCCATTAAGTTCACAACTCGGCCTTGGATTCCAAATCCTCTTTCAATGAATCTTCATTACTCAGATCCTTTGATTGGATAGGAGATTGCAGAGATTCTTGATCATCGCCTAAGATTCGTGCAGTGAATCTTCTCGCCTCCAAATCAAGGTCCGGCCACTCAGATACTATTCGTCTAGCACCCTAAATATCCAATTAGAGATAAGTTAAGAAGTATACGTAGAAGACAACACGAGCTGCAAAAACATCAGCAGTGATATGTTGCGAGTTTCCAAGAACACAGTAAATATTCACCTGAAGTTTGGGTTCTTTTGTCATGGGATTGTTGCATAGATCAATTGTTTTTGCCTTGGATTTTGTAGCATTACCACACCATGACTCACACCACAGCCATTCTTGGGGCAAAGAAAAAATGGGCACAGTATGCTGAGCATAATTAGGAAGATCCTGAACCATGGAGGACAAAATCTCAGCTAAAAAGGTTCCTCAAAATAAATATACACCAAGGATAATGGGTGATACATTGGAAGTAAATGAAAAGGAGCTCATCTTAATAAAGAAAGGCCCTAAAATTTATTCACATAAAAAGAACATTTAATGAATAAAATATGTATATATACTTTAACCTTTGTATCATACATTTAAGTAATAGACCTTCGTAAGTGATTACCAATTTTATTTTTTTCAGATTTCACTAATTAAAAAGGGCCTGGTTCCAACTTACTCAAAATCAAATAAGAATTCCACCAGATTAATTTCTTCAACTCTAAAACTTCCTAACCTGAACATGCTGTCACCTAGTAGTCGCCCCTTTTTTTAATAATGATCACATAATCTTTGCATATAGAGGAATAGATGATATAATCTCACCTAAGATGGTTTGGTAATGCGAGAAAAAACGAATAGAGGCCCCAGTAAAAAGAGTTGATCATATAGAGGAAAGCCCAATATATAGAGGTAGAGGAGGACCAAAGAAACTATTAAGAAATGTTTAGATCTAAAGGGCAGAAAACTTGGTTTTTGCCAGAACACAATGGGATTGTTTGATCTATGTAGCTGACTACTTTGGTGCAAAAAGGCTTTTGTTTTGCTGTTGACGACTGATCATATGATCTTTCTCATAATAACACTTTTGGGCAAGAGATATAACACACACTGGAATAGTCAAATTCAAAAGGACTTATCAAACAGTCATTAACAAAGATAAACACTCAAGAGAGAACATTGTAAAAATGCCTAAAAATTTCCATTCATATTGTTGGAAATATAGTAAATAGGTTGGTGGCGGATGGAGTCACACGTCATTAAATTCTTGTTATGTAATTGTTATAGTCCATCTATATAATAGAGTCTCTGTTGTGCTATTGAGACACAATGATTTAAACATATATCTCTTGTTTCCTGATTATTTAACACATCAATTTTTTTGGTTGGTGAATGGGGAGGGTTCCATATTCTTTAAGAAAATCATTACAGGTTACTATATATATGAACGAGAAGAATTTCTTTCATAACTAATGATAAGACATCTACATCAAAAGGTAAACCGCTATTTTTGGACCCTCGTTTAACAACTTAAGCTTTTAGGTTAGGTATTTTTGCCATCATGGTATTTGTTAAATAAATATTAGGACCAAAGAGGCATATACTAAGATCCGTGGGTTTCAATTACATAGTGGAGACTATTATATAACTGAATAAAAAGAAATACAAAAGAAAAATACACAATTTGGGACTTTGTCTTTAACACTAAACTACTCTATTTACAATATTATAACTAATCGGTTATTCAGCTTGATCATTACCGCCCAGTATCTTATATAGTTTCACTTAAAGTAATACTTTGTTTCAATAAAAAGCAGTCATTTACTGTGCACTGGAATTTCATGTGAGGCAGTATCCTCCCACAAAGTGGTGAGTGATAGATACTATTTAACCATACTTGACAACTGAATTTCTAAGTGATCTTTTCTCAACTAAATAAATAAATAAGTAAAGAAGAACTATTGACTCAACCACTTACCTGATCCAAGTTGGATAGACTATTTGGATCCTTGCTAAGAGTTTCATAGAAAACTCTGAGATTATCTCCAGCTGCAGTCTCTCTGAACTTCTTCAGATCAACAACATATAAAGCACTGCAAGCAGAAATGGAAACAACCATCAGAGAAAGGACATTCATGTAACTCATTTTTTTTTTTTTTTTTGCAAGAAAATCAAGAAAGTAGTTTCTAACCTAATATGGTATGGTTTTCCCCTCAAATGATCCTTCCAGAAACCCTATGGCACAAGAATAAGGTGAACAAAAATTTAACATTCAGTGCTGCATCTACATATAATTGTATGGGTGTGATGACAACCAAGAGTTCATGTACAATGAAATAGAACAATAATTGATATATAAATAAATTGAAGATCAAAAAGTGGCATTTACTTGTCTCCAAAACCGATATCCATCCATCTCCCTATTATTATCACAAAAAGGAGTATATGCCAGAGGTTTTCCTTTTAAATCCATGTCATAGAGTTCTCCCATGTCAGTCCTGACAATTTGATCAGCATCCACAAAAATAACCTGCAAATATAGGTAGACTTTAAAACACATTTTTACATGGGAATTTTCTTTTCATTTACCAGCATCCTCGTCAAATTCGTGTGGTGCATTTGACACCATGAAATTGAGAGTGCATGGATTCTGAAGCAGAAGAAGAAAAACAAGATACCTTCTCCAAGGAAAGGGGAAAGATGACATCTAGGAATAAGATTTTATATGCCCAAATTATTCGCTGCTTTTCTTTCTGCTTATGCAACCATGTAGGCCATTTGTATGTGATCAGTTCATATTCAAAACCATACTCTTGGGCCATGCGGGGAATCAGATCCTGTGTGTTAAGATGACAACCAAAATAGTTCAAGAATGTCAAGCAAACTCATTATATTCTACTTTAAAGTTCCAATATACAAATGGAAGCATATATTGGGTGGATACGTAACCTTAAAAGGAGGGGAGAGGTAGTTCTTTATGAACCAGAATTTAACTGGACGATGTGTATTCTTTAGAACACTCAGAATCATAATCTTCAGAAAGCGTTCATATCTGGCAAGAATACATCAACCAAAACAAAGTCTAAATAAATCTAACAACTTAAAAAAAACAGTCTAAAATTCAGGTACAGGTGTAATTCGCATCCGCAACTGTACTTTTGTCAGCAAAATTGCCTTAAGTTATATGCATGAACACTGAATTGTGTTTCCTAAAACTTGTATAAGTTTGACCTCCCAAAATACCCCAGCAATTACACGCACAAGAACCCCAAATTGTATTCTGCTGTACAACCCCAGACCCTATTCTCTCACAGCACAGAAAAGTAAATTACAAATTGAAATCTTCAAATAAACTAGGTCATCAAATTCCCCCATTCTGTGTGATGTGAGTATCAAATAATGATTGATTTCATGCACTACATACTTCTTGCAATATGATACGCTAACAAATGCATACGAATATAACAATTAAGATTTAAAAAAAATACAAACGCCCTGCAAAATTGATAATGTAGAAAAATTGGTAGGCAGTGTCAGAATAAATTAGGCATACGATCATCAAAGTAGGAATAGAGAGATAAAGATGGAAATTGTGGCGTGGAATCTATAAAAGATTTGAAGACATGTAATTTTTTTCTGGTTTTGGGGTCATGATCGAGGGTCACCTAAATAAAACTATATCATCAAAGACTAAGATCATGTCAATTAACTAATTGGAAAAGCAGTAAGATCATGCTGTGAACTTAAGTTGCACCTTCACTAATTACCTTGCAGTTGGCTTGATTTTGATGGAATTGCAATAAAGAGGAACACCTATCCTATTGATAGGAATTCCTCGAAGTTCATGGGACCATCAAGTGAAAGGTTTGTAAGAAAATGAAAAAGAAAGGTATTCTCAATTGAAAACCTCTAAGTACATGAAACAGAGAGATAGGAAAGGAGAAGAAAATCCATGAAGGAGCAGAAAACAGACAATGTTTTGTCACATTAAATAGATGCCATGATATTTTTTTTTTGTATCTGCAATGCATTTTTTTGGCCATGCCATATACATGTGACAGTTCCATCAATATCTAATAGATTTTGGATCAAAGAAAACATTTCTTGACTTTAGAAAATCAAAGATCTGAAATGCGATAAAAAAATGTTAAAGGTCGAAACCAAAAGCAAATTATAAGAGACAAAAAGTTCTTTTTGGCAATAATTAAAAGCAAATTATAATATCAAGTTAAAACGAGAGAACCACTTACAGGTGCCCAGAAGCAATTGAAAAGATATTAATAGTTTTTCCATGCCGTCCACCCCTTCCTTTCTCCTATTAAGAGAAAAAGTTCAGTCTGTTACAAGTTTGTTACAACTCTGGGAAAGTATGAAGTAGGTAGACAAGATGAAAGAGAAATAGGCAAGGGCCTAAGGGGTTAGAAAAATATTCAAAACTTAGCATGTTTTTTGGTGCATATAAATGATTGGATGCATCATTAAGGCTATATGACAATGGTCTTTTCATTCAACAATTAAAGCCAAGTTTGAGGCATAAATATAACAACAATCAGATTAAAAATTTTTATAACACAACACAAAGTTTGATTATAATTTTTAGTTAAGAATCCCTAAACAAGATTTTCAAGGAAATCTAATGAGCAAATGAATTCATGCAAAAGGGACAAGGTGAATAAACAGGAAAAAATAAAATAAAACTCACTGGTGAATTGCTTTCAGCATTTTTAGATATTTCATTGCTACTAATGAAACCAGAAGCCCATTTTAGTAGGTTGGAATTCCAGCTACTTCCCTACAAAAAAAATCAAAGAAATCTGTGAGGGTTTGCACTTACTTTTGCATTTGAATAGTAATGTTTTCTTTGTTTTACTTTGAAATATATTTTGAAAAATAACTTTTAAAAACTAGCACTCACTTTCTTCTTATCTTGCGCATCTTCATCATCATCAGGAATCAGCAATTTCTCTTGTTCCTTGCCCTTTCTTTTTATTACTTCCATATGAACTACTTTACCCCGTAAATCATTAATAGTAATGAGTTTTGAAGATTGTTTATTCTGACTTCCATTATCATCTTTTAAAATATAGAGCTCAGAACTTCTACCAGGAGCAAGCTGCAAGAACCAAACCCCAGGAGAGACTTTCATTTGCCAATAGCCAAGATTGGCCATCACAAGGGTATCAACTAAGTGGGGTGTAATTTTGGTTCCAAGAATAAGCTGAAGACCTCGAGGAGGATCGTGATCTTTCTCAGAGCAATGACCTGATTAGATGATTAATTGATAAGAATGACAATGGAATTGTAGAAAGTATTACTTAGTAATTTATGCTATTTATTGACAATATCACAAAGAATTACTAGTCTATATTTATAAATAAACAAAATGCAATTTTACCAGTGAGGACAAGAGCTTCAAGTTCAAAAACTGCTTGTAATGTTCTTGTATCACCAAGGTTCTCAAGCAAAATGTTATCCAGGTCATGACTGCAGCATGAGAAATCACAAAAGTTCATTACACATACACACACATAGAGAATACATGTTAGAGTTAATTAGACAGATCTCCCTCAAGGTATGGCAAAGTTGCATCTACTTACTTTCTTGTTTGAGAAATAACAAAGGGAATACTTTCTACCAACAGAAAAGTACACAGCATTTTTATTTTATTAGGAACTCACCAATTTAACTTGATTCATTGTTTTAAAGTCTGCACCTTCCGCTAACTATGAAATTAACCAAAGTTTAGATCTTTAGATGCAGAACTTGCCCTTTATTCTTCTTAGTAGTTCACATCATTTTAAAGTTTTGAACGTGTTGATTCTGTTGGATTCCGAATTAAAATCCCAAGGATTAAGGGATTGGATTAATAGTTGCAAATTTTTTCCGCTTTCTATTTTTGGTAGTTTTCTGTCTATAGGCTGAAGCTTAGGTATAGTTATCCTTTTTTGGTTCCTTTTTTTCTCCCCACGGCTTGCTATTCTAGTTTATATATTGTAACCTTTAATTCTGAATGAAAATAACAGAGTCATTTTTAGTACCTCTATTTTCAGATTCAAATCTATCACATGCTTCTTTATTATCAAAGATGTAAAGAATCAATTCAACCCAAAAGCTTAAGTTGTTAGGTGAAGGCCACATTAATGGTTTTATATTATATTTCTCTAATACGGCCACTCTTATACAAGAACCCATTGAATTTGAAGGGTGGACAATGCATAGGCCTTGCTTAATGCTTAAAAAAACCTGATGCACTTACAGTTGGCCTATTGCACATGGCCCAACCATTTATTCAAGAAGTTTGGAGTCAATCAGAATTATGACCCAATAAATATGGTTCATATATTCAAAGAAGCAACAATTTGAAATATAACAAATTACGATCAAATCTAAGTCCAAATGAAGCAGCATATGATTGTGATTTGTTTGGCAAAAAAAGAAAAGTAACAAATTTGGCATGATTTGAAATCTAAGATTTGGATATGTTTTGAATGATTTAATTGTAATTATTTATATATTTTTAAAAGGTAATTACCATTATATTTATTTTTAGGATTTTAGATTTTGAATTAGTTTGTATTTAGTTTATAAAAGGGTGCTTAAGGCTCTTGTTGTTGGAGTTGAATTTTGTTATTTTGATAATTATAGTTGAAAACCGGAGGGTTACTCTTTTATAAAATCTTAACTTTCTGTTTTAGCCACCTTTTCTATGTGCATTTGGCATCATTTAGGACCAGAGTACTAGGTTGCATTCAACCAATGGCTGAAGAGAATCATGGAGGTCGTGGATGGTAGAGTTGTGAAGCCAAGGGACGTGGATTCATTCCTCGAGAAAACGGACAAGAGCGTCAGATAGACCCGCAAGACATAAAAAATGAAGAGTTTGAAAGGCGGATCCAGGATTTGAAGTGACAACTTGAGCAAGTGTTGGACAACAAAATCCAAGATTTGGAGAAACGACTTGTGCAAGCGCATAACGAGAAAATCCAAGTTTTGAACCGACAACTTGTCGAGGCGTAAAGCATGAAAATCCAATATTTGGAGCGGCAACTTGTATGGACAAAGTTGAACGTTCAATACGAAGAAGAAATGGAATCAGAGGGCACATCTGATAACGAAGAGGAGGAAGTCAATCTTTTCGGGGTTCTAAACTAGGGACGAAATAGGGAGTATGAACTGGAAATCAGTGCACTTTTCAAGATATCGAGATGTAGCTCAACATTCATGACTTTGAAGTCTATGATCATAATTTAGTTGATGATGATTATTTGATCTACGATAATAATTCAATTTATGATAATTATCCAACTTACGATGATAATTTAGTTTATGATAAATCTGATGGAGAATCAGATGAAGAAGATCTAATATGGGAAGAATTATCATTTGAGTTTATACCTCAAGAGATTGATATCAATGAAGATGAAGCAAATTCGAGGGCGAATCTTTTCCTAGCAAGGGAGAATGATGCACTTACAGTTGGCCCATACCAATTGTTGATTCAAAAAGTTTGAAGTCAATCAGAATTATAGCCCAATATGTATGGCCCATATATTCAAAGAAAAAGCAATTTGAAATATTAAAAATTACGATCAAGTTTAAGTCCAGATGAAATAGCATATATGATTGTGATTTGTTTGGTAAAAAAAGAAAAACAACAAATTTGGCATGATTTGAGATCTAAGATTTGGGACGTGTTTTGAATGATTAATTGCAATTATTTATTTATTTTTAGAAGGTAATTACCATTATATTTATTTTTAGGAATTTTTCTTATTTTAGATTTTGAATTAGTTTATAAATGGGTGCTTAAGACCCTTGTCGTTAGAGTTGAATTTTATTATTTTGATAATTATAGTTCAGAACTGGAGGGTTACTCTTTTATGAAATCCTTTCTTTTTGTTTAGCCACATTTTCTATACACTTTCGGCATCAAAACTACTCTCCATTAAACCCCGACTAGGGTAAGAGTGAGGGCAATCCTTATATACAGCATTACCCTTGCATATATGCAAAGAGACTGTTTCCTGAATTCGAACCTATGACCTACACAAACGAGCAAGTTTACAGATGCCTAATGCTTAGAAGCTCCATAATATTTTATTGTTTATTAATAAAACGGGGCTGATGAGAATCGAACTCTTGACCACTTGGTCACAGAGGCTCTGTAAAGAACCAATTCAACCCAAAAGTTTAAGTTGTTAGGTGAAGGCCATATTAATGGTTTTATATTATATTCTCTAACCAAAGATAATGGTATTTTTTAGATAAAGTGTATTAACATCAAACATGACTAGCATGCTTTAACCTGTATGACAATAAGTTAACAGAAGAGGCATAGTTAAACAAATTTTAAAATGAGGGAGGTCAATAAGATTTATTCTGAATAATATACACCCTGTCCATAAACCTTCTCTACTTTCAGGCAAGTAGACAGAAAATAAAGGTTAATCCAGGAATCAGCAAATTAAGAAATAACCTTGTTAGATAATGAGCCTCCACCTAACAGCTTTAAGTTTTTAGGATGATACCATTTCAAGATCAACTCTTCTAAAACCTTAATCTGTTAGCTGGAGGCTCATGAATGACTTCATATCTAACAAATGCTAAGGATAATAATACATACACAGCGATAACGGGCTCAATAAGCCAAGGTTCAGGAACATCAAGATTCATGGTGAGAGTCTTAGACAATGGCATGTTAGCAAAAAATGCTTTTGGGCCATTTATTGAAGAGTCAATGTTACTAAAATCATCCTGCAAAATTAACAAAAAATCCTAAGAAACCAGACATCAAATCTTTTCTGGAATTATCTGAAAGCTAAAAGTACAAGATGTACCATTGACGGTACTACGTATCTGTAGTAGTTCTTCAGAGGAAGATCAGCAAGGGAACTCTGGCATGAAATGAAAAATAGCATTCAATATCGGTGCATTATTGGCAGTAAATTAAAAGAAAATATAGCTTGTAGAGTACCAATGGGAAGTTTGTGTTACGTTTTTTTTTTTTAAAAAAAAAAATACAATTGATTATACGTAAACAGCATGATATATACATGAGACAAACAAGGCTTCCACTCCTACCGTGGGGTCTTGGCAGGGTAAGATATATGCTGCCTTATATCCCAATGATTAGAGTCAGGACAAAAATATTATACTTCTTTAAGAGATTATTAAAACAAACAACTTCCCATTAAACTCAGCTAGCGAGTGTGGGGTGGAGGTAATCCTTGTACGCAGCCTTACCCTTGCATAATTGCAAAGAGGCTGTTTCCTGGATTCGAACCCATGACCTTTCAGTCATGAAAGAACAGCTTTACCACTGCTCCGATTCGCCCCCTTACTTCTTTTAGAGATTATACTTTCTAAATTTCATTTAGTAAAATAGGGTGTTAAAGTTACAAACTAGTAAGTTACCACAATAGAATGAATGAGCTACTTCTACAAACTTATACAGATGGAAATACAAAAGGATTAAGTAAAATGATAGTATCAATTCAGATAGAAGTTGCAATGTATACTAAAATGGCCCAGGCATACAACTTTATAATAGCTTCCCTGTGGCCTTATTAAAGCCAAATTAAAGGGGAGTTCAATAGTTCATAGTTCAGCCACAAGGATAACACTTTGGCTTTTGTATTCTCAAATTCCAGATAAAAGAAACAATAATTACAATTTTCTTTTCATCTTTATTATTCTGATCACATAGCCCTAAGAAGGCTATTAAAGAAGGAACAAAGTATGTAACAGAAAACCAAAACGTTTAATAGTTATAAATGTAAATAGAACTATAGATATCAACCAACCAATGGATTCAGTACAATCCTCATGCTGGGCTGAATATATTTCCACAAAACTCGAAGAATTCCAGACAACTTCTGGCTGGTTGGACTTAAAGGATCAAGAACCGCATCAATATGAATGCTAGAATTTTCATTAGGTAGAATAATGGCACTGCACAGAACAAACAATGGCATAAAAATATTAATATCATATAAATATACAGTTGAACTTAAGTTAAGTCAGCAACCAAACAGGAATAAACCTTAAAAAAATGATAAAATAAAACACAATTCACGTCTTTATTTTTCAACTTACCATTCTTTCTATCTAAATTGAGTACACACAGTAACTAATTAAAAGTACCTGTGTTGATCACTCAAAATCTCAAAACGAGCACTTTCAGAACTCCGCTCCCTCATAGCCATTGAAGATGATAAGGCCATGACAATATCGCTAATGAATTTGCTGCAAACAACATAAGGAAAGATTAAAAATTGTCACATATTTTGAAAATAGAAAAAAGATTGAGCAACTATAAATATTTTTGTAAATACTGTCTGTCATTGCATAAGAAAAAAAATGCTACACACATTTTTATAATGATTTTTTAAAACAATTAAAAACACTTAGCATGGACAAGTTTTAACTTCAAGCATAACACCTAACTAGGGACTGCAAAGAACAACAGACTATAAACAGTCATCACAGTGTTGTTAAATTTGCACTCCTAAGTTCTCGTTTCCCTCTTAGTGCAAGTGATGCACTTACAGTTGGCCCATTGTACATGGCCCAACCATTGATTGAAGAAGCTCGTAGTCAACTAGAGTTGTGGCCTAATAAATATGGCCCAATTGTTGAAAGATGCAATGATTTGAAATACAATAAATTACAATCAAATCCAAGTCCCAATAAAGCAACAGATGTGATTGTGATTTGTTTGGGAAGAAAAGGAAAACAACATATTTGGAATGATTTGAGATTAAAGATTTGGGATGTATTTTGAATTATTTATTTGTAATTTTTTATTTATTTTTTAATGTTAATTACTTTTATTTATTTTAGGAAGTTTTATTACTTTTAAAATTTTAGATTTTTGAATTTTGGATCAATTTGTAATTAGTCTATAAAAGGGTGCTTATGACCCTTATTCTAGGAGTTGAATTTTGATATTTGATAATTAGAAATTGAGAACCGTAGGGTTACTCTCTTATGAAATCCCAACTTTCTGTTTAGCCACTTTTCTATGCGCTTTCGGCATCATTTGGTATCAGAGCACTAGGTTGCCTTCAACCAATGGCTGAACAGAATCGTGGAGGTCGACGACAGCAGAGTCACAAGAGTAGGGAACGTGGATTCGTTCCTGAAGAATATAGACAACTGCGTCAGATTGACTCGCGAGACATAGAAAATGAAGAGCTCGGAAGGCGGATCCAGGATTTGAAGGAACAACTTGAGCAAGCGTTGGACAAGAAAATCCAAGTTTTGAAACAACTATGTGTGCGGCCACAGAGAAAGAAGATTCAAGATTTGGAGCGACGAATCGTGCGGGTATGCATGAAAATTCAAATTTTGAAGCAAACTCTTATGGAGGTGCAGAGCATGGAAAGTCAACATTTGGAGCTGCGACTTGTGTGGACAAAGTTGGGCATTCAATCCGAAGAAGGAATGGAATTAGATGACGCATCTGATGACGAAGAAGAGGACGTCAATCCCTTGGGGATTCTAAACCAGGGACGGAATTGGGAAGTACGACCTGGAAATCAGTCCACTTTTCAAGATATCGAGATGCAAATTAGCATTCCAGACTTTGAAGTCTATGATCATAATCCAGTTTGTGATGATGATGCGATCTATGATGATAATCCAATTTATGATGATTATCCGATTGTTGATAATTATCCCATTTATGATGATTATCCATCTTATGATGAAGATTCATTTTATGATGATAAGCCAGTCTATGATAAATCTGATGGAGAATCAAATTATGGAGATTTAAAAGAGGAAGATTTATCATGAGTTTTTGTCCAAAGAAATTGATATCAGTGGAGATAAACAAGATTCGAGGACGAATCTTTTTCTAGCAGAGGAGAATGATGCACTTATAGTTGGCCCATTGTACATGGCCCAACCATTGATTGAAGAAGCTCGTAGTCAACTAAAGTTGTGGCCTAATAAATATGGCCCAATTGTTGAAAGAGGCAATGATTTGAAATACAATAAATTACAATCGAATTCAAGAACCAATAAAGCATCAGATGTGATTGTGATTTGTTTGAGAAGAAAATGAAAACAACATATTTGGAATGATTTGAGATTAAAGATTTGGGATGTATTTTGAATTATTTATTTGTAATTTTTTATTTTTTAGATGTTAATTACTTTTATTTATTTTAGGAAGATTTATTATTTTTAGAATTTTAGATTTTTGAATTTTGAATCAATTTGTAATTAGTCTATAAAAGGGTGCTTATGACCCTTATTCTAGGAGTTGAATTTTGTTATTTTGATAATTATAATTGAGAACCGGAGGGTTACTCTCTTATGAAATCCCAACTTTCTGTTTAGCCACTTTTCTATGCGCTTTCGACATCATATGGTATCAGAGCACTAGGTTTGCCTTCAACCAATGGCTGAACAGAATTGTGGAGGTCGACGACAGCAGAGTCACAAGAGTAGGGAACGTGGATTCGTTCCTGAAGAATATAGACAACTGCGTCAGATTGACTCGCGAGACATAGAAAATGAAGAGCTCGGAAGGCGGATCCAGGATTTGAAGGAACAACTTGAGCAAGCGTTGGACAAGAAAATCCAAGTTTTGAAACAACTATGTGTGCGGCCACAGAGAAAGAAGATTCAAGATTTGGAGCGACGAATCGTGCGGGTATGCATGAAAATTCAAATTTTGAAGCAAACTCTTATGGAGGTGCAGAGCATGGAAAGTCAATATTTGGAGCTGCGACTTGTGTGGACAAAGTTGGGCATTCAATCCGAAGAAGGAATGGAATTAGATGACGCATCTGATGACGAAGAAGAGGACGTCAATCCCTTGGGGATTCTAAACCAGGGACGAAATTGGGAAGTACGACCTGGAAATCAGTCCACTTTTCAAGATATCGAGATGCAAATCAGCATTCCAGACTTTGAAGTCTATGATCATAATCCAGTTTGTGATGATGATCCGATCTATGATGATAATCCAATTTATGATGATTATCCGATTGTTGATAATTATCCCATTTATGATGATTATCCATCTTATGATGAAGATTCAGTTTATGATGATAAGCCAGTCTATGATAAATCTGATGGAGAATCAAATTATGGAGATTTAAAAGAGGAAGATTTATCATATGAGTTTTTGTTCAAAGAAATTGATATCAGTGGAGATAAACAAGATTCGAGGACGAATCTTTTTCTAGCAGAGGAGAATGATGCACTTACAGTTGGCCCATTGTACATGGCCCGACCATTGATTGAAGAAGCTCGTAGTCAACTAGAGTTGTGACCTAATAAATATGGCCCAATTGTTGAATTAGGCAATGATTTGAAATACAATAAATTACAATCGAATCCAAGTCCCAATAAAGCAGCAGATGTGATTGTGATTGTGATTTGTTTGGGAAGAAAAGGAAAACAACATATTTGGAATGATTTGAGATTAAAGATTTGGGATGTATTTTGAATTATTTATTTGTAATTTTTTATTTATTTTTTAGATGTTAATTACTTTTATTTATTTTAGGAAGTTTTATTATTTTTAGAATTTTAGATTTTTGAATTTTGGATCAATTTGTAATTAGTCTATAAAAAGGTACTTATAACCCTTATTCTAGGAGTTGAATTTTGTTATTTGATAATTAGAAATTGAGAACCGGAGGGTTACTCTTTTGAGAAAATCCCAATTTTCTGTTTAGCCACTTTTTTATGCACTTTCGGCATCAGCAAAGAGTCACATCATGTTTGTGTCTAACTCATCAGGTAGTATATTGTGCAGAAGACCATATAACTCATCCAGAATGATGTTCTTGATAACCTTCTTGTCATTCAAGTTGGTGGTATGAAAGTTTGCATAGAGAAAATAACTATTGTAATCCACATATACTTAGAAATCTTCACCTTCTTTCATACCAAGCAAAATGCAAAACCAAATTTTGTGATGGGAGGATGATAGATGTACATAGTCATCAAGCAATAACCACAGGTTCAAAACAGAAATAGCAAAGATAAAAAAACCTTGTCAGCATGTCAGGGTCAACATCCTGCCATTCCACTTCTTCAATGATTTCCACGATATGCTTTGTCCTCTGCTTAAACTCTATTGATTCAAGAAGTTGCAGATCAGCACTCAAAAATGCGCTTTCATCAATAGGATAAGTTACCTATAAAACATAAATGCTAAAGTTAACTCGGGAGGACTGACAAAGAGATTCTATCATTGATGAAAAACTATCTAAATTTAAATAGACACACACACCCTCACAAAATAGAGACCGAGTATACTAGAAATAACCAAAGAGACTAGACAGTCTTACCCTTCCATTAGTGAAGACAGCATTAACACCAGATTCAGACCCAATTACCCTATACAAAAATTTTCCCACCTGATAACAAGAAGCCTCATTAATACAAACTTTCATGACTATTGAATAAAAAATAATGTCAGTAAAAGGCTCAAAAGATTGGGTCTAGAACTGTGCAAGCCTCTACCAAATAAATAAAAGAAGGGGAGAAGCAGAGAATAATTTCTATCAGATACTAGGATCAAATAAAAAAAGTAAAAGTAAGAGGCATAGGGGAGCATTAATGGGTCTGACATTCACCAAAATGTGATTGTTTAAATGGCAGAGCAACCAAAAGTACCTTACTCAAATTCCTTATCACTTCATCAGCAGAAAATTCTGGGAGGGCAGATCTATAGCCCTCAGATGGTAACCCATTAGCCTCAGCAAGCTCGCAGACCTTATCAATAAATATTTGGGTGCTATCAACTTCCACAGCTGATGTAGGGATGTATTTCTGATAATAAAGTGAGCACAGCTGATCCAAAAAGTGTAATACGTTCCTCTTATGGCTGCATAAAACCATGCATTCACACAAATTGATATAAAAGTAAAACCATACTTTAACATAAAAAGGTAATTTGCAAAACTGCAGAATCAAATACTAATCAATCTATTAATTCCACAATTAAAAAACAAACCTATATGAGGATGTAGTGATTTCAAAAACCTTCACGAAAAGAAGGCTAAATGAATCTGTACTCTGATTGGCACTAAACAGAAGACCCACGCGAGCATCTTTGGCCCCTTCTATCTGTAGCATAATGTGAAATTGTAAATATTAAAAAAAAAAATTGTTTAACAGTATGGAATAAGTAGGTCCAATCATGATAGGCATCAGGTGAAAAAACTTATAACTACGAATAAGATTCAACTTCAACAGAAATACAGATCAGTATTAACCAGATAATTTAAGCCTTGGCGAAGTAATTTCATCCCACTTTCTGAAGTGATATCAACAGCAAGAAGATGTGTCACAGGCTTCAAATCATCCATGGCTGGGTTGCATAAAACCAATCCACATGTTAAAACAAAAGAACCAGACTGTAAGAACGAACCTATTGGTTCTAAAATGTCAGCAACTTACTTCCAGGAGAATGCAAGTAGTCAATGTCATTCAGTATAGATGCCTCTCCAGAAGCAACCATAGACAGAGATATGAACCTCGGTTTGTTATCAGAAATAATCTACACTAATCAGAATTGGTTAGTGACATATCATTACATGAGTTTCCTAGAACTTGCAAATTTTTAAAAATACTATACCCGAGGATTATAGCGTTGAATACCAGCTTCTGATAGGAACTTGTCTAATACATCAGTGTTAGATTTTATTTGTCCAAAATACACTTGCTCCTGTATTCGTTGAGTCTCATCATTCAAGGCATTTAGCAGAGCCTCCTGGAGAATCAATTTCGTAAATATAAGTGGCAGAAAAGCTTAGTCTATCAATACTCTATCATGACAACATGATTATAGTTAATAACATAAATTGAGTACTTGAAACTAAAGTTGAGCACACAAAGTAGACCCAAAGTTAAACAACACATCAAGCACAAAACTAAAATGGATTGGGATCCCCCAAAGTGCAGGATGCGCATTATAGAGTAACGTGAAAGTGGTTAACAGTTGGTAGTTAAATAAGGAGCACATTAAAAAATGTACATTCATTCACAATGAAGAGAACAATTCTAAGGCCAGCTACAAAGGAAAGTATAAAATGTTGTGAATTGAGGTATACTACCCCAAATATTAAAGGAAACAAAAAGAGCATAACTCCAGAAAGATTAGGAAATTATAGTTGTTTTGGAAATAAGATGTGGTAGAGGAAAACATTCAAAAGGTCATTACCTCAGTCGGATCAACAACAAGCCCATTCATCAATAGAGAGCATTGAAGCTTAGACAAACCAAGTTTAAATACAAGCATGGAGCTTTCTTGTGACAATTCCTTCAAATTTGGCTCCTTCTCCAGCTTTAGTAATATCTCTTGAGGTGGGGATTTTACCTTTGGCCTACAGAAAAATAGTCAGAATATTTAATCCATGTCAATAAATAATAGACAAATAAAAACACAGAATGTTACTGAAAAAAGAAAGGAAGCACCATATTAGAAAAATGTCAGCAGCATACTAGTTTCTAGAAAAGTCCAGTAAACTCACAATATTGTTTCCACAAATGCCCCTTCAACATGGTGCAGTTCAAGAAGAGCATCATCTACATGATTGTCTGATTCAATGCGTAATTTGTTAACCTACAAAACATGTACAAAGATATTCTTTCAATTGAATTGCAAACAAGATTAGTTTTAGATGACTCAGACCAATTTCAACATGTGTTGACAAAAAGCTTATCTATGACAAAGACGTGTCATTTTTACCCATATAATGAAAAACTTGATAAACTGGAACCTTAGAGGCAAAATAGGGTGCATATTATATCAAGAAAGTGGGCTTTTCTTGTTTTCTATGATAATTGGGGGGGAAAGAAGAGATAAAAGGGGGCGGGGGTTTGAAGCCACTTAGGAGGCAGTGAAATACATGGAAACTAGGTTCATGACTTCTTTTGTAATAAACCCTTGAATTGTTAAGTTAGAGATTATACAGAAAAATTGTCCAGTTATAAGTATGGAAACAAAAAAAGTAATGTGAATGATATGGGTGGTGATTTGTAGTTTTGGGTCAAATCAGGAAACTTGACAGATTCAATGTTTGAACCTAGATAAGACGCATGTAGCATATAACTGCATTTGTCAGTTTTCTCCTAATATGTATTTTTCTGGATTTAAGAGGGCGAGCTTGGAGCAGTGGTAAAGCTGCTCTTTCATGTCTAAGGTCATGGGTTCGAATTCGAAAAAAAATCTCTTTGCAAATATGCAAAAGTAAGACTGCATACAAAGATTGCACTCATCCCTACCCTCGCTAGTCGGGGTTTAATGGAGAGTGATTTTATGTATTTTTCTGGATTTGAGTCATGTTAATCTTGTATATAAATCCTTTTTCATTCTAACTAAAAGCAATGGTAAAACAAGATCATTGAAACACAGAGAACAGAAGATAACTAATAGTGAAGACAAATTTATACATTGCTCAAAAACTCGAAAGCCATTTGGACACCATAGTTCTCCTTGATATAGCTGAAGAGACGTATAATCTGAAAAGTGAAATGACAAAGACAATGTATCATAATCTTTCCAGTAATTCTCCTAAAAAATGTGGTGCAAATGTGCTTGTATTACTCAACAACTAAAGGTGAAAATTACCATATTAGATATATCCTCCTCAAATTTATCTCCATCATCTTTGGCAGAATGACCCTCTAACTGCGTAATGTACTTTGAAGAATACAGTACAATCCCGAGTCTCAGAGGAAAATTGTTCTCATACAATGATATGATCATATCAATGGACTGCAAGGTTTCAAACAGCAAGCCATGCAATGAGGGATTTCGAAATTGTTAGAAACTGGTTTTATTACTGATAAGGAAAATGGAGACTAGCTCCTTACACCAGAAATGAATTCTGGAATTTCTTGAAATACAAGAACAGAAGGGGGGAAACACAAAAACAAATGAACCAATCCAAGATTGAGGCCCTAGCCATAGGATATACCTACACACCAAGAGTTCCCCAAATTTCTGCCTACCGCTCTCTTTCTCTCACTCTTCTGTATATTCTTATTCCTCTAACCGAATACCCCAAGACCTCTCCTCTTCCACTCACAATAATTGAGTAGGCAGTCAGTCCTGCGGCTATACCTGATACATTAGCTTGTTTAGCTTCTGATATAGACTCTATTGTATTCTGTTATTTTGTTAGAATTGCGCTAATATCATTTACTGACCCGGCAGTTAGTTATTTCTGCCCATAGCTTATTGTCTTCTGATCTCTCTATATAGAGAGCCTTGTATCAGTTCTGCAATAGTGAAAATTAGATCACATTCTCATAGTTCACCACCTCACTCTCTCCCCTATTTCTCTGTTACACTGCCACACCAGCAGTTTGTTATACTGCAGCCCATTAGCAAGAATATTCTCAATATTCACCATCTTATTCTCCTTGTACCCATGAGTTTAACAGAAATACATACAAGGAACAATGTCAAAATATTAAGCTTGAGGATATAAACTTGCCTCAAGACCACAAGTGGTAGCTGGGTCAAGAACAAAAATGGCATGGAAAAGATTTTTACGTATTTGACGTAGCTGCCCAGGGAAGACTGGCATCATGATCTAAACAAAATAGAAAAACAGATGATGTTGAGATGAAAATTTACAACATCAATAATTTGAAAATAATGATATTGTCCAGTTTTATCAAGGATTAATTAACCTCATTAAGATTGCTCCTCCACCATTTGTACTTAGCATCTTCTTCCAAGTTGTTGAGATAATGTACATGATTAGAACGAAAATCAACACGAAACATACTGGACTCCGAAGGAGGTAAAGTTGACAGCAGTTTTCGCACAGTGCTACGAGGAATCTGCAATTACTGGGAACATCAATATTATAGTCTAGATATATAGTAAAGCATCAGTCAAGTGCAAAATATCTATGTTAATTTTTCAAAATGGACATGCAAAAAGTAAGTTTTAAACTCAAAAGAAAAATGGAAAGATGCCAATATGCATAACAGTGCTAATAATTTCATTATGCCAACGAGCATCTTTTTCCACCCAAGCAATACTATTAACCACTTCACTTTGTCCTCATTTCCATCTTTTTGTTCCCAACTTTTCGTAGGCAACTATCGCTGATTACATCTAAAACCATCATACTCTACCAGCTTTTATATTGTGTATAACTACATAGAATCTTAAGTATTAGAATGCATCCGATGATTATTTTCTTCTGTTCACTAGTATTAGCTCCATGAACCAGTTAATAGAAATTAGTCCAGTACTAAAAATATGCCAAAATGACAATCAGATGGCACTCACCTTCAACTTTGAGAACTGATCAGCCAGTAACAAATCCTGATGAACCAAGTCAATCAACCTAATAGAAGATAACAAGAGTATATTTTCAAAAGTTTGAAATTTTTCATTTAACTTGAGGTTTAAGACATCCATGGAAGTTTTATTAAACAAATGACAGAAAAGCACAATCAACATGTACAAGTCATCCAGAAAGTTATTCTTGTTTAATATCAAGTTTAACATGATTAACTATGAAATCCATGTGCCAAGAAGGCATTTTAGTGGAGTTTGAAATGTTTTAACTTTTCAAGTCATTGTCCATGCTTGAAGTCAAATAACAGGGACAATAACGTCTGGCAAAATGACTAAGTTCCTGTGAACAGTAGAACAAGAATGTAACAGAAGCCTTTTAAACATCTCAAATAAGGAAAATAAGCAGAACATTTATTAATCGAGTCAGATAATTTATCACCCCAAGAAGCAAAGGCATAGGAAAACAAAACAACATATAGGGTTGAAAGTAACCAACTACTATGAAGCTTGGGTTTGTCTAGAAGGCTCATGTGGAGAGGTTTAGTCCTCAAACACTGAACTAAGTTATTTGAAGCCATAAATGGTACCAGAAAAAAGAATTTTTAGTGATATGCAACCCTTCCTCGATTGTAGTCTACATCCTTGGTCTGGCACGAAGGATTGGGAACCATATAAAGCATCAACAGTAATAGTATTAAACACAGTTCACAGTTATAGCACTGTAATTTGGCTTGTATCTGGAAAACCATAATATTGGACAAAAGATTTATAAGACCTGGTACACACATACTTTACATTTTGAGTTAAATATTTTGGCCCACATGACCAGGTATTCATATGCCTGTTAAGTGACATATTTTGTCAACGGTAGATGAACCCAAATAAAAAGGAAAAAAAAATTGGGTGAAAAGAAAAAAAAAATAAGAGAAAAGAATTACAAAATATAATGACCACGGCTTCCTCAGCAGGTTTTGGATATCTGTGTCTATTAAACAATAGTACTCACAAAACCACAATCAAATATCGGCCAAATGTTAACTTGATTAGAACCCCAAAATAATTCTTTCAACTAATAATATTAATTAGTTGATAGAATCAAATACTACTGTAGATAAAAAATGCCTTTGACTTTGATAATTAAGCTAACCTAAATGAGGAATTCCATCGAATAACTAAATAGACCTTGATAAACACAAACTGAAGTATATAAATAGACCTTGATCTAAATCTTTCAATCTTTATTATTCACAAACAAAAGAACCATCAAGATGCAATAGCAATTTTATCATATGCTGGAGAGGATAGAGTAACGGTAACCTCAAGCTACAATACACGTGCGAACATGAAATACAAAGAACAAACAATATTTCATTTTCAGCATTATAATGTAAATGATATCAGCAGGAGAAAAAATATTACAGATAAAGGTCAATATCTTCCACATTGAGTAAAGCACCATTCAGAGCCATTAAAGACTTGCCAGGTGGGATCATCCGCTGGTTTGCCATTATTTCATCTCGAACAGAATCATCAAGCTGTCACACATCACATTTCCATAAGAATAATAGACAATTACTTTAGAAAAAAATGTCCAATAAATACTTGAGCATCCAACAAAAGTAACAAGGTTATTTACCTTCATGCGAGACAAAGAAGAGACTATGCTAGGGAAATTTTGATTGATGTCCTGCATTGATTGCAGAGGATCAGAGGCATGGACTATTCTCTGTACAGTTTGATGCCCTAGATCTGTTATCATTAAAAAAAAAAAAAAAAAAAAAAACACATTACAGCACAGTTCATTCAACCCCACTAACATGGAAAATAAATTATCAATCAATTCCAGTTATCAGGAAAATCAGAGGTTCCAATACCCTTCAATTCCCAAACATCAAGCGTATCTGATACGGTTGATGATAATAGATAATCCCTGAAACCCATGATCTCAGATGTTAACTCTGGTTTACGCTCCTGCAAGTAAGCACAAACATGTCAGCTCATACGAACCTCAATAATTTCCTAGGCATAAATCTAACTAAGACAAACAACAAAATTTTATATCTAAATGTTGATTCATTGATATCAAACAGATAGATTAGAAAATGTCATCACTCATCACAAATATAGAATCAAGGTAACATTATGCTCGCTTAATAAGAAAACAGGTATAATAAAGTAAAATGGATAAGAGAAAGCTACAATTGTGATATCTTGAATTTAAAACAACATCCATGACATGAATGGTACGAGCTTATTAGCATATTTATGTAAACTATCAATTCCTGATATACAATATCGAGTCTCAATTTTAAGGTGAATTGTGGGAACCATAGTTTCAAAGAGAAAATAAACTAGCAAAAGGCCTTTTTACAATTTATTCTCCAGTCTCTAGAGTGATGCAGTTGATGTTTTCCTGTTTGTTCTGGTTATGTTTCTATTTTTATCTCTTTTTTTATTTCTTTTTCTCATGTTGTTTGGGCTCTTCAAAGGCTAAACTGTAAACATCTAATGTACTAGTGTTTTCTTCTGACACTTTTAACAACAACAAAATTGTCATTTACTCCTAAAATCAAAAGCAAATAAAAAGCCACTTTCTCCCGTTAGCATTTGTCAAACTAAAGCATATACCACTTAAAATCGGTGGGGTGGGGACTAAAGCATACTCCCCATTCTAACTTAATATACAAAAAACGGAGACCTAATTGATAGTGCCTACAAATATCAGTTTTCTTTTACACGTGTATGATGAAAAACAAATGTAGGTGAGATTGTACAAACCAGAATTTTAGAGAATATGAATCCTCTGACTTCTTGGCTAAGATCTTCAGTGCGGGGATCCTCTAAAGTTACTCCTGCAACCCACAACTGTATTAATAAAGCAATTATTCACAAAATACATGTAACCTATTCTTGTTACTAAAAAAATTTACCTGATCATTTTATTTGGATGAAATATGTATTAAACAGATAAACAAATTTGTTAATCCTAAATTAATTAAAATTAGGAAATATTTCTTTTTAACCATCTGTTTTCAAAATCAATAATCAAAACTTATAAGACTTTCAGACTTGAAAGTCAAAGCCAGAACACAACAGGAGTATACATTGAGAATCAGCACGCATTACCTACAAAACGAACCAAAATTACATGAAAAGGAAAAGTAAAGGCGAGAGAGAGAACTTTCGTGGAGGGGGTTAAGAAACAAAATAATCATATTCTAGAGATAGCAAAGCAAACATTGAGATAATACATAAAAATTAAAAGAAAGAAAGAATACAGTATATTTTCTCTAATAATATGATGAAACTTCCAAAATTATGATTTAAGCTAAAAATTGAAAGGGAAAACAAAGCAATTACAATTCATCACTGCCAACTTTCGACAACAAAATTGCATCTACATTCAAAATATAAAACCTCATACAGCATGTCAATCATTCCAACCTTTTTTAATTGTACTGTCATCCATGGCCTTATATTCCATATTCTTTAAAGCAAGTTCCACACCATAACCACCCAAGTTTACTGACTCGCTTGCACCAACAGAGCCACAGTGGCCGAAATTTGCTTCACATCCAGCTGGCAACACGGGTCTTACTACATACTTAACTTTTCCCTAAAAATATTAGGGCGACATATCAACATTTGCACAGGAAACAAATATAATCATTACAAGAGTGTTTTTGGGAGAATTACAAATACCGAACTCTTAATAAAAAAAATTACTTTGAAGGAATCATAACCAAATAGGCAGTTGTTTTTTACGACAATTTGATAAATATACTTATCTTCTCTGTGTTGATCAATTTGTTCAATTAAAAAAATAAAATAAAAAGAAGACAATATATGATACACAATAGGAGTGGCTATTTTTATTTTTTTTTGGTAAGCGGAGTGGCTATTTTTCCTTCATTGGAATTCTCCCAGTTTTTTCCAATCTTAATAGTTAATAATCTAATATATGGAAATGTTATACATCCATATCTGTACAATTTTTTCTCTTGTCAATTTCTTCTCTATGTATAGCTATACTTTCTTTTTTGGGATATTGATGTAGCTCAATTCTGAATCTGTAACTGATATTTTCATTTAATCCAAGTCTTTTATTAATGAAATTTATAATTTATCTTTTGTGCTTAAAGCCTTCTTGAACAGGCCATTCATTGATTGAACATGGGATTAAAGGAATATTGTATGCTTTAATGCCTTGTAGCTTAAGAAAATTATGATGACAGTCTATTAAGCATCACACTGCACTAAACTCTAAAATTGATTTGCTTTCACCAGGATATTACTTGGGATCAAACCATATGAACACAATCATTTATTTGGTAAAACATAAGGAGATTTCAAGGGAGAGAAGAGATGGCGAAAGAAACTTATAAATTAAAGTAAATGATATAAATTGCACCTGAATTATGAGAAATAGATAATCTAAGTTATATAAATGTGGTCATTTCAGCTTCAGCATGAGTACTGAATTGTGCTAGTAATAAAATGAAAGTAGAATATTGTTCCTAACAAGAATCAAATTTTCCAAGAACAAATTTGCTACTTTAGCTGTATTTGAATGACTTAATATGAATCGAAGGGAGACCTCACCTGGTTGTATAACAGAAAACAAAAGGAAGGAAAAGAAACAAATACACAACTATTAATCTATTTATCGTGTCGTAGATTTCATAATGTAGAGAAAAACATTGAGATATTAATTACACTCAATTCATTCCCCGTAAACAGAAAATCAAGGAATGGACCTGTTTAGCAGCTCCAACAAGAGCAGTGTGAAACTCCTTAAAGCATACGGTCCCCAGAGCGCCATAAAGGATAGCGACAGGACTTCCAGAGCTTGAATCAAAATGAACATGATCAAAATCAAACACTTCAGGTATCTGAAATGAATCGCCCAGCCTGATGACAAAAGATTAAAGGTTTAACGAAATTCATGCAGCTCACTATTAAAAACAACTTTGAAATAAAACCAAAAAAAAGAACAGAACATGAAATGAGAAGGACACAAAAGCAAAAGATAGCAGCAGCACTCACGGTTGAGCAGGGTTTTGAAGCCACAACAGTAGCTCAGAAACCTCAAAAAACAAGTGTTCACCAGTATCCACCCAACAACATTTTCCATCAGGACTTTTAAGGTTAACACCAACACGCAGGGGATCTAACTTTGTAATTTCAGTGTCGTTTTCAGTTTCCACATTTTCCTCATAGTTAGGAAAAGATGAAAGAGAGTCATGGCCTAATTGGCGATAAAGCACCAACCTAGGGGATGCTGATCTCAGAATAAGAGAGAACTCAAACAACGACGCTAATGGTTCTCTTAACAAAGTGCGTCCGTATTCTAAAATTCTCTTAACACAATCTTTAGCTGCATGAGAATGAGAAGTAGTAACATCCTCGTCAGCATTAAGCCAAATGTCAATGAAGTCCCAGAAAAGGTGTTGCTGTTCTTTAGATAATAATTCACTGTTTCACACAAAGATAAAGGCAAGGAGAATCATTGTTCCTGTGATCTGAATTGAATTGAATTGAAGGGATAATAAATTTGAAAAAGAGAGAGAGAGAGAGAGATGAACATACCCAGCTTCTAAAAGCAAAGGAGTACCAGACCACTTAGCACGAAGGGCAGTTTGGACATTCTTAGGCTTTGGAGTGTCAGCGAAAGTTGAAGTTGAAGCAATCCCCAAACAAGACACAACCACAATCAGAACCCAATATGTTCCAGATCTACGACAACACTCCATTTCCGACAAAATGAAACTCAAGCACCCGAGGCGGTGGCGGCGGCGGCGACACGACAACGCCGTTTAGGTACCGGTGAAGTTCAAGCACCTAGTCGCATGTTGTTATACTAAGATTGAGAGTACCATGGCCACGTCATATTGTGTGACATATTCGCTATATGGTTATTGGTTCCATTTGGGAAGAAGTGGGTCACTCGGCCCAACTGGTCCAATCCAGGTCACCCCTTAATATTTCAGCTCTATAATTCTAATTCCAAAAAAGTAAAATAAAAGAAAATAAAAAAATAAGAGTTTTAATTTTGATGTACTATAATGCCAAAAGAAAATACACTATAATTAAATGATATATTGTCACATTATTTAATGAGGTTGACAACTCATACCGCTCAATATACACATTATTAAATGATACTATAAATAATGGGAGAAGTGTTTGTCATTTTAAATGATATAAAATTATGTCATTTTAAGAAAGATAGACACAGAATAAATTTTTTTATTTAAATTTTAAATTAAAAAAAACCACTCACGTTCTCTCTCCCATGATTTTCATTTTCTGTGTCTATCTCTTTCTTAAAATGACATAATTTATGTCATTTAAAATTATAAACACCAGACCTATAAATAATACAGCATTAAGCTAAAATGTCAATGATGTCCCAGAATTTAACTTAGGCCAATTTTATACAAACTAGAAGTTACTCAAATTGATTCGTTTACTTAAACATCTTTTACTTATTCTTTCAGTTAGTTCCTACAAATCTTAATTATAAATAATTTACTTGTTTACATTATATGAAAAAAAATTAAACTAATTTATTATAAAATATTTTTCATTTAAAATAAATTAATGTTTAAAAGTAACATTTTAGTATACTTCAAGATAAAAATTCCATAATTCTTATATTTGAAAATTGATATTTTAATTATGCCAATCGTTAAGTCAATTTATAATCAAGCCACGCCAAGCTAAATTTTGTGCTGAAATTTTACTTTTTTTTTTTGTCCGGCCATTTTCGGTTGGTCCTTTCAAAGACAAACTATGATGAAAGTTCTATAATAAATAAAAATTACTTTATGCATCTGTGTCATTCAAATTATCCAGTACCGGATGCATTATAATCACAATGGCTTTTGCATTGATATTTGAGGCAAATAGAAACAAAGAGAATCAGACAACTAAACCCGCGTTTAAAGAAGGATTAGTCTCAGATCAAAAAGAGATAGGCAAAAAATCGTGGTTTTAAGAACATAGAAGCTTGTATTGATTTCCTGTCATTATAGAGGGAAGAAATCCTCGAATCTACTGCTATTATGAGCATAAAAAATCTAAACCATATATACATCTTTTATACACAGGAAAATTCATCTAAACTACTATTTTAGTCTCACTAGCTGATTAGTTATCATTGACTTAATTTAAAATTAACGGCAAATAATTTTTTCTGTTTTTTAACCGTTGATTTTAAATTGATCAAATGATAATCAATCAGGTAGTAAAAGTAGTAAGCCTAAAATGATAGTAAATATAACCGTCTCTCGACTATATACCAAAACTATTTTAATCGGGATAAGAGCAAACAGGATACACAAATTGAAAGTTTAAAAAAAAAAAAAAAAAAAAAAAAAATTGCTTTTGTTCCATGCAATGGCCTGCATATGAAAAAAAATAATAGGCTCCATTCTGGACTTTCGGATCCATTTGAAGGGCTCAGCTCTCACTTAATGGACCTGTTTTAAGCATAACGAAATGGCAGAATATTTATGGAAATCCAATGCAGGATAACATAAGAAATTAAAGAAGAAACATAAAAAAATAGGAGAGACTTTGCTGAGGGGGAAAGGAATAGTAAAAACAGCCCAAAATCACTTCAACTAGTAAAAATACCACTAGCACCAATGTTAACATTTTCCTTTATATACTGGAGTCTTTATTTGTGCCTTGTTTTACAAGAAAATAAACGAAAGTGAAAAATGGAACCTTCTTTTTACAAGAAAATTTTACAATGTCCTAAACTATTCTATACCTATTCCCAGCTACTTAGTGAAACTTAGCTTCCTGGGTAGCTGATCTTAAGAGATACTCATGGTTGGCATTATAACACACTGCCACAATAAGACCCTATTATTGTCATTGCTAGCTTCAGTCTTGAGATCTTGAGAGTAGTTGCTGGGACGAAAATCATTTGTACCATTATACTCATCAGATTATAAACCTCAAATGAAGTCATGTTACCAACATGATTTGATTAGACTGAGGGCAGACCTTAGAATGGATTAACAGCTTCCACCTCTCTACATTTTAAGCAATGTAAGGAATTAAGGTAACTTGTTCATTACCTGAGCATGTCTCCATTGCGCAATTTGGGGCCGCTTAATGCTGGAGATATGCTAAAAGTATTGCCATCATTATAAAATGCAGGATGCCCAAGAGGCATAGGCCTATCCGGGATTTGGGGAACCTCAATATCACCTTCTAACATCTTCAAAGCATCAGCAATTGTTGGCCTCAAAGCAACCATTACATGAGAACATAGAATTCCTACCAGCAAGAACCTTTCCATTATGCTCTTTGGATTTGAACTGGGAAAGTTTTCATCTTTTAACAGGGAAGCATCCAAAGCCTCGTCTATATTCCCAGATTTCACCAATGACCAAGCCCAATCCGTGATCAAGAATGCCCTCGGTGATCCTCCTGAAGACAAGTCAAGAGCTTTCCTCCCACACATTATCTCCAAAACAACCACACCAAAGCTATAGACATCACTCTTCTCAGTCAGCTGACCATAGAGTGCATATTCCGGTGCTAGATATCCATGAGTTCCGGCTACTCTGGTAGTAAGATGAGACTGACCCTCCCTACTTTGTTTAGCAAGCCCAAAATCTGCAACTCTTGCCCTCATATCTTCATCAAGTAGTATATTGGTGGCTTTGATATCCCTGTGATAAATTGCAGGTTTAACTCCATAGTGCAAATAAGCCAACCCCTTTGCCACATCCACGATTATGCTTTTTCTTTGAGGCCAAGTCAATGAATTCTTTGCTTTTTGAGGGTCCGTTGATATAAAGAGATGGTCTTCCAGGTTTCCATTTGGCATGTAATCATAAACAAGATATCTTTGGCTACCGCTATCATCATAATTCTTACTCTCATGCTCATCAGCCACACAACAGCCTCTAAGCGGCACCAGATTACGGTGCTTCAAGTTGCTAATAATCTCCACCTCATTACAAAACTCAACATCCCCTTGAAAATCAGATTCTAATATCCTCTTAACTGCTACCACTGATCCATCAGACAAGGTTCCCTTGAAAACCAACCCAAACCCACCTCGCCCTATGAAGTTCTTAGTTGAAAAATTATCAGTAGCCTTCTCAAGCTCCTCAATTTTGAACCAAATCGACCCTGTATTAGGCCTCAATCTACGCCTAGACCCTGGTTCTTCAGGGTCAAAATCAAATTGAAAAGTCTCAAGCTTTTTCCTCCTATGCTTCCTGTCATACCAGACATACAGCGCCAACAAAGAAGACATAACTAGCAATGCTACACCAGCTCCTGTCAACCCAAACACAAGAGCCTGGTGACTCTTTCCACCAGAACCCACTTGTGAATAAACCGGTATACTAAAAATGCAAGTCACAGCACCATTGCTTTCAGGTCCAAACTCATTCACAATTCCAGCAGCATAAAGAATTGCGAAGTAGAAACAATCTAAGGAATGTGAAGCATTCCCATCAATGGAAATAAGCTTCTGCTTTACCTGTAAGCCCGCAGCCACGCACACATCACAGAGAGAAAGATCAGTGAGATCTGATTTACAAGCAGTGCTGAGTGGCGTGTTCTGACCAAGCTTGCTGATCCAATCTGGGACAGTTTGAATACCTGCACAGATGTTAGGTGAGATAACAAACTGATGAGGGTCAAAGCATGAGTTGGCCAGGTTATTGGGGAGTGAGAGGGATGTGAGCTTGGATTGGAAGTCATCAAGGCATGAAATTGAGGTAGCAACGTTGGGAAGGTTGAATTGAGAGGTTTCTTTCAGGTGCTGTGCAAAAGCTATTGCAAATAGGGACAACAGAGATGTGCAACAAATGTTTGTGTTTGCTTCATTTTTTGATGCCATAGCTTGGAAGTTTTGGCAAGAAGAAGAGTTCCATGGGATTCTCAGAACATAATTCAGGTCCATAGGACATGTGGATGTATTTGTGGATGTGGCTGGGGAAGGAGAAGTGGTTGCTGTTGCTGAGCTTATACATAAAAACATTGCTAAGAGCAAGGGAAGCAATATCATCACAACAATCTTCATCCTTTTTGAGATTCACAACTATGATTGTGAATTAAAAGTTTAAAACTTATATATACTACCCTCCTCTTTCACAAGCTTGATGTTTTTGTTTCTACTTTCTATTCATGAACGTGGGACTGATTTTTGGGTTCTAGATGAGACAATAGATAGAAAAGAATGAGAATCTAGAAAAAGGGACGCTTATTTGTGAACCATAATGATCGGAAGTTGCGTTTAAGGAAGATGTATGTGAAGGATGTGAAGGTAATCAATCAATAAGGTTAGTCAAAAGCTCATCTTTCCTCTGATTTTCTGGCTGGTGGCTGTGTTAGGTGTGTGTGTTGTTTTAACTCAGCTTTCAAGAGAGGAAAGTGCAAACAACGCGCGACATGGAGGAGGAGAATAAAGAGCATCATTGCAAGTAATCTATTCACGCGCTTTAGTCATGGGCGGCTACAAACGTTGCTACTCGCTAAAGTAAGGTGTGCTCTGACTTTGCCACTTAGCACAGTGCATGTTGATTAGTAATAGTAACAAAGAAGGAATACAATGATAGATATGAGATATTTATATATATATATTATCCCATGTCATGACGTAATTGTAATTGAACTTTAACATAAAATAAAAGAAAAAACAACCTGTCTGTGTGAGATGTATGGAACGGTAACCAAACTATCATGTTTTTAGCAAATTTTTATGAATCTATCACGTAAATATTACTTTTATTATACTTGAAGTTTGTTATAACTGATAGAGAATTTGATACCCAATAATTTCATAATATTGTGGAACATTTTGTTACGTGTCCAAATTCGCTATGAATGGTTGGAAACTTTATAATCAATAATTTCGTGACACATAACATACTTAGCACGAAAAGTTGATTGGACTAAGTTCGCTATCATGGGTGACAAACTTGATGTGCTATATGGCACAATCTCGTTGCTCGATCGGAATCACCAATCACAAATCACAATTAGTATACGAACGAGATTAACTTTTGATTGTACCAATCACAATTAATGTATCACTACTAATCACTTCAGAAGGTCATAACTTTTGATTCGGATATCCAAATCAGACCATTTTTTATTTTATTTCAAATAATTTTTCGAGATCTACGCAATAATACCTCATTTGGCATATTTTATCTCTCACAAACATCGTTTGAATTTGTAACAATAATATCATAAACAATTAATGTACCAATTACCAATCACAATTAATATACCAATCAAAATTAATTATGTTTGGTACATTCACTGTGATTGGTGATTGATACATTGATTGTAATTGGTACATTAATTAAATGGGGAAAATATTTCTGCAGTTAATGCAGATAAGTTATCTGCATTTATTCTCAAACGGCGTCATTTTGGTATTGAAATCTTAAAAAAATATATAAATATAAAGACAAATATAACCCTGAAATAAATTAAAATTACAAAAATACCATGATTTTCGCCTAAAACGACGTCGTATTGGGCTTACTGCAGATAACTTATCTGTAGAAAAAGTGAATCATTTTTAGCCATTTTCCTTCGTTTTCTTTTTTTTTATTGTGACATTAATTTTTATCGGGTAACGAGATTGTGCCACATAGCGCACCAAGTTCACTACACTTGGTAGCAAACTTAGTCCAGTCAGCTTTTTATGCGAAAGTATGTCACGTGTCACGAAATCATTGGCTCTCAAGTCCGCTACCAGTCGTAGCGAACTTGGACACATGGCAGTGAGCTTCTTCTACAAAAGTGTGTCACGTGTCACGAAATCATTGGTTACTAAGTTCGCTAATAGTCGTAGCCTATGTAGCACCGATACGACTCGCAACACGTGACACGACACTCCGACACGTCAATCCTAAAAAATATATATATTTCGACACATTGGGACACGTTCTAATATTAAATAATAATTTTAATTTATATAGCGTATATTTCATTTAATATTCAATAATTTAACCAAAAAATGAAACTAAATTAATAATACACATCAACACGTTATAAAGTTGGAAGCTTTAATAAAAAAAATAGGAACTGGGATGAGAGAGAGATAATATCAGATAGAGAGATCAAATTATTTTAGAGAGAGAGATAAGAGAGAAGGAGATACAACAAGAGCGTAATAGGAATTGACAACAATGATGCTAAGATGATCTCTTATCTACTTAAGGAAAAAAAGACAAAAAAATAAAATTGATATGATCAGGTAGAAGCTTTATTAATATATTTTAATTTTTTTTTTAAATAATTTTTTTAAAAAAATAATTACAAAATAATAATTTAAAAAATAATAATAATTTTTTTACGAAAATGTCATTTGACCGTGTCAAACACAGTCAAATTCGCGTGTCGAAATGGTCAACGTGTTGGGAATTTTGACCGCGTGTCGGCGTGTCGGACACGACACTCCCTGTTTTTTGAAGTGTCCGTGCTTCCTTGGTCGTAGCGAACTTCAACGTGTGGCAGTCTAATAAATTTTATTGTTCGCGTGATAATTTGATATATATATATATATATATATATATATATATATATATATATATATAAGGGTGGCAAAACAGGTTGGCCCGCCCCGACCCGTCCCGACCCGCTGCCAACCTGTCAAAAGTGGGTTGGCTCGCCCCGCCCCGCCTCTTGAATTTGGGTTGAAAATCCCAATCCGTCCTGTTTTATGGTGGGTTGGCGGGTCAACTCGCTTAAAAAATAAAAAACAATTAAAAATAAAAAATAAATTATATTTTATTAATATTATAATATTACTTATTTTCATATCACATTTCTCCTAATTTTTTTTCAATCTTAAGTCTAAATGTATGTTAATATTTAGTCAGATATTATTTACAAACTTATTTTTATCTCCGTACATAAATTACCTTTGTCATAAATAAAATTTTTCTTTTATATTTTTTCTAGAGAGTACTAAGATAACAAAAAATTGGATATCACAAAAGCTTAAAAACAAATAAAACACTGCCTAAAAGTAAAAAAAAAATAAAAAAATTGACCCGATGGGCCAACTCGCCTTGACCCGTCGCCAACCCGTTTTGACCCACAACCCAACGGGCGGGTTGGTGGGTTTAAATATGTAACCCAACCCGCCCCGTTTCGGCGGGTTAGTGGGTTGACCCGTTGGGTTCAACCCATATTGCCACCTCTATATATATATATGCCAAAACGTGGCACATTGATCACTGTTTCGAGATCTGTACTCAATAATTATATGATATATAAGTAGGATTTTACTTCTCTTATGTACTAGGAGAAACGTTATTTTATATTGTGAGATAAATAGAGTAAAGTATATCATTTTTTTTTTTTAAAAACACATCTTTTTATATGAGTGTAACATGAGAGATGAATATTATGTAATATGAAAGGGTTCATTTTCCTGTTGTTACTGTAGATAAGTTATCTACAGTAAGCCCAATACGACGTCATTTTGGGACGAAAATCATGGTATTTTTGTAATTTTAATTTATTTCAGAGTTATTATAGTCTTTATAATTATAATTTCTTAATTTTTCAATCCCAAAACGACGTCGTTTTGAAAGTAAATGCATATATTTTATCTACATTAACTGCAGAAATATTTTTCTGAATAGAGTTCACTTTTTTTGCAGTTACTGTAGATAAGTTATCTGTGGTAAGCCCAATACGACGTCGTTTTGAGACGAAAATCATAGTATTTTTGTAATTTTAATTGATTTCAGAGTTATTATAGTCTTTATATTTATAATTTTATAATTTTTGAATCCCAAAATGACGTAGTTTTGAAAGTAAATACAATTGCAAAAATATTTTTCTGTTTAAATAATGCAACTTATGTCTTTTTTTTTGTAAATACAATTTATGTCATTTTACTCTTACAAAAGGATGAAATCTATATTTATATTTTTTTTGTCTATTATATCATTTAAAATAATACACATTTTTCGTGTAAGTAATTTACAAAGCAGCAACAATTCAGATTTTCAGTGGAGGTTCTATTTTGTGCTTGAATAAAAACCTAATGACACGTGATCATCCCTAAGAATAAATCTTTGGTATTATTGCTGTACTAAAGATTTAGTGTATCTCACTAATGAAAATATTATATGTTAATAAATTTTTTGTCTGTCAAATTTTTTCTTTCTCCTCTTATATATAATTCTTTTATTGATGAGATGCACTGAATCTAGGTGATATCAAAAATTTATTCACGCTAGTAGTACTGTTTAGAAGCCGAATGGTCTTTGCAAAGAAGGTCAAGCCAAAAAAGATATTGTGAGGGTGTGAATGAATGACTAGTCAGTGACTGAGACTTGTAGACAATGGAATTCCAACGTGTAATGATGTTGGTGCCATGATTTTCAAATCTTTGAAAACCGCAACGTTTGCCGACATCAACATTTTGCAGAGAAATTGTTCATTTCAATGAAGCTGCTCTGTTTCTCTTTCAGTGAAACTCATAATCTGTTTGACTCTTCCAATTTATTTTCCAGAGCCACCTTTGTTTTCTACTCACGAGTGGGTAATATTAAATATATTTTAAAATTCTTACATATTAAATCCGTATTTTTGGTTTAATATTTATTATTCTGAATTCTTTGACCAATGTTTGACATCACTGCTTACCGACGCCTTTTTCATAATACTGCATAAAGTAACTTTTATTAATGCGACTAAAGCTCATTAATTATATAAAAAATAATTGGTGTAATATTAATTTAATTAATTTTATGATTAATGCCGTTTTATGACAAATATATATATATATATATATATATATATATATATATATATTGTAGTGCTTATTGATTTTATTTTCTCTTTTTATTTTGTTTAACATTTCATTAATACATATTTCTGGATTAGTGTTGGATGACTATATTTTTTTATTTTTTTGTTACATAATATTTATATTAGTGGAAGGCATGCTTTGTGAAGATCAGCAACTTCAATAAAATTTTATAATAGCCTGTCAAAAGAGGAAAATTTTAGATTTTATTTTATTTATACTTAGAGAGAAGAGATATAAAGAAAATTATCCACTTAAATACCCTCCCTCGGTGGTGGAAGTGTATTCTGTAATGATCTTGCAGTTCCTCTTTCTCCTTTCTTTGGCTTAATATGTTTTTGGATTAAAATTTTCTATTACATTAACGAAACTAATTATATGAAAAATAATCAAGTTTGATATTACATAAAAGAAAAATGGATGTGATTGAAAACTAGAGGGAATAGCCTGAATGATTTTAAAAAAAAAGACAAGTTAAATAGATATATCGTTATCATTCCACATAGACATTCTAATTAAAACAAGATTAAAAATCTTGAATTGAGAAGGACTTATTGAGTTGACTTTTTTGCTGACACATTCAGAATTTAATTATAAGTAATAAAGAGTATATAATCTGATTTGGTAACGAGTAATGATAGATGCATAATTTTCCTTCTTTTGAAAAAAAAATAAAAATCACCCGGATATTAAATTAAGGGTAGGAAAGTTTTCATGCATTGCTTTTACACACAGTACAAAGCCTTTCTGCCGCCACCCATTGGGATGTTTGTCAGGTATATTTGTATAACATTTATGCGATTTTTAATGTTAAAGCTCGCCCAATATATTAATGACGCATTGTTGGATTCAAATGTGTTAGAGATATAATATAAAATAAAATTATTGAAGATCCATCAGTTACAGTATTAAGCTGTTTAGTTGAATTTGTGCTTATATCATGATTTCACAACCAAGGTGACCACAAAGTAAAAAACTGATCAGACCAAAACGAAAAACATGCCACTGTGAAACAATAGTGAATGGTTCACAAGCTGATAGTCTTTTCACTAATAAAAAATATGCGTTTTTTTTTTTTTTTTTGCTGCTCAACTAAACAAAGATAACAAGCATAATGGACCTTAGCTATTTGGCAGCACATACATTGGCCCAAATAAAAAATAAACAGCACGTTTACAAGCCCATTTGACAAAAGAACAAATATAAAATATAGAAAAAATATTTGTCATTTTAAAAGATATAATTTTGTGTTATTTTATATCTTAACCATTAATTTTCGTCAATCAACGGTTAAAATTTATTGAATTTTCTTATGAATTAATAATTAATTAATAAATTTGACCCAATAAATTCTGACCGTTGATTGACGAAAATCAACAATTAAGATCTAAAATGACATAAAATTATATCCTTTAAAAGGATAAATATTTTTCCCATATAACATGTTTAGGAAATAAACTAACAGTCTAAAACTCGAAAATCAAAGTAACCTTCACGAGAAAGTATTTATCAATTTAATTTAAATTAGTTTCATTTGTTTTATTAGCAAGATCAAAGTGTCAATGGCAACAACGTCGGATTTTCTTACATTGCTCGTTAGGGGTGTTCATCAACCGATCCAAACCGATTCAAACCGCAGTTACCGAACCGAAAAACCGATAACCAAATAAATCGAAAACCGAAAAACTGAAAACCGAAAAAAAACCGTAAATTTTAATTGGATTGGATCAGTTTTCGGATGAGTAGATGAAAATCGATCCAATCCAAACCGATCCAATATATTAATTTTCCTATACTTACTTGGGTCTTTCCCTAATCATAGCCTAAAAAATTCTAAACACAAGACCCATTAACCCATCAACTAAACCCAAGAAAAAATCTAGTTACATCTCATCAACAAAATTTTATCTATGTAGAGCTTCATATCTCATTTTCCGAAGAAAAAAAAAACTATATTATCGTTTGATGATACTTTTGCATTTAATTTTTTTTACAAAGCCAATATATACAAAAGATGTTATTTGCACAATAATCATGAAACAAATTTTAGGATTTTCAAAAAATCGAAAACCAATCCAATCCAAACCGAAAAAAATTGGATTGGATCGGATCAGATTTGAAAAAAATCCAAACCTAATGGATGATTACATGATCAAACTGAAGGGATTGGATCAGATGATTTTTGCTTCCAAAACCGATCCAATCCAGACCGCGAACACCTCTATTGCCCGTCGAGATTTCAAGATGTCACGTGCTATCATTCCGATTATGTCTTTAAATATTAATTAATTTTATAAATAATAATTAGTATCTAATAATTAAAATAATAAATAATAAATAAATTATTTTTTAGATTAAAAATAAATTTATTGAATCAGATAATAATTAACACTTTAAATAATTCATTTATCCAACTCAATAATTTAAGAATAAATTTAAAAATATTAAATTTATTATTGATAATAACAGTTCAATTTAGTATTTATTTATTTTTCCTTTCGTTTAAACAAATTCAAGTATAATAATAATTAAATTAGATGAGTGATACCAATTTAACATTATCATTTTTGTATTATGGTTCTAATTTTTTTGTGATGATTAATCTATATCTTACTAATGTTGTATTAGGATTTGAAATCTAAGAAATCAGGAGAAGTTTATGTTTCAATAGATAAAAATTTTAATCATACAAAGTCTTCGCACTTTATCAAATATTTATATTTTTCGATGAATACAAAAAGAAAAAGATAAATCAATCATTAAATTATAATTTTTGAAAATAAATATAATATTTTTTAATACCAATTTTTAAAATAATTATTATTATTTTATTCTTAATTTTAATTATTAGATACTAATTACTAAAATCCACCTTTTAAAATAATTTGAATCCTTGAATAAAAAGGAAGAAAAATAAATAAATTATCATTATTAATAATAAATTTAATATTATTTTGAGATGGTAAATTTGACATTTTTCAAATTTGCAGAATTTTGAATAAAAATTATTTAATATGTTAATTTCTATTTTATTCAACAAACTCAATATTAATTTTTAAAATAATAATTATTAATCATTTATAATTATAATTATTAAATATTTAATATTTAATATTAATTAATATTTAGAGAGCATAAGTAGAATAATTGCCCACATGTTAGCATTAGGTCGTGTTTGGTACTCGGATTTTTTGTAAAAGTCTGGGAAACTGAGCTTAGGTAAATTGAAATCCTATGTTTGGTAGCCAAAAATTGAAAATTATTCCAGATATATTTTTTGTTCCTGGATTTCATTCTGCAGTGTAAATGAGAGTACAGATACCAGCTCAACAATACCACAGATTTATTGGCTTTTTTGGTTTCCGGAGGAAGTGATAAATTGATAAAAAATTCTGGACCAAATTAACCCTACGTTTGTGAAGTCTGTGAAGAAACTTTAATTTTTTGGGTTCAAAGCACTGAGGAAGAGATAATCAGATCTCAAGCTCAGCCTTCAACCATCTTTTTGATCGAAGCACCTGTAGTAACAACAATAAAAAAAATGAAAAATGAATGAGTTGAATTGACCTGTAAGAGAAGAAAAAATCAGAAAGAGCTCAACCAAACACTTTTGGGTGGTGACGTGGTGGCCGAGAAATGGGTGGCAATGGAGGCGAGAAGAAGAAACAAAGCTCTGAACCTAATCGTTTATGATTTGAACGTGGCTCAAAAAGCTGTACAAAAAAAATGAAACTGGGGTTATTTTTGTAAAATAACCCCACATTCCTACTATTTTTAACAATCAACCAAACATTAACTTAGTAAACTAACTCAAATATTCCAGGACAAATTTTAGTCAACCAAACACACTTTTATAATTTATCCGCAAAAAACTATTTCAGCCCACATTTCTGCAAAATTAGTTTCCCAGTTAAAAAAATATTTCTCCCATACCAAACGCCCCCTTAGTCTCGCTCGTATTTGCCCACATATTAAAGGGCACATCGATCGAAAAGCTGGTTTTTTAAGTTAAGTTATTTTGTTTTTTTCTGAACAATATTATATGGTGAATTGGAGGCTAAATAAATTACATATTACATCTAATCTTAAAGTACGGTAAAAGATTTTAAGTTATCGGCTAAATTATTGAGGAAAAAAACTTAAAAAACCGGTATGCAATTTTTGTTAATATTATGTTCGTAAGTGTGTATATATACTGTTTATATACATATAAAGTTCTCTAATATTGTATTATTTTCGTATCCAAAAAAAATAAAATATTGTATTGTTTTATTGAAGAAATTGTTAATTATTGCATATATTATATTATCCACCATCTAAAATTTGGCCAAATAAAGATAAGACCAAAATGATGGGTTTGTTGAAGACAACCGTAACAAGAATTCTAATTACAAGTTAGTTTAGCAAAAGTTGTGTCTTGAAAAGAGATTATTACGTCTCACCACACCAAATATAGGGTTAAGTCCACGTAACATGAAATTCAGGAAAAAAAAAGAAAACACAATCAAGCGTGCCTGTTTAAACGCTTCTTAACCTTTGTTTCCATCAAGCTCTTTCTCTTTCTCTGGATATTGTCACCACCACCTTCTTATCTTCTTCTTTTTTCATCTCTCTCACATTGCCAATACCTTAATTCTATTCCCTTCCCTTTTCATTCCAATCCAATGGGAGACCACGTACGCTCCCCAACATTGGATTTGCATAACATCTTTAAGATTCCAAAAACTAAATCCATAAAAGACATGGGCAAGGCTTACAAATCGCTTGTATCCAAACGACACCATGACAAGAAAACCCCCGAGGTAATCTTAAATTTGTGCATGCTCCTTTTTTTTATATAACCTGGATGGTATCCTCATTCAACCTCCCTCGATCACTTTGTCCTTGGAGTACGGCTCAAAGGCTATCTCTCGTTACAACAACAGGTGCATTGAGCTTCGCTCCTGGAGGAAGGATGAGATTAATCCCTCCTTCGAGGAGAGAGGCATTGTGCATGCTCCTTAACTATAACATTTCTCACACAAGTTTCATCTCATCATGCATTTTTGGAACAACACATCTAATAATTAACCTGGATCATTGTTGTAAACTTTTTAGTTTCATCTCTTCATGATATCTTATGCATGCAGGAGCCAATAACACCCTCAAGATTTGAGCAAAATGATAATAAAAGAGTGGATGAAGATATTTGGAGTCCTAATTTTTTGTCAAGGGCTGCAAGTAGAAGATCTAAAACGCCAACACCAAAAAGGGCTTCATCAAGACATGTAAACAGGAGATGCACAACACCAACACCAACGTCCTCTCTATCAAGAAGTTCTAGTCCAAAGAGTGCAACAGAAATTGCTACATCATCTCTCAAAAGGATTATGAGCAGAAGGAGTACCTCAGCTTCATTATCAAGGAGCACAAGCAAATTGGATATCTCTGAACCTGAGATGATTAACCATGCAGCTTCTCCAACAAAGGATGTGGGCATAAGGGGTACCAGGGAAACTGAACATGTCTCTGCAGTCTCTCTGTCAAGCAATCTCAGCCGTAGATCCACAACACCTATCATATTTTCACAGACAACAGCTAGAAAGAAACCCCCAGGAGTTGAGAAAAAGCTCCTTTGCACACTTGAGGACTTATGCTTTGGACGCATCAAAAAGATTAAAGTTACAAGAGATGTTATCAAACATCCCGGGTATGCTACTCTCACATGATCTTAAAAGATAAATTTTTTGTGTTGCAAAAACTGTTGTGATTAGGCAATTGCATATATGATCATGCTATGGAGCATAAATAAAATTTCGAATTAAAAGCAATGACAGTTTGGTAAAAGAAAATTTTTATTTTCTGCTAAACAAGAAAGAAATTTTTGTGGTAACATCTGATTAGAAGGAAATTTACTAACTCAATTTTGCAACAGGGTAATTATCCAAGAGGAGGAGATTTTAAAGATTGAAGTGAAGCCCGGATGGAGAAAAGGAACAAAGATTACATTTGAGGGAGTTGGAGATGAGAAACCAGGATACCTCCCAGCTGATATAGTATTCTTAATTGATGAAAAGAAACACCCTTTGTTTAGCAGAGAAGGCAATGATTTGGAAATATGTGTTGAGATTCCTCTAGTGGATGCACTTACAGGCTGCTCCATACCAATTCCTATATTAGGAGGGGAAAATATGACTCTGTCATTTGAGAATATTGTCATATACCCTGGTTATGAGAAGGTTATTCAAGGTCAAGGCATGCCAAACCCCAAAAATAATGGGAAAAGAGGTGACCTTCATGTCAAATTCCTCATTGACTTCCCCACAGAATTAAGTGATGAACAACGGGAAGAAGCTGTTAGCATTCTACAAGATTGTTGCTGATGACCATATATAGTTTTATGCAGATGGACCAATTTGCTACAATCATGATACAGGACAAAAAAATATTTATCTATGGTACCATGCAACAAGCATAGTCTGATAAATTCTTGCACTCTTACCCAACAACATCACATCACTGAAGCACATCAGTAATGTATACATTTTGTGCCAAAAGAATGAAGATGTTGAGCTTTCCATATGGAGGGAGGCCTGCCACTATTGAAAAAGAAAAGAAACAGCCATCACTGTTCCACCGATGTTGTCTTCAACAGTTACAGTTACAGTGTCTCCTTCAGAAGCAGCGTGCCTCTTAATGTGGCCTAACCCAAAAGGTTGATTACAGATGCAACTTCAACATTGTTAGCATTAGCACTAGGTTACTAGTTCTCAGGACATAGTTATATTACTTATCTAATTATTTAAGGAGATAGGATTCTCAAAAGATGTAAGTTATATAAAACATGGTCAACAAATGTAACTAGAGTTTTCGGCAGGTCTCATTTACTTTAGTTTCAGCTGGGAACTAATATGAGCAAATGCCCGTTTTCCTCTCTTGAATCAAACAAGACAAGACATGGATCGAAAAAATATAGTGAAAATTATAGCAGCCAATTTTCTATAAGCTGTAGTAATGCTTCCAGGTTCAACGGCTGCATATGAAATCCAAATAAACTCCTGCTTGAGTCAGTCATGTTACGATCAGCATGTAATTAAATATGTACTGAGGATAAAAGGTAGTCTTGTTTGTCTATTCAATAATTAATTATGTTTGTATTTTGAAATATGTTATTACTTGATTAAAAAATTTATACGAACTAAAATAAGAAAATTTTCCAAGACGCATCCATAGGACATTTTCCCATATATATTTACGAAAAAAAAAAAAAAACTGCAGCTTGAGCTCAGTTAGAACTAGTACTAACTACTACAACTACAATTTTAGGAGCCTATTGCTTTTTTAAACTGAAAACTTTTTTTGTACCGTAATGTCTCCTTAATCTTATCTATCAAATGGGATTTTTATTTTATATTTATTGATTTCATTCCCGTATAACTTTCAGAGGGACAAAACGCGCATAGATTGTCCGTATTTATAAAAGCAAAAAGCTATAATGAATATATATATATTTTCATTTGGACCAACGAGAAAGTAGTCCAATCACCTATATGATATCAAGTACATCATTCATATATTAACTAGATCTCCACTCAAAATCTAAACTTTTCCTCGCTATCTGTCATTATTATCCTGACCCTCAGGGTTTACAATGCCAGGAGTTTCAGTAAAATCTTGTCCTTGATCTCTCACATCTCTGAACATGGAAAAAAAGGAATTGAGGCCCTCCGATGAAGCACCTCCTAAGATCCACAGTAACAAAGAACTGAATGAATTCATGGATCCAGGGTCGGGACCGCTTTCTGCTTGTGGAATGTCAGCTTGCCCAGGAATCTGTGCAGGGTTAGCAACCCTGTCTGGATTATTTTCTGACCGCCCTTGAGGGATAGTAGCTCCTGGTCCATTCTGAGGCATTGATTGATCAAAACCAGATCTGAACCCTGTTCCGGAAGGCAAATCTGTGTTACTTAATCCCTGATTCCTTGTATTCAATCTTGTGATTTGCAACGTTGATGCAAGAATAGTAGATGATGTAATGTGGAAGTCAGGTTGTTGAAGTTGTGACCGTCGATTTTGCATAAACCTCTGCAAAGCTGGTACCTAATAAGTAATAAACATAGCAGAAGTCAAATTTCAATTAAGTAAACATAAACAAACTTATAATGAACAGAAATACATTGCCAGACAGAAAAATACATTCCTATCGTAACAAAGAAATGCTATTGCTGGGTCTAAACTACAATGTACTAAAATAGAATTTATTGGGTGCTTTATAAGGTAGTTAATCCTTTTGTCAAATCTACTAGTGCAAAATAAAGATATCGGAGAGAGAACAGTCATAACCAAACCCACAGGCTAAGCATCAAATTTAATACAACCGTCTGGGGAAGTATTTAATAGGGGCAACGATATTGGCCCTTTTTTAAGCTCCCCTCCCCAAAAATATGTGTGTGCGCAAAACCCAAAAGGAAAGAAAACTATTGGGATTTATTCTATGATGACTACTAGAAGAAGAGTATCCAAAAAGGGAAATTAAATGACTGGGTCATAGTGCTTATCGTTTCAAAGTCAATTTCTCTTTCTCCTGAACTAAAAGATGTTCTTGCTGGGAGCATGTACAATTACAGGGTGTAATCCAACCAATCCAAATGCTCAGGAAGGCAGAAAGTCCAGGTAATGCCTAACTGCTGCTATAGATTTATTATCCTAAAAATCGAATTGACTAGAAAAGCAGATTCTGATGAATATATACTACTAGCTTACTCATCCGAAAGAGAGAAAGGAATAAAGAGGGTGGATGTAATTCAAGGACGTAACATAGAAGAAGTAGGCTGATCCAGAAAAGCATCCTTTTGCCTTTAGTGCTTGGTAGGAGCAGCTTAGCGCATATGCTAGAATTAGAATCACGCGTAATGAAGCGCTTGTCTTACTTATCTAAAACATACAAATGGTCATCACTCATTACCTCAAACCGATTCCAAAAGTACAGGATAAGGTGTTGCATAAAAGCAGCAGTTGTAGAGAGAGCCAAATATGAAAAACCTGAAAAAAAATTAAAAATTAATTATTTCCAAATAACATTAACTTAATCCAGCTAAACCCCACAAAAAGAAGAAGAAGCAATATGAACGTACCATAAGCATAAGAGAAGAAATATATGTGAAAGACCAGAAAATACAGTAAAAAGAAACGAGGGAAGAACTTCATTGATATTGGTGTTCGGACACTGCAAGTAACAAGAAACATAATCATATTAGATGACCATCAAGCACTAGCACAAACATACAGTTTTGCATGAAAGTGCAACTTGTCAGACTATTCATACATCAGTTGTCACAATGATCAACTAATGAAATGGCATATAAACACCAGTCAAAGGCATCCTCTACGGTTATGGACAAAAAATATAAAGGTGGCTATACTTGAGCTGTATGCCCTTTTAACCAATCCCAAATTTGGCAGAGTACATTTGGACTTGGAATGGAAGTTTAGTCCAATGGCCAAAACAGAAAAAGAAACAGTAAACTTCTGACCCAACCAATGACTATAGTTGACAATACTTCTGGCAGCCAAAATTATATTACAGGCCAATTGGATCCATTTACAACTTAATTACCCACTAGGGTTGACTTCAGCACGCAACCAAGCCCAGCTGGTTAGAAAATAAAAGTAAAAAATAAAATTCTGAGCAACAAAGCCAACAGATATGCTGACTCAGCAGTGATTTCAAACTTAAGACCATACTTTATAAGTTATTTAACTGAGAGAGAGAGATACCTAATGAGAGTAAATAGTTCACACAACCAGACAAGAATCAAGACCATGAAGGCAAGTAGTTGATCATCATAAAACTCAAAGAGAAAAAACAGAATACCAATCATAATCTGCAGAAAATAAGAAATTTATCAGTAAAACTAATACAATAAGAAATAGCACTAATGATAGAAAATTCAAATAGATACTCTTGCCAAAATTAAATCAATTAAAATGAGTGCTTACAGGAACAAAGACTAGTGATTCAATCACATGCACAAAGATCAGCTGAAATGTCGGAAGGCGATGCCGAGCATGGTGTTGAAGCTGCACTGTAAAGACTAACAGATGTGAAAAGCTAATCCCATCCCATGTGCAGGAAAGTATGGTAAAACAATGAATAACTATAACATATTAGATAGTGCCAAATGACTATTCTTATGAATAGCAAATTTAATCCATAAGATTTAGTGGACGAAGGACTTTCTGAATAAACCATCCTCATAAAGTGATAGCACTCAGGACAACCCTGACTAGCTAATGATTGCCTCTAAATTTATTTTAGGTGAATTTGAAAGCAAGCAATTAATCCATGGCGCAATGGGCTGAATGACAAAATAGATGCAATCCAAGCAAGAATTACTAAAGCAGTTTCCACACAACGAAACATCTTTATACAGAACAAATATTGCCTACCCGTAAACTTCAGCATGCGAGTCTGTGTTTCTCTCAATGTAAATGACACAGACATTGTGGTAGTAAAAAACACAAACAAGGACATCATAAGCACGCCACACTTGGTTACAAGGTAGTCTGCATAGGCAAAACAATACATAAGTTACAAACCAAAAGCAGTAAGTTCTGATTCACATTAAGGGTTTCACATCAATAATTAATTGTAAATAAATTTGCCAACAAAGAAAGTAGATTCAATAACCCCTCAAAATACAATATAACGAAAGATGAAATAGCAAACAAAATAGAAACACAGATTTCTAAATATAAACATTTTTAGGTAAAAAATTCCTGGGAATTGATTATGGTCTTTCGAAAGAGACTGCACATTTGGAGCAAGAGGAGCTATATTTTATACTATAAGATTTTTTCCATAATCCAAATATAGATTTACCCTATCGATGGTCATTACTTAACATTATTTTAAAACATTAAAATTAACAAACAGCTCTTATGCAAATCTATTGCGTAACTGAGGTCCAACACACCACCACCCATCCATATTCACCATCAATGCCCATCATGTCTCACCATGGCTGCCTGTTGGACCTATGACATTGCTGAATATCAGTAAGCACACCCCATGAAGCCCAATGTTTTTGCAGAAAGTTTTGGCTTTTTCCGAATCCCAAGGGTGAGAAGAGTGAGAAATTAAAAAAACTTTCTCAGATCGAGAAGGGTTAAAATGATAACAAGGCAAGCGAATAAATATGGAAGGAAACATAAAACGAACAGAATTGACAGAAATGAGTAACAAAGGTTCTTTAGTTCCTTAATTCCATGCCCTTCCTGCCTTCATCAAACCTACTTGAGTTGCTCCATATGTATTTTATCTTTAACATTATTGTTTAATTCCTCATTTCATGAGCTTTGCCACCCCATCTTTCCATGGAACATCCTCCCATGCCATTCTTGTGCAGTTGCTCTCTGTTAAGGGTAATTCTGGGAGGGGGACAGAATAGCAGAGAAATGAAAGAGGAGACTAGAGACAGGTGACATTGAGAGATTGGTTGGAAAGGAGTGAAGAGATTGAGAGATTAATTGGAAGGAAGTAATTTCTTCTTTATTTCATACAGACATTGTGACCTTTATAACAAGGATTTGAAATACTAAAAAGCTATAGACAATAAATGTTAATGCATACTAAAAAAGTATAGCCAATAAATGTTAAGGCTAATTGATACATATCGCGATAAATTGATACCAGTCTAATCATTTATTAATGAAAGCTAAAAAATGCTAATTGATATCACACTAAGACCTTGGTGCCTAACACTCTCCTTCAACCTTTTGCATTTGATTACTTCAATTCCAAACTCAGCTTCATCCATAGGACATTCATGTCTGTACTGCATATACCCAAAAACCACCTCGTTTAATTATGTCTTTTTGTTCGATGCATGCAACCATTGATCTATTCTAATCTAAAATTTGGATTCAAACATGAACTTTATGCTGCAAGTATCCATAAAATTAAAGTAGAGACCATGAAATACAATCTCTCCAAATGAGGAGTGCTTGATGAAGCAGATAGAAGGATAAATCAACAAACCTCCAAATCTAGCCGGGCCTTCCGGAGCTTCTTGAGCATAACTAAGATTATAGAATTCCTTTGTTTGAAAATTATAAAGATAACCTGGCATGAAGTCCCAGAAGAATTTCAGCAATATTTAAATCCTGAATGTTTAAAGTAAATGGATGACAAATATTTATAGTGGCGATTAGTGGACAATTATATACACTAGTTTATCCAGAGAACAGGAAGTTACCTTGACCAGGAGAGCTCAATAAACTGTTGATTAAAATTGTATCATATCCCACAAATCTGTTTATGAGTAGTTGCTGCCACCTGGAAATGAAATATATCTTCAATTGAAAAATGCAAGGTAAAATCTTAGAAACATTATTATATATTACTATGAGGAAGGTTATATTTACAAACTATTTGTTTACAAACTACACTAAGTATGACCAGTCATACTTCAATCAAGAGTGTATGACCGGTCATACTTAGTATAATTTGTAAAAAAAGTTTGTAAACGGATCCTTCCCCTATTACTATATAACATAAATGAAATTCCTACAACAACTTTCCTATGAGAAAAACAATTTACAGCTGTCAGTGACAAACTACATAATAAAAGTAGCTCTCAAAGGAGATAGCCTGCCTCCTTCTGAACCAAAACCAGATAATCATGCTAACATCTTTACCTGTTTCCAAAGCAGGAGTGCCAAGGTAATATGCTAACATTCACAGTACGTATGTTATGATGAGACTTAGCACTTTCAGGCAATAAAAAATATCCCTGCAGAATAATATTACACGATCAACAATAGATAAGAGCAGTCTTTATCGAATCATAATCAACATTAAAAGCAGCTTCAACAAACTTACAGAATCTACTTCAGAAATTAGAAGCATGTACCTCTTGTACAAAGTTCAGTCTAAATAAACTTAAAAATTGAATACCTAAATAAAAATAATATACCTTTTCCATAGTGTACAAATATGTGGGTTCAAATGACTCGCTTTTCTTTTTAAGCCACTGCACTGAAATTGAAAACACAACTTATTGAACAACAACAGAAAAATGGAATGCGAGAATGAAAGAGAAAAGAGGAAGTCAGATAAAAATCATAATTTATTAATGTGGGACAACTCCATAATACAAAGGCTCCAAATTGATTATCTAAAATATCATATGCTTCTTAAGTTTCTAATTGAAAGTTAACTAAACTTCAAGAAACCTTTTATGTTTCCTAATTATTTTTCTTACACAAATAGTTTCTGAAAATCAAAGAATCCAATGTGCAAGGAACCCATTTTTACACTAGACAACCATTATCAGCATACCGATTGAAGAACATCAAAAGTATGAAAGCTCATTTACATCTAGGTCTGTCAGAGATTTAAATTTTCAAAGCCAACATAAGTTTGTAAAAAGATATTCTATAGTATTATAAAGGCAACATCTGGCTTTTTGACCCTTTTGCCCTTTTTTACAATAAAAATTACCATTATGCCCTCGTTTCTAAACATTTCACCTATCTTCCCCTGTATACCCGAGTATGGACCCAGATACTCGAGTATCTGGCTCCATATCAAGGTATATGTTTAAAAAAAAAATTACGGGAATTTCCAAAAAAAAATATAATTTGGACATCCGACTCAAAAGTTATGACCTTCCGAAGTTTTACTCTAAAATTTCCAAAATTTTATAATGCCAATAAGTTTTGTGATACCCACAAAGCTCATCCTCAGGTTACCAGAGAATATGTCCAATATTATGAGTAGATGACTATAGAAACTTGTTTGATCCAAAAAATATGATGTTATATTCTTTCCACAAGATTTTACGATTAAATACGGACACCCGAGTGGTTAAATTTTTTTCCCCGAGATTTCTTGGATCAAACAAGTTTCTACAGTCATATATTGGACTTAACTCGAGTAACCTGAGCAGGAGCTTTCTGGGGATCACAAAACCTATTGGCATTATAAAATTTTGGAAATTTTAGAGTAAAACTTCGGAAGGTCATAACTTTTGACAAGGGTGTCCAAATAAGGTCTTTCTTTTTTTATTCCACATAACTTATCGCGAGCTACGTGTTGGGAAATTCCTATAAAGAAATTTTTGAACATATACCCGGGTATGAACCCACATATTCGAGTATTTGGATCCATACTCAGGTATATGTTCAAAAAAAACCCAGAATACTCGAGTATATAGGGGCAGATAGGTGAAATGTTTTGATATGGGGGCAAAGAGATAATTTTTTAGGTCATAAAGGGCACGGTGGTCAAAAACCCGGCAACATCTTCCTCACGCCTCATTTCTTTCACATTTTTATTCAGATAAATTAGTAAAACTCAAAACTTGTAAAAATACCACTTTCTCCACTTTTGAAGGAATAACAACAGTTATTTAAACCCACTTGGCACTTTCTATTAAAAAAAAACCACACACAGAGTTATTGAAGAATTGAAAAGAAACCTAACCATACTTTGTTTGCCTTCATATGAAAAAGGAAAGAGTTTGGATACAAATTTTAAAATATTTCAGCATTTAAAAATGCCATTTCGCATCCATTATAATTTAAACTTAAGTGGAAAATATTTTATTTACCTGCATTAGAGTTAAGCTTGTCCAGTTGAAGGATATGCATCCATTTGGGAATATCAAGATTTAGGTGTATACCAGCAATATTCTGCACTTGAAAATTGAAATTTAGCAGAAATTTGAGTAAATATGATCATTAACAAAAATGGTATAAATTCTGGACAGAAATAACTAGAATGCATCATCATATCATACATGTGTTCTTATATAGCTCCGAGAAAGAATTTATTTCTACTTACCCACAGCTTCTGGAAACTACCAATTATCTGCATTGTGTGTTTCCAAATGAATGAGATTCGCCTATACCACTTTTTACCAAAATGTATACCTGCTGCTTTTAATGTCTCTTTGGCTGATAAAGTAAAACTATTTCGTGACTCCTCTTTATCAATTTTGATGACAGCATCTTCTACTGGCCTGGAGTTTTGACTTGTAGAGGTTTCAGCTTGATGTTCAAGAAACTCAGTGTTAGCCTTCCAAAACTTGAACACCAATTTTCCCCTCCTAGCCCCTGAACCAATCCAGTTCCACCAAAACTTGGAAGCCAAAAATGTCAATTCATCTCCATTGACATCAGAAACCTCTATTTTATCTTTTATAATTTCTGTTTCAGGAGGATCAACTCTGTTCGATTCAGAATCATTATGAGACCACAAGCTGGAACTGGTTATCTACATCAATGTTTTAAAAGAGCGTCGTAAATAAAGCAAGACAACCAACACAGAAAAATAATCTCCCAAATGTTATCAAAAAAAAAATAAAAATAATAATCTCCCAAATACTAGTTAAACCTTAAAGTAGGTTATTAGAGCTATCAAAAGGAAAGATCAAGGGAAGTGGCAATTTCTTATACATTATAGGGAAAAAGTGATAGAATTAAAACCAAAAATCTGCAAGAAATACTTCAATATTAAATTTCTTATAATTACATAGTTTTGATTAATGGAGAAAAACTGTTAAAAGCATAAATAAGAAAGTGCATGTAAAAGAATGAAAGGTAATATATACCTTAATCTGAATAAGTTGAGCTTCTGTTGTTACGACTCCAGATAGCTCACTTGAACACCCAGGCTTCACATAGAGAAGAATAAACTTATAAGAAACCAAAGAAAAAACATAAAACAAAATTGAAGTTGATTCTAACTCAAGTAGAAAACAGGGAATTATCAACATCATCATCATCAACATCAACAACACTTTTATCTCAAAATAGTTGGGGTCGGTGGTAGATAAACCCAAAAAATGGTACAGAAAGATTGAGAAAAAATGATAAAAATAAACTTTAAGTATATATATATATATATATATATATATATATATATATATAATATTATCCATACAAAAGTAGCACCCAATTATAAGAAAAAATAAATTAAAATAAAATAAAATACAAATAAGGATATATAGGGGACAAAAAAGAATAAGAAGGTAAGAAATAAAAAATAAATAAATAAATAGATAAATGAAATAAAAATAAAATAACATAACATAAAAAAGAATATAGGGAAAAAAAAGAAAAATAAAAACACATAAATAAATAGGTAAAAGAAAAAAGATTGAAAGGAAAAAGAAAGAGAAGGGGGAGATAAAGAGGAAAAGGACTAAAAAGGGACCGTCTGGAACATAGGAATAAAAACGGATCTACCCCTTCAAACAGTGAATTACAATGAAGTAAATTTGAACAACCTTGAATCTTGGGTTACCAAACACTGAAACCCTAGACATAGGTTAGGAGCTAACAACTAGATTCCTGACCACATGGTTAAGTATCAGAAAGAATCATTTAATATAATTTTGGCATGTAAAATGAATTAAAAAAATGCAACCCTTACACAGAATAGCTAGGAGTTTAAGTAAGATCATGAATGAGGATAAGAATGGGACAAATATCATGGTTAGAAAAGCAAAAAAAAGATGAAGTAACATAGGAGTCAGATGAACCTATAGCTTGAAATGGTATTGTATGCAAGTAATTGCTAGGCCATTGCCTCATCCAACTTGTTATGCGATGATGGATAAAACAAAAGCTTCTCAACACTGTTGTCAGTTGTCCAGTGTGAGTATGTAGTTCTTGTTTCAATATCAAATTCAGAAATCTAGAGAATAAGGGCTGAGTCTTGTGTGCACTCATTACACTGTGCAACGGTTAGTTTGTGTTTGTTTTAGATTTTGAATGCTTCTAGCGTAGGTTTGCATTTCACAAAATGGAGTTCAACAGTAGCTTGATGTGCTCGGCAATTTTTCACTTAAAGTAGATGCGCTTTTGCATTCTGTAAAACCAATTCTAATTCCAGCAACTCCTGGAAGCTTTTTCTTTTGCACCATTAAAATTGCAAAGTAAATACTACCAAGTTATCCTCATTTGTTTCTCTCTCTCTCTCTCTGCTCATTCCCACACTCACTGAAAGCAGTAGTCCCCACCCTTGTATGCTTGCTGGTTAAATAAGGTTTTAAGTGAAAAATGAATTTTATTATTTTAAAATTGTACTTTCATCAAATGTGAATTTTATAAATTTTATAAATAGTGATAGTAGAAATTTATTTAAATATAAATAATTATCACGTATTTGGTTATAATGTAAAAATTATTATTTTTTACATGAAAATGTTGTGTTCCTTATAATTTGAAACATTTTTTTCCTTTTAATCTTTCTTTTTAGAGTTTATCAAAATTAATTGTACATATCTTCATAATTTTAAACATTTTTCTCTAAAATATTTTTTCTTTTAAATTAAATTTCTAAAATTTAATCTAAATTCAAAAATACTTGTGCAATGAACGAGATACTTTCTAGTATTTTCTTCACAAGAGCCATTTGTGTACCTGAGCTGATAGCACAGCGTTCAAGCACTTGAGCAATGCTTAATTAATTTTGATCTTCAAAATAGGCTCTACATTTTTGGAACTAAATAAAAATATAATATTTTATTCATAACAGCCAATTATGTACTCAAGCTGATAAACATTGGAATGTTATCTATATCATATCCCTTCTACTAAAATCTAAACCTTAGGTGGTTGTGTTCCACACCGTTGGATTGAACCTGTTCCAGAACCACTTGTTCCAAATACAGATTTTTCTTTGAAGGCAGCTCAAATTCAATGTAACAATCCAACAGTGCAACAGGTGCAATGCACCAGAGACATGGCTGGGAATCATGTTGAGATTAGAAAAAGCACCCAGTTTTGGATAATTTTTTATCAAGAGAGGAGGAGTTGTAACTTTCTTTTTATTCCTCAGCACCCAAATCCAGAAAAGTCCTTTGCTGATGATAGCCTTAATTTACTTCACCAAAAAGAAATTCACCATAACCTGTGGCATCCAGAATCATGAGAATTTCATCTAGAATAAAAGCCAAGTCCATGACTCCATGGTCAAAAGATATAAGAACTTTGGCTCATCTAGCTTTTCCATTAGCAGAATCAACTGCAGTCTGGTTAAAAGAACCCCAATATTCTCTATCACATACTGAATATTATATAGCAAAAGCAGCTCCAAATGAAAAAGTCAAGTCCCAACTTTCAATCACTACTTACGATAATGCTAATTCACCACGAAAAATGCCAAGCCCGTCTCTAACAAGGTATCCACTCCACAAAAACTATCACTATTTGATAATAAACATAAAAACTCAGTAATCTAGCTCCAATTTTCAAAACTCATAAAAACAGAATTATTGGTTTCACTTCTTTCCTTCACTTATCCCAATTCAGGTTCACGATTATAAGTTTAATTTGAGGTATATTCAAGCATTCAAAGGCCATCAGTAAATAATTCACTATTAAGTAGAAAATATAAATCACAGCCAGAGATTAAAATCGAAAAGCCCTAAAAGATAACAAAAAGTAGAAATTGAGAGAGGGAGAAGCAAAAATAGACACCTGCTGAACGTAATTGGCGTGCATAACAACAAGAATACAGAACAAGGTGATGGCAACGACTAGGTAAAAGTACTCCAAAGCAACTCGGACTTTTGGTGTCAGCATCTGCGAAAACCTCTCCTGCACGCGTATGAAGGTCTGCTCTGGATCCATCGCGCGGCTAGAAAAAACAAATAGAAAAAGAGGAAGAAATATTTTCCCGAGAAAGTGATGGAAAATCAAAGGTATTCTTCTTCTTTCATGGTTTTCTGTTTATGTGATATTGATCATCGTTCACGTTTTCAGCGAGGATTCGGAATTGGAATACAATTACAAATACGAACAATAATTAATTGTCTTTTTCCTTGTCTTTTACACTTCATTTGCATTCGGGTGTTTGGTGAACAGAATGAGGTTGTACCTGCCGCAATCAGAGCAGGATAAGGTTATTCCGTTTGTGTGGTGCTTCATCTTTAGTAAAATTTAAAGGGACGAGTTATTTTACCTTTTTTTATTTTTTTGCATTTTTCTTACCATTCTTTAATATTGTTAGATTAAAATTTTAATAAAAGAGAAAAATAATAAAGGTTGAATAATTTATCCCAAATTTAAATTAGGGTTTTGTTTTACATGTTTTTCTCGATGCAGAGCGTCGTAACGAATAAAAAATATTTATTACCTACAATTAAGAAAAAAAATTATATTTGTAATAATTGATAGTAATTTTTAATTAATTTTAATTTCTTAACATATATCTTAAAGATATTCGTTAGCAAGACAAAATGAATTATACATTCAATTATGGGAAAAATGTTTGTCCTTCTAAAGAATATAACTTTGTGTTATTTTAGATCTTAACTGTTAATTTTCGTCAATTAATAATTATGTGTGTGTATATACACTGTCATTGCAGCACGTACATAACCATATAAAAAGTGAAAGCATTAAATGTGAAAAATCATAGTCATATACCTGTCATTGCTGCACACACAACAACTTTAGATATGATTTTACATATATATGTGTGTGTGTTGTGTGTATAGATACATATACATATATGTATGTGTGTGTGTATATATATATGTGTGTGTATATACACACACATATATATAGGTAAAATCATATCTAAAGTGTTTATAAAAAAATCATATATAAAGTTGTTGTACGTGCAACAATAAAAGGAGTATGGTTATGATTTTCACATTTAATGCTTTTACATTTTGTATGGTTATGATTCCTCCATTAAATGCTTTAACCCATATATATGGAAAATTTATCACTGCTGCACGTAAAGCGACTATAAAAAAGTAGAACCCATATATATATAGGGTTTTATTAATCTCATGTTAAAGGAGATAGTTATCTCATGTCATAGAGATAAATTTGTGGGCTCCACCACCTGAAAAAATAAAAGAAAAGAAAAGAAAAAGGTGGCACAGTTATCGAAGGGTGTGTAGGAGAGAAAATATATCTTATGTAACATAAGAATAGTTTTTCCCATATATATATTGTTAGGAATGTGGCTTCAATACTCAAGAGGGGGGTGAATTGAATATTACAAACTTTTCGCAAAAGCCCCTTTCTAATTTTTAAATTATCATTTTAAGCAAACTTTGTATATGGAAGGTTAATCAATACATTTAAATAACCCACAACATATAATATATCACAATTATAGAACTTATGCTAGCACATACAAGATATCAAAGGAATAACTAAGGTGCTGGAAATAAAAAGTTTAGAGTTTAGATAATTGCAAACATGATATATCCTAGTTTGGTCACCACCACTTGTGACTTACATCCAGACTAAAGTCGATCGATCAATTTTTCAATATAGGCCAAGCTTCATGGGTGCTTGACAAACCTCTACAACCTCCAAGCTTTCGGGTGCTTGGAAACCTTATAATCCACTAAGCTTTACGGGTGCTTAGCAACCTTTAAACCACCAAACTTCTTGAGTGCTTGGCAACCTTACAATATGATTTTATAGTAGAGAATGATGATCAAATGAAAACTCTCTCAAAGAGCAAGTATACAAATTGAAGCTCTAAGTGGATATGATAAATTTACAAGAATGAGCTCAAGATTGGTGAAATTGTGTATATAAACTCAACGAATGTTTTTGAAGCTCTTTTTACTTTCAAAATACTCTTAGAGTAGTTGGGAATGCATATAGTGTTTCCATTGAAAATTAACCGTTTATAACCATTATATGCATTTTGGACAGTGAGTAATCGATTACTTTTTGTCGAGTAATTGATTACTTTCATAAAGTAATAAATTACTTTCACCTGCAACTTAGCAGCAAGAACATTATTTCGTATTTTGGGCATAACTTAAGTTATTCTTATGGATTGATATGATATTAGTCTCTTTGGAAAGATAAAAGAGATACCTACAACTTCTATAAGAACACGAGATCAAAACCCATCATCTTCGATATGAAAAGTGGTATGGAAGAAGGCAGCAAAATTATGCAGCAAATATGAGTTTAAATATGTTCTAACTTGCTTCCAACCACTTTTTATGAAGAATCTTGACTTGATAAATATATTTTGAAGTTATAAAACATGTTAAGGATCTTTTCCATGAGTTTTTCAAATTTATTTAAAGTATATAAAGGTTACGAATTATGCAACTTGAAAAACACGCTTACTTTGAGAAAAACTTTGAGCTGATGCAATGCAATCTACGATATACCATTATAAATGAGTCTAATTCCTAAGGATATATTCTAAATATGGTTTTAGACTTAGCTTCATGTCTTTTGTCTTGGATTTTTACTTGAGCTTAACGCTTTGACCTGTTGGATATGACAATGCTTGACACTTTGTTGGTTTTGATCATTTTCACCATGACTGTGGTATTGAGCTTTTTTTAGATGTTGTCCATGCTTTGTTGCTTTTTATATTGGTTTTTCTCCTATCATTCTTCCTTGTTGCTCTGCCATGTATCTTCAATCATTACACATTGCTGATTTTTTTTGCTCTTGATCAATGTTTTTCTTTTTTTGTTGTTGCAACTTTATTATCATCAAAACATATCTTGTAGGAGACAATTGTATCTCCTATACAGATAATAAAAATGTGTGGGGATTATATTTTATTTTTCTCTCTTATCTTCACATGGCTCCATATGGGCCCCATATACTTTTAAGTGTGTAGGAGATAATTTTATCTATTATAATTAGGGGTGTTCATCAATCATGCCAAACCGATTCAAACTACGATAACCGAAAATAAAAAAACTGAAAGAAAAAAAAACCAAATTTTTTAATTGAATTGGATTTGTTTTCAGTTTGGTTGATGAAAACCGATTCAATAAATTAATTCCTTGTATCTACTTGGTCCTATTCCCCAATCATAGTCCAAAAAATTCTAACCAATACTTATTAACCCATCAACCCAACAAAGTTTATTGGTACATTTTAGCAAGTTTTCGATACTACTATCATTATGATTTCAACCTTTGGATAAGATATGATAAAAGTATGGATTTTTTGCTACATAAATATAGCATTTGAATTGAGTTAATGATTTGTTTTTATTTAGTTTTATAATTTTCACGTGAATGTAATACTACTATAAAACTTATGTGCAAAAATTTGAAATAAAAAATTGTTTTAAGATCTCCATGTATGAGTATTGAGTTTAATTTTCCTTACTTTGTTATTGTCTAATTTTCTTTCTTATCCTACAGGTGATAGGTACTTGAAACCGAGTTTATCCAATTTCAACTTGATAGATACTATATTGAAAATTATATTATCATTTATTGATACTTCTAGATTGCACAATAATCATTATACAAACTTTACAAAGCCAATACATACAAAAGATATATTATTTGCACAATAATCATCGTATAAATTTTAGGCTTTTAAAAAACCAAATCAAATTGGATTAGATTTGATTTGAAAAAAAAAAAATCCAAACCGAAAAGACGATTACAGTTTCCAAAATCGATCCAATCTAAATCGCGAACACCTCTATCTATAATATAAGAAATATTAATCAATATATATCGCGAACACCTCTATCTATAATATGAGAAATATTAATCAATATATATATATATATATATATATATATATATATATATATATATATATATATATATATATATATATGGGTGAAGATCATTTTCACCAGTGTAAGTTACACTCTCAATCTTGTCCGCTGATCCCACTTATATCTAAGGGCTCAAATTTTTTAGTAATGTGAGCCATTAGATACAAGTGGATCAATGGTCAAGATTGAGTGTAAGACTTGTAACTCTTACACCGGTGTAAGAATATCCTGCCCCTATATATATATATATATATATATATATATATATATATATATATATAATACTCTATACATAATTTAAGTATACGTTGCTTCAACGTCACAATCTTAAATTTGTGGTTGAAATTGCTTGCAATGTGTTGATGCAAAACACATAGTATGCTTGGGCAGGCTGAAAACCATTCTGTTCTCTGACACTGTTTTTGAAAAGAAATAATTGTTTTTTATTTTTGTGTCTTGGAACAGTTTATGAGAAAAAATATATATTTGATAACATGTTCTATTTTTATTCCGAGAATGAGAATTGCGTTTGATAATACAATAAATAAAATAATAATAAATAATTTATATTGAGCATAAAAAAATTCGGATCATCACTTTCCTTTCTATAGGGTGTGGTGGCGATGGCGGCGGCGATGACATGGTGATGATAGTGGTGGTAGGGGTGGCGGTGGTATGGTGATGACAATGGCTGTGACGATAATGACGGTGGTGGTGATTGTGGTGGCGATGACGTGATGATTGTAGTGGTGGTGGTGGTGACGATAGTGGTTGCGACGATGGTAGTGGTGGTTGGTAACGGTAACGGTAGTGGTGGTGGTGACGGCAGTGGTATCAATTATGGTGGTGGTGGTGGTGGTGGTGGTGATGGGTGGAGGTCGTGGTGATTGTGGCGGTTGCATCGTCGTGATGGTGGTGGTGGTAACGACGACGATGATAATGGTGGCGGTGATCGTGTCGGGATGATGGTGTGGTGGTAGTGATGATGATAGTGGCGGAAAGTAATTGAGAGAGATAAATATTTCTCATCTTGTGTCCGAAAACAAAAAAGAAGAAATTTTTTGCTTTTTTTTTCTGTTCCCAGCGTAAAAATTAAACCAGTTCATATCGGGAACAAAAATAAATAAATCAGTTTTACCAAACGAATTTTCTATCCATTTATGTTCCTGGAACAAAAATTAAAAAGAAAAAAAAATTATTACGGAAAGGTTGTGATGAACACTTTAAATGTTAAACAACTCTTTATTATGTATATAAAAAAAAAAAAAAAAAACTCGTTATTTGCAACAGTCATATACCCTCGTTAACTTGTTAAGTTGGATAATGTTTCTCACATCAAAATTTGTAGTTTCTTTTTAA